AAAACTATTAGGATTTATCCCGTTCAAATGCGAGTTTATCGATTATATATCGATATACCAGAGTGTTCTAAATTGTCGTAAAATTGTCCCGACCCTTTTGTTTCTCATATCAGAGCCTTCAATAATTGTATATTGATCGGAATATGAGAGCGCGACGCCATTTTGGTTCTGGTCTGGACTAAGTTAAGATTAATTTTTTTCCAAAAATCCAAATTTTAAATGTGTCAGGACAATGCTTAGATGATCACGAGTCACGTGTCAAAGTATCGGACAGTTTGGTCCAATACTTTTTAAAAAAAGTGTGGTATTCGAATCGACTAATTTGAGAGGGGTTTCACTTCACCTTAAGAGGGAAAGAGGAGGGAGGTAAAGATCCAATACCCTTAAAAAAAAGTGTGGTATTCGAATCGACTAATTTGAGGGGGTTTCACTCCACCTTAAGAGGGAAAGAGGAGGGAGGTAAAGGAAACACGAGGGGCAGCACGTGTAGTTCTCGGAGGGGAGTCTGGTGACGCCGGTCCATTCGGACCACCCCGTGATCCCGGCTCTCGGGGGCCCCGATAATACGCAGATGATAATCGCGATATTAATATCGCATTGGGAAGCGCACACATGCGTGCAAGCCCGAATTGGCCACGGCGGAACACTTGCCGGCTTGCTGGCCCGCGGTTTGCCGTGTTCTCTGAATGCACCCTGATTTCCAGGGGTGGCCGCCCCTCGTGGAAGGCCTCTCTGCGTCCATCTCTGTCTCGCTTTGGACATTTAAAAAGGTACCCACAAACGGAGGAAATTAATTTAATCAGCGTATTGTTAAAACACGAGTCGATTAAAATCAGAGATTAAGGGGCATCCGAAAGCTCAATCGTTAATAAAACTTTTCCACGAACTGGGTGTCTCAAATTGTTTCATACTTTAAAACGTGAATATCGAGACGCTAAGGTAGGTCCTAAAACTCGGGAAATCTCATTTTTTATAAACTATTTTTAAAATACCTATAAACAAATTTGAAATAATTGAAATTTCATGAGTTTCAGGACCTTCCTTATAGTCTCCCTGTTCACGTTGTAAAGTTTCAAACTATTCGGTAAACCGAGTTGGGAGAAAAGTTTTATAAACAAAACCTCTTTGACGGCAGTTTCACATCACCTTAATAGATAGTATTAAACAGATAAGGGATGACGTCGGACAACCGATGCGGTTTTGGTTGAACTTCTCGGTGTTTGGTCCAACACTTAAATAGTGGACGCCCTTTATCGAGGGATGAGCAAAGAGCGGAAGATGGAGGTGGTGAACAGGAGGCCCTGGCACTCGTGCTCGAGTTTCGAGGGGCCAAGGATGGTTTGGGGATGGTTCAGCTTGTGAACACCCGTGTCATTCCCTGGTCCCGGTCGTGGGGTGAATCACGGCCCGTGGAAAATCCCGCCACGAAGCCACCCTTCGCATCCACCTCGCCTAGCTCGTTCCTTGCTCTTCGACACCTCCAGGCGCAGGTGCACCCCGAAGAGACGTCGAAACCTGGGAAGAGTGGAATGAAAGACAATTAAAACGGCGCCTCGGTCTCGCCTCTACTTTTATAAGACAAAATCACGTAATACCCCGTTGAACCCGCTTGCAAATGTTTCATGACACTTTATAGATCTTCTGAGACATCTTGCAAAAATGGCGGTGCACAGGTGCATCCTTGTTTCATGCTCTTCGACATCTCCAGGCGCAGGTGCACCCCGAAGAGACGTCGAAACCTGGGAAGAATGAAATGAAAGACAATTAAATCGGCGCCTCGGTCTCGCCTCTACTTTTACAAGAGAAAATCACGTAATACCCCGTTAAACCCGCTTGCAAATGTTTCATGACACTTTATAGATCTTCTGGGACATCTTGCAAAAATGACGGTGCATAGGTGCATCCTTGTTTCATGCTCTTCGACATCTCCAGGCGCAGGTGCACTCCGAAGAGACGTCGAAACCTGGGAAGAATGGAATGAAAGACAATTAAATCGGCGCCTCGGTCTCGCCTCTACATTTACAAGAGAAAATCACGTAATACCGCGTTTCATGCTCTTCGACATCTCCAGGCGCAGGTGCACCCCGAAGAGACATCGAAACCTGGGAAGAATGAAATGAAAGACAATTAAATCGGCGCCTCGGTCTCGCCTCTACTTTTACAAGACAAAATCACGTAATATCTCGTTGAACCCGCTTGCAAATGTTTCATGACACTTTATAGATCTTCTGGGACATCTTGCAAAAATGACGGTGCATAGGTGCATCCGCGTTTCATGCTCTTCGACACCTCCAGGCGCAGGTGCACCCCGAAGAGACATCGAAACCTGGGAAGAATGAAATGAAAGACAATTAAAACGGCGCCTCGGTCTCGCCTCTACTTTTATAAGACAAAATCACGTAATACCCCGTTGAACCCGCTTGCAAATGTTTCATGACACTTTATAGATCTTCTGGGACATCTTGCAAAAACGACGGTGCACAGGTGCATCCGCGTTTCATAGATTTATTGTGGATCTTTAGAGCGGTGTCTTTCATTTAGGAGGTCATTTCAGGCGCCCTGAAGGAGGACCTCAAATCCGATTCCTTCTCTGTTGTGGCCCCGTAATTAAGGACTTCCGGTAGGTGCGAAGAAGCAGGAACGGTCTCGCAATGGGATGCGTCAACGTAGTTTTAGGAAGGCCTGATCCGCAGTTCCGAAACTCGAAGACCGGCCGGGTCAATGGGACGAACAGTCGTTAACGTCCGTACCTGGCGGCCTAGTACTACAAGGGGAAATGAATGGGCGAGTTTACGAGAGGTACCGTAAGGACAACCGGCCCAATTAGCAAGCACTGGATACCTGCCGGGTACTACCAAGTACCAGGAAGCGATACCGATATTCCTCGCACCGATACTACGTCGCGGCAGGGGCGACGCGCCGAGCGTTCCTCAAGATAATCCGAAATTTCCCTGCGGAATAGAAATAAAATCCATCGTCATCCCTTGAAATATTATTTAAAGATTGATTTCTGTATACATCCATACCTCAGATCGAGTTTTTACGGAGTTTCTCCCGGATTTTCGGCACCGCGTCCCTGAGAGAGCGTGGGCGTCCAAGATGGCGGCGCGCCCTTATCGGGAAACCTCGCGATCTATCGGTGGTTTTCTCGATCTACCTATCAGGACGGGGAGAAGAATGAGCCATTTAATTTCCTAATCAATCGTTGATTCAGATGCACCTTTCGAGTATGCCGATAGATCCCCGAGCTCGATTGGACGCGCGTCGGGCCGCAGCTGAGCCAAACAATGTCCTTTCACATGGGGCTTTTATGGCCCCACTGGACGTCGGAATCACGTGTCCCGACAAATCGGCGTTCCCTGGATATCCCTCTCTGGATGATGCCCTCTCCCTTTGGTTAATGAAAATCTCGAGGAAAGCGGAATCGGCTCTGGCGTTCCGCGGCGACTCGTGGAACTAAACGGCATGTATTTCTTTCGATCTTAATGGCGTCGGGGGAAACTACGAAATGTTTATGAAAATAAATACCGAAGCCAGTACTCCCGAAATCGAAGACTCGCCGGTTTATGAATGGCGAGTAATGGCCGTCGCTAGGAGTACAACTTCCATTGACAATAAGACCGGGTGTCGCTTACTCCGCTCATTGTCCGTCCTTCCGGCCTCGGAATGCGCCGAGATATGTTTCCCTCTGACCTGAAACACCATTAAGACACTTGACTTACCCTCCAACCTTACGTTTCACCTAATAGGCGTCTTCCGCGAATCGCCACCCCCGACCGGTAGGAAGTGCCTTCCTTCCCTAATTACCGGCCAATAGAAACCACTGTCAAAAAAGACCGCAATAAATCCCCCCAGGGTCCTTACACTGCAAAACTTCTTCAAATCCATCGTCTATTTACCGTGTAATTTTCATTTAACTTCCCATCCTCATTACTGATTATAATAAATTAACAGGTAATTTTAACAGTGTACACATAAGGATAGGAAATTAAAAAAAAGCGAGCGAAATCGACCAACCATTTTTCCCGATCGAGACGCAAGGGTCCTTACACTTCAAACTTCTTCAAACCATCGTCTATTTACCGTGTAATTTTAATTTAACTTCCCATCCTCATTACTGATTATAATAAATTAACAGGTAATTTTAACAGTGTACACATAAGGATAGGAAATTAAAAAAAAGCGAGCGAAATCGACCAACCATTTTTCCCGATCGAGACGCAAGGGTCCTTACACTTCAAACTTCTTCAAACCATCGTCTATTTACCGTGTAATTTTAATTTAACTTCCCATCCTCCTTACTGATTACAGTAAATTAACAGGTACTTTTAACAGCGTACACATAAGGGTAGGAAATTAAAAAACGGGCAAAGTCGATCGACGATTTTTCCCTGTAGAAACGCTAACGAGCACTTCCCTCGGCCAGGAGGAAACTCGGAGATGGATCATTTCCCTCGGCATGGTATTAACGTTAACATCAATCGGCGATTAGGGACCCCCCCTCTGGTGATACGACCGGTGCACCGCATCCCTTGCACCTTGCGGCGGCACGGGGGCTGCATCATCCCCTTTCATCGGCTGCCACCCCTGGGCAGGGCCAGGGCGCTCGCAGGGGGTCCAAGGGCAAGCCGTGTTGGCTCCCTGAGCACGATTACACATACAGAGGCGCCACGAGGGTGGTGCCTACCATGAAGACACCATAAACCAGGAGAAGGGGTGCACGGTCAAAACCGAAACGCCCCCTGGCCGAATATTTAAGCCACGTGCACCGTGCAGGTCGCAGTCAGTGTACAAGTTATTACCAGGTCGTCGCAAGTGCCGAAGAGTGTCCTAGTCGACCTGGACCCTCGGTCTTGAATGAACTAGGAGTTCGCAACAGCCGAGCTTGGACGTCAAGTCTTCAGGACAGGTCCTGAGCGGTCCTCCGGGGTCTTCAAGGGACGACTCGGAGGATCCTCTAGGAGGGTGTTGATCGGTGATAAGAGTGCAATCTCCGAGTTATGCATCCGATCATTCCTGAGACCGCTTTGATCATGAGCATCAAGGCCTTGGAGATGGCGACCATCTCGCGAGGAGCGCGGCCGCTGGTCAGGGCTGCGACTCTTCTGGGTCAGGACTCCTCTACGGAGATCATCGACGTCAACAGGCTCTCGCAGAAATCCCCGTCGATTATCCAATACGTAAGCTAATTTGTATATTGTATATTAATATGTATTATAATTATTGGAAGGTGATATAAATACTAATGATGTACTTTGCGTACTAACGACTGGTGGTGGATTTAACTCTGTACGGGGATGGCGTCTTCCACCTCGTGGAGGAGTTCTCATTATCGATGCGACTTCCAGGTGGAGGTCGCCGACGCCGACGGTCGACTGTACTGCGTGGACGGGATGGTCAGCGCGTCTTGCTGGGTGAAAATCGTCACCCTGGCGAAGGACTGCCAGAGCTGCAACGTCCTGCTGATGACGACGGAAAAGGGCGTCGTCCTGCGCGCCATCAGGAGCATCACTCCGGGAGAGCCGCTCCTGATGTGGTTCACGGAGAACACCCTGGCCTTGATGAACATGCCCTTCCTGACGCCGTCGAACATCCAAGGTGAGGACCACTGTCTCCCACTCCACCCTGAGGAGAGATATCAAGGTATTAACGCGGTGAACTCGTTCCAGGGCAAAATCGTTACATCTGCCACATCTGCAACGACCACTTCGAGTACCCGAACCCTCTGAAGATCCACCTGGCCCTGAAGTGCAACCGGCTGGACAGGAACCACCTGTGGAGCGTCCTGGCGCAGGAGTTCAGCGTGATCCCCCGGGAAGTCCACGCCATGGGGCTGTTCCCTCCGAAGGTGAGCTCCTTCAAGTTCGAGCTGAGCTCGCCGACCAGGTCGCCTCCGGTCGTCTCCCCTCCCAGGATCTCGCCGATTCTGGTGGAGACGAAGACGGACCCCCTGCTGGACTCGGGCATCTCGTTGACGGTGACCTCGCCGCTCTCCTCGACCCAGAACTCGCCCACCTCGTCCGCCCAGGTGTCGCCCAGCTCCTCCACCCAGGTCTCACCGGTGCGAAGAGGCCTCGGCCACGGGCACTCGGCGTTCAAGCCCTACGTCAACGTGCCCAAGGTCCTCCCAACGGTCCTGGACGGTCACCGGGAGACCTTGATAAGCCAGAACCCTTATCACGTCCCGCAGTCTTCGGCGAGGACGGACGTCCACGCGGCACAGATGGAGACCATCGTCAGCAACCTCGGGAAGTCCAAGCAAGGACACCTCTGCATATACTGCGGCAAGGTCTACTCCAGGAAGTACGGCCTGAAGATCCACATCAGGTAGGTTGCGCTTATCCTACGGTGATAAGAAACCACGGAAATTTACAGTCAATCTTAACGCAGTAATCTCACCGCACTCCTTCGCCGCGTCGAAGTAACCATTTCCCACCAAACACGGTTACATAACAATAACATAACGTTTGTAACATGTAATGTAACAGACATGTAATATATAGGTCAGATTTTTATTACTATATCCTCCGCGGGTATGTAAAACTGTTATGAAACGATTAATGTAACATATACCCATTTAACACCAAACCTAACAGTTACATAACATCGATACATATGCCTAACAATTATATAACAATGTTCATTGGGTATATTACATACCGGTAACATGTTATATATTATATTAACATTATTATACAGATTTGTTATATAATACCTAACTATTGCCAAGTGCCAGAAAATACTACAAAATAAAAAATATACATCTTTTTTTTCATATAATTACATTATTTTCTTACTAAACGTTTGTAAAATATTATTTTAAGCTAACTGAACTTATAACATTAATATAACATGTTACCTTATTCCGTGGGAAATAATAACAAACATCTAACTTCCATGTTACTTATATGCTACATAACGCGTTAGCTTCGAAACCATAACATATACCTAACAGTTATATAACAGTGTTCATAGGATATATTACATATCGGTAACATGTTATATGTTAATATTTTATAATTGCAATGCTAAAGAAATTAGTAACAATCTTACCGAACGGTAATAATTCGACGTTATACGATATTAATGTATCTTTTGAACATTCGACATGTATCATGTTAATCCAGTAACTGTAATATAATGTCTAGCGGGTTGTTATTCGAAGATGTTGAATGTTCACTTTCATTGGTACACCGACACCCTGAAGACGGTGGTTCACGTCTCTCTTCTTCGTTTCAGGACGCACACGGGATACAAACCGCTTAAGTGCAAGTTCTGCCTGCGGCCTTTCGGCGACCCCAGTAATTTGAACAAGCACGTGCGACTCCACGCCGATGGGGACACTCCTTACAGGTGCGAGCTCTGCGGCAAAGTCCTGGTGAGAAGAAGGGACCTCGAGCGGCACATCCGCTCCAGGCACCAGAACGGAGTCGACCAGGTCTCGGACACCTCCTCCGATGGCATGGACGTCTGACTCTGGTCCAAACTCCTCGTGTACTCTGTAGACGAAGACATTATTTATTCTTTACGATCGGTTAAGGTGAAGTTAAACCCCCCTCAAATCAGTCGATACAACACTTTTTTTTTAAGGGTATTAGACCAAACTGTCCGAAACCTTGAGACATGACGATCTAAAAATTGTCCTGACACGTTCAACATTTGGATTTTTGGAAAAAGAATTTTTAACTCAGCCGCGACCAGAATCAAAATGGCGTCGAGCTCTCATATTTCGATCAATGTACAATTATTAAAGGCTCTGATATGAGAAACGAAAGGGTCAGGACAATTTTACGGTAATTTAGAACACTCTGGTAATCGATAAACTCGCATTTGAAGGGGATAAAGGCAAAAAAGTGTCTTATGCGCTTATATGCTAAAACGATGGTAATACGAGGTCTCGGAGTGAAAATTTAAGTCACCTGAAAATCACAGATGGCGCAGGGGGTCCCTCTGCAGTCAATAGGGCTCCAGAAAGCATGAATCCAGAGGATTTCTGGAGTTTCACTTCGATTTCTTGATAATTATTGTAGGAGAACGACAGGTGGAGTGTGCCATTTGGTACAATACCCGATATAATTCGACCCAGCTGTCGATATAAAAACGAACGTCGATAACGTAGGTATTTAGAAGAAATTTCTTCATCGACGTCGATCAAGTTCCTCGGCTTGTTTCACTTCACCTTAAAAAGAGAGCGTTTACCTCGAGTACCTGGCCGACGAAGGGGTCAATAGTTCGTGAATCTTTTCGCGCGCTCCATTAGGCATAATTAGGACTAGACATGCGAGAAATACTTTGTTGACATAGTTTGTATACCGACATTTAAATAAAACTGTTATCGAAACGTTCTTCGGGTTGTTGTGCTCATGGGCACCTCAGCAACGAAGACTCCATGGATTCTCTCATTGCTTGACTTCCCTGGGAACTGATTCTTCAATTTCCTACGATTAAGGTGATATGAAAGTGCCATATATACATATACTTACCAAAAAGTCAAAATATTTATAAAACTCTTCTCCAAACAAGGTGCACCGAATCATTATAAACTTCATCACGAGATTATGGAGGCCCCAAGGAAGAAAGCGATGCTCGTGAAATTTAATTTAAAAAAGAATTTTCTTTTTCATTCAGCCTAGACTAGAACCAAAGTCACATTTTATCTTCTTTCTTGTGAAAAATCAAATTTCACGAGCATCGCTTTATTCCTTAGGGTGTTCATAATCACATGTTAAAGTTTCAGATAATTCGCAGTTTTTCACTATTAATACCCAGTTTGGAGAAAAGTTTTATAAATACTTTCACATTTTTATATATGTACATATATATAGTCGTACATGATATTATATATATGTTTCAAGTGTTGACCAATGACGCGACTTCGCAAAAATGGCAATATATTTCACGCCATATATTTGTGTGTGATAAAAAGAAGAAAAGTCTTCATTAACTCGAGATTTCACATTTTTATATATATACATATATCCTGCTCATCTCTGCATATATATATTCGTTCATGATATTATATATATTTCAAGTGTAGACCAATGACGCGCCTTCGCAAAAATGGCAAAATATTTCACGCCATCTATTCGTGTTTTATAAAAAGAAGAAAAGTCTTCATTAACTCGAGAATCGGGTCCCAGATCGTCAACTTGTCCCGAGGTCGTAGGATGTCGCGCTAGGAAAGATGAAGAGGTAGAATTTCTCTCGAAATTCCTCGAGTTAGGTATAGAGGGATTTAGAGTGATACTCTCGCAGATACCAGGCACCATGATAGACCTGGAGAACTTCAACCAGCAGTGCATGATAGTCATGCTGACGTTGCACACGCTCCTCTGCCTGAATCTAATCTACACGAAGGCCTCCACATAGGTTAAGGTCAACATCGAGGGATTCTCCAGGTCCTTAGATAAGCCATAATTCATAATCGACAAATGTCAAGATCGCTCTAATCGGCGGTAACTCTAGTTCATCAGAGATGGATCTGAAATTCTTCTCTGGGAGAGAGAAAACGGAGAACGAGGAAAAGGACGAGGAACCGAGCGAGATAGCGGCGACTAACGTGAACAACGAGGAGAGCCTGAAACCGAGGAGCGATCCAGTGCCGATATCAAACGAAGCCGCTATCGAGTCCCCAGACATGGGAAAGGATGATAAGAAGGAACCAAGTCCGTGCGACGAGGAAGCCTTCGTCGTCCAATTCTTCAAGAAACTGACCGGTACCAGGCAGTCTCTAATTTCGGAGTACACCAGAGAGAGCCCAGCAGAAAGGACGGATAACGCAAAAGGAGGCCCGTGAACGATAACGGCCTTAACGTGCTTAAAACGGAGACTTTATTTCCAGGCACGGCATACTCAAACTCGTCAGCGGCACAATCAATAAATCCCCAGTACGACAACGCTGTCCTTTATTTTGGAAAGCCGGTTAAAACTCCCAGGAAGAGTTTCCACTCATCTCCAGTTTCCGCGGGGGGGTGGCCTAAAATATGCGAAACGAATCAAGAAACCAAAACATCGTAAAGCGCACCATTAACGATCATCTACGTCTAAGAAGCGCGAGCCATGCTCGTTGCGAACAGAACCGTCTCCTTGGCCCTCTTCTTCTTCTTCCCGCCGCCCTTGGTTTCCCCTTTCGCACCTGAAATGGATACATGTAAGTCAGGGGGCAATTCGAATCTCCAGTGACATTATTATTACTCTAACCAATGGAATAAAGTTAACTCGGATCCTTCGGTAGTTCTGGAATAGTTAATATTGACCTGTGTCGAGTATCAGGGACTGCTCCAAGGCCTGGGTCAACGCATCGTTGAAGCTCTGCCTGTAAGAGGGAGCCGCGACGTACTCCTCCGCTTCATTGTCTTCGTTCCCCGTAGTAGGTTCATTCTCTATCCGCATATGACTGGGCTGTAAGGACTTCATGTTCCTGGCGGAAGGTCGGGTCGATCCGCTGGACGCGTTGCCAGGATTGCGCAGCATTTGTGCGAAAGAAGGGCCCAGGTCGTTCGACGAGGAAACCGCGCAGTTTTGGGAAAGCCCCAGCGCAGGTTCCGCCTCTTCGAATGCACTCAGAGAGGGACTGCTGGCAACGCTCGAATTCGCCACGGACTCCGAAGGAGAGGGTATATTAATTCTGGAAGGATTGAACGCACATCTCGGGGTCATTATCCACGTATATCGAGTTTCGGCACTTATATTCTAGGGATCCCTTACTCGGCCGATTGCTGTTCCGGTTGCCATTGCGGGAAATGTTGGTCCGATTCGATGTACACTCGGGGCGAGGGGTACTTCCCCATCTGCTTGTTCTCCTCTTCCCGTATCTTCTTCTCCCTCTTCCTCTCCTCGCGTTCTCTCCGCTGACGTCTCCTCTGGCGCGTCTCCAGTTGGTCTGGTAATTCGTGACGCGTTACTCGCAAAAGCGGATCTCAGATGTAATCCTCGGTGTTAAATGTAATTATGCGTACCGCGAAAGTAGTCGAGCACTTCCTCGGATATGGTGGGCGGTGTTATCTCGATCTCGGCGATCTCGAATTGACAAGTTACCGGCAAGTGACGCAAGTATCTAAGGCGACGCCTTAAGTCTTCCGAGAAGCTTCCCACTTCCTTTTCCAGGAGTTTACCGGTGATCGTGCGAGGGCAGTTTTCCAAGCTACCGTATTGCACTTCCAACATCCGAATGTTCATTGCATGAAGGTAAATATGTTGGCCATCCTCGACTGTTGAAAGACAATGGAAAATTCAAGCAACGATCCGAACAAATTTTACTATGTAAATGTACCGCTGAAAGGTAATATATAATAAAAGCCACGTATTAATATTAACACTTGTCTTGCCTTGGTAAAAGTAGAAATATTTGTTAGAAGCAGAGCAGTCCGAAGAGTTGTCGATGCCATTATCCATATCTTTTTCAACGTCAGCCTCCAAGTGGTAGTTTGGTAGATCTTTGCTGTTCTCAATTTTCTCTTCTTCCTCTTTCTCGAAGCCAGAATTCTCTTCAATAGTTGATTCTTTATGTTCGTCGGTGTCCTTCGATACTTCTTCCTGGACTTTGAGATCAGGAGTATCATCGGGCTGGGAAACTTGATCGGAAGTGGGTAGTTTATCTTCTTCCTAGTGGAGAAACATGTGTTAATATTTGTCTTAGTTTAAAATTAATAATTAAATTAATACTTCACCTGTTGAAACAGTTGTTTTTCTCTTGACATTAGTTCGCCGAGGGCTTGCTCGATGAAACAGTTTTCCGGTGACTGTGGGTTCTCCATTAATTCAACACTCAATTGTGCGCGTTCGCACTCGATGATGTCCATTATCTGCACATGTATTACAATACTAATAAGTATTACCACAGGATACATTTAAATCATAACAAATCAAACTTACATCTCCACTAGCCCCCAGTAGGAGTTTGGAGTAAATCTGGCTGTGTATGTTTCTGGAAAATGGAACGACCGTATTCGGTGTACAAGCATCCAATTCGTCAACAGGCACAGGAAGCAGAGAGTCACGCTCCCGGCGCATCAACCTCAGATTCACAACATCTCCGATGTTATGCACTTTTGAAGTCACCTCGACCACGCTACAAATAATCACTAGTTACAACTTTGGAATTTTTCGTACATTTTCTGGATGATGTAAAAACAAAAATTGCCAAGATCCAATGAACAATAAATGTTTAAGGACACAAAGAACTTTTCACGCCACCTTTTCAGATCTGCCTTGTGGATGGACTCGTAGCAGATGGGACACTTGCGCCACGATTTGTCAGAAAGAGCCAGATAATGAAGAATGCATGGCCAGCAGAATACATGACCACAGCGTGTCATCTTTGCAGCAATTGGAGAATATAGACAGATGGGACAAGATAGATTCTCGGTGGTATGAACTCTCTGCGGAAATAAATCACCCACTGTATAACACCATTTAATCCTAATGTCATTTCCTATCTTATTACGATACGAACTAAATGAACGATAGTACCACCACTTTACTATTGCTTTCATCGCACTTACAATCTGTTCTATCAGACTCCAATCGACTAAAATGTCAGGATCGGCGAGATAAGCGGTGTAATCCCCTTTTGCAGTCACGACGAACTGGCAACTGAAAAAGACATTAATTAAGAATACAAATTATCCTAAGGCGGTCAAGTCTAGGAGAAATACATACTTAGCCTGCAGGAATTGTTCTTTATTGTACTTATGACGTTGGACAGGTGGAAGCCAACGATTACTATTGCGACTGTAGCCTGCGACCATTTTCGAATAATTCGAGTTCCACGTTCCTGAACCTCCTCGACCATCGCGTGGTGCATAATGAAAATTCAGCAGATGATTCAAATTCTGCTTCTTACTTCCTTGAGCCACAACTGAGCCGTGCTCAGCGGATGCATTTTCCACTACCTAATTGAATTCAAGGTAAGACGTATAACTAACTAAACGTTACAGGAATCCATGCATACATAAAAGCAATTCAACCATCAGCGCACAGAATAAATGTTTACCTTGGTATCCTCCGTTGAACGGCCATGATACTGTCCTTTAGGTTTCGGTCTCTTATCAATACTTTTTGCTTTCTGTACGCCGGACTTTCTCGATTGTTCATACTTGGGAACATTATTGGTACTAGCTGGTTCTCGTTTACGTGAGGTCCTCGGCAGGAGTTTAGTACTAGCAACATCTGCGACATAAGACCATATACATTGACATCGAGCAAGATCGCAGTTTCAACGGCAGGATCGTATCAGTGGTTTGATTACGCCCAAGAGCAGAAAATCTCGGATTTAAAATAGAGTCGTCAAACAAGGAAATTGCACGGACGGTGACGTCAGTGAATGACTTCCCAGAACAACAGGACGAACCTTGATTTTTTTTGGCGTCAGCAGTGGCCCCCTTAGCAGAGGTCTGCTGAAATTTGACCTTTTTGTCCATAATTTCCTCGGCCGTGTCCGCCGAAGTCGTTAAAGCAGTTAGAGACGAAGTGTCCTCCGTATGGAGAAACGATATCTTCCTGCAGACCCTTCATCTTTTCAGTAAGCCATCTTCGACAATTTCAAAGTGAGAAAATTTCCTTCCGGGAACTTTCTTACGATCCAGCTGAGCTAGAGCGGCTTCCAAAACTCTCCAACTAATTCTCCTTCCAGGGAGAAGTCGTCTCCCTGGCGCGGTAAACCAAGATTTTAATCCGACCCACCTCAACCGCGATCTTCGTCGCTGTAATGGCGACGACACTCTGACCGGAAGGGCCTGCGACCGGAACCACGCCGGAAGTCAATCAGAGTACTCTTATTAATACTCTCTACTGTACTCGAATTTCCAATCCGATCAGTCACTAATTCTAATATTCATTTCCCGATTTTGCGAAAGTAGTTGCTAACGTTAACCTCTATGAAATAAATTTCCATGCAGGTTTAAATATTACTGACTCTACATAACCAAACATAACCTAACCAGTTCCGAACCGAATACGAGTCACGCGCAGTCACGCGTTAGCTCTGTGTTTGCAAATAGCTCTAACATTAAAATTAGCATGGCACAAGGTAAACTCAAGGTAAAATCGAAGCTACCACCCTCGTCAAAGACGAAGTCGAATAAAAAAGCAAAGGGTCCACCGGTTCACCGAAGAGATAGTAAGCTTTGATTTTTAATGCATTCGTACCACTTATTTACTATGTACATCATTTCGTAAAAATGTTTCTAGATGCGCCCGTCAAAGCGAAGAAAACAAAGCTTCAAGAAGCGCACAAGTTGAAACAAATGATTTCAAAGAATGTTAATAAATCAGTGGAGACTGAACTTCGACAGAGGGCTTTAAATGGGAAGCAATCATTGACGAAGAAAGACGCTAAGCCGACGACGGAAAAACGACATACCAAGTGATTTCTGTAACAAACTCATCGTGAGTATATTTCTCTATGATTGTGCAATTAAAACGGATACTGGCTATAAAAATATTATCACTTCCCATTGTGTATTTAAAAGTTTTAAGTGAGTTTCATTTGTATCCCTTAAAGAGTTGTGACTAAGCTAAGCTTTCTAATATTGTTCACTGATTGTATTAGTTCTGGCAGCAATGTCAGTAATTTATTATCTTTTTACAAATTCTTTTGGTACAGTTGTTGCATATAAGATACTTGTACCATTAGTATTAAAAATATTTTGATGCTCTGCTGACAATTTTACATTATTACTAGCGATGTCATTGCATCGAGATAATGGCACGTTAAACCACATGTTGATTTGTAGTAAAGAATTGATACGCAGGAAGGGAATTCATTGTACAGAGACAAAATTCAAGAATAGCATGTAAAAAATCTAAAACAGTGTTTTGGTAAAATAGGTCTCGATTTGTGCAATTAACATCCTCCCGGAAGTTAAAAGATCGACAAGCCCTTTCCTAACTCCGATAGTGCATCTCTTTCTGCTGCTTAAACATGTACAATTTATAACCCTAACATCGCACAATGTACACGACTAAGGCACACGCCATTTGATGTACTGCTTAAGTACAATTACTTAACAATATATTAATTCTTCTTAATACTCTTCTTCGCTAAATCACATCGTTGTGGCTCACTCGGTAACGGTGCTCGCACCCCCGAGAACACTGCCAAGAGTAAATTAATTTACCCTTCCCTTCGATTTTACGGAGAAGCGACCTGAAACCAGGCAATTGTTTACAAAAATATTCCACAGGTTCCTAAATACGATCGACCTACCACAAGAAGGTGGCCATTTTGTCTGCTCTTGCTGATCGCAGGGTTAGGGCCTCTTTTAAATTCAATCGTTCCTTCCTTCCCGCTGACTAGCTTATGTGAAACTCTGACAAAGAGAATACATTTACATGAAAAGAGTCAACGATACCACCAAATCCAAAAGAGGATTCAGTTAATCCAGACATGACGCATCCCAATTAATTCTCAATTTGAACTTACGATTCGTTGTTGACGATGTTAAGGATTTTAGGATTCTGCGTAATATCGATCGCTTTAGTCAGCGCTTCAATGATGTGAGGCACCTCGAGAATCAGATCGCCCTAATTTCGTAAATAAACAGTCAAGATTAAAGAGCCGATGATCCCGAAGTATTGACTATGCTGCGAAAGCCATCGATCCTACCTTGTCCTTCTTAAGTTCCGGAGGTATCCTCATAATCAGCAGGTTATCCGATTCCCCGGTGACAACCAGCTCTTCTATCGACTTGTAAGGCAACCGGTGTTTCGACTTGAAAGTTTTAGTGTCCAATATGTAGACCGCCTTCTCCGTAAGAATCAAGGCTCTCTCACGAGGTTTGTATCCGTGTCTATCATATTTGATAACAGGAGTAGCGTACTGGAACGCAATTAACCTCGTTAACCCCACTCAACATACACAACCACCCACAATCCTTACCTTTATCCTCTCACCGTTGGGAAGTATATTATTAATGAAGCTTTGTTTAAGCGCCATATAATCCTCGCCCAACCGGTCGATACGGAATCTGGGGCCTAAACTTCTCTCATAAGATTTCTTCTTCCCCTTGAAGAGACTTTCCGCCAGGATTTTCAATTCAAAATGCTCCTTCTCCTCCTTCGAGAGACCTAACCTATACTTCCTCGCTTTCCACCTCCTGTGCATCTGGCGCAAAAGCTCGGAGGCCTGAGAAGATAATCAAACATTTCGTCTCTTCTAGCCAAGGAGAAGAAAAACTCATCGAACCAGGATTTACCTGCTGACAGGAGTGAGGACAGGGTGGCCAGTTGTTGTTTAAAACACCCTGCGGAAGACTTCTCGATAGCCTTAGAAGCCACTGAGCCTTCGCTAGCTCGATAAACGCCACGTTCTCCTCATTAGGCGGCCCATTTCGCGTGATAAATCCCTTGATGAACCTGTGACAATTAAAACACTCTAAGAAAACGGACACCCTCACAATCTTTGATTAAAAATAAAAAAATAAAACAAAACCACAGAAAGTAAAGCTTGCCAAATAAAAATCTTAAATGAAATAATCAGAATTTTTCGCACCTTCTGATCGCGATTACCGCTCTTCTCCTCTGTGCAGCTTCTCGTCGAGCCTTCCATCCACGAAGATACCTCTGCAGGGTGATCGTCGCCGCCCTCGTCTTCAGGTATTTCTGCCTCTGCACGTACCCCTTCCACCTGCTCTGTATTATCGCCGCGATATCGTGCTGCCTTATCTGGAAGGCGTCCTCGGTCTCGAAGAGCGTCTTCGCGGACCTTATGAATATCTTCGTGCTGGGGATAAAGGAGATATCGGGGTAAGACTCAGCGTTCCTGGGGCGATCGCGATCCTCGGGAATCCGGTGGAGACTCACTTGCCCATCTTGTAGTCCTCAGGGTCGTATCCAAGGTGGCATACCAACACCTGGACGCCGTCCTTGATCGAGCCACGATACGAGGGCCAGGTCTGCGGACACAATGCCTTGTATCGCTGTAGGAACTGCTCGTAGGGCTTCCTGTAAGCAAACCCGGCTCGCCTCACCCGCAAGTTCTCCATAAGGCCTAAGTACTTGACCTGGTGCTGAACGATCTTCTCGTCAAATCGACCTGAAAATTGTCACCGCTACATCCACGCCCTCGGCATCTCTTCTCTTATACAAGAATGTATTTACCATGAAAACTTGGCCAAAGTCTTAATATCACCTTAACGCCAACTGGATAATTGTTAATCCACGATCAATTTAATTTAAATGGAATAAAAAAAGCAATGTTTACTGGTGGACACGTGCTCGTAAGGAGAGATAAGAAAATCTATGCCTCCTGGTGAGACCTTTGGCGAAGTCGAGTTGCGGCCGAGTTTTTAATAGTAAATACTGATATCAATGCCGAGAACTCTTTTTACCCAGCATCTTGAAGTCGTTCGGCTTGATGCACCTGATGTACGAAGGCTCCTTGCCCATCAGGATCTCCATCAGGTTGTTCAGGCTGTTCTTGAACTGGGTTACCGCGGTCTCCGGGCGTCTCTTGCTCGACAGGTCTTTCACGTGGAACACGGCCTTTAAAACGGAGCAAAGGACAATTAGAATAATTGCATCGAAGGTATATATATATTCACATATGTACCAGGTCGGCGTTACCTTCGTGATGGAGTTCGTGGTGTTCGACATGGCCTCGCGCAGGTCCCTGAAGAGGAGGTCATTGTTCTTCTCGAGGAATCCGCGCACGTTGTACGTCACGTCTCCGGCGTAATGGATCAGCCTGAATTCCTGAGAAAAAGGAAAAGGGGGTACGACGGATTTATTTATATACTCAGGGGAATAAACATTGAATTAATTGACAGAGTGGGTCTTACGTCGCGACCCAGGGTCTTCTGGGTCTGAAGATCGGCCTTCATGTGGCTGATGTAGTGCTGGTGTCCGAGCAGATTCGAGTTCATCTTGTCCAGGAAACTGATGTCGGTCGGATCACCAGGTCTCAGGCACTCCTCGTCCATCAGCGATATTATCCCTGGACCGAGGTCAGGGTAGTTGAAGAGATCAAAGGCGGACCGGGTAGAAGAAGAAGAGGGATGCCGGGAGTTTACCTTTGTACTTTTCCTCGATCAGGTCGCAGATGACCTTGTTGTTGAAGTAGGACACGTTCTCCCAGGTGATGCCCTCTCTGAGGTACTCCTCCTGCTCGGACTTGAGCGTCAGCTGGATGAAGAGCTGTTGGAGCTTCTCGTTGCAGAAGTTAATGCAGAACTGCTCGAAACTACCGGGATTAATTTTAAGGTCGCGTTAATGTATATATATATATATATCTCACCGATGAAGGTCCTGGGGAGGGGCTCGGGCCTTACCTGTTCCTCTGGAAGATCTCGAACCCGTAGATGTCGAGGATCCCCATGACCACTTTGCGATGCCGGTACTTAGGCTGAAGGGACTTGTTCAGTCTGCTCACCAGCCAGGTGAAGAGCCTGTCGTAGACGGCCTTCGCCAGGGCGTCTCGGGCGTAGATCGCGAGTTCTCGGTTCAGGGGGGAGACCACTACGTCACCGTGGGCATCTATCGTGCGATGAGTAAAGGCCTTGGCCAGGCTCTTCGTGTCGCAACCCAGGAGCTGCAAAGGAAACGTCCAGTTAGAGGGATACTCGGCCCTGCCTCCGATTCGCCGTTTCCAAACTCCTAGACACGTCAACCCGACGGGGAATCATTCGCTCAGGAAGTCATCTACTTTAACCCTTTGAACACGGAGCCATTTCGACATATGGGCGAAATTCGTCTGACCGTGCAGGCAATATTGGACCATATGTCGGGTGCCTTTAGGCGCTCTTAGTAGCCAAAGGGTTAATCAAAATCGCAAGACCACTGGTAACCGGTGTTAATCACCGAAACATTGTTACAATCTCAAGGCCGAGCGTCACTTGTTACCAAATTCTGTTACCATTTGTGCCCATAATTATGAAAATGGTCTAAGTCATATATTTTTTGTTTCGAAATTACATTGAATTAATTTCGTTTGAAATAATATGGCGTGAAATAACTGATAAACTAATTTTTTTTTTTAATTTTGACTTAGACCACTTTCATAATTATGGGCACATATAACAGTGTTCACTGTGTACCGAGTGAACATCCCTTCTTGTATCTACCTTGGAGACGGCGTCCACCGACCCCGGCTTAAGGATCTTGGCGACACCCTCTTCCTCGGTGAACCCGACGTTCCCCATGTGCAGGACCGACGCGACGATGGCGAACAGGTCGTCCTGTTCCTGCTGGGTCATCTCTACGGTCTTCATGGCTTCGATCACGGACCTGTACTGCTTGGCATCGTCGATGGTGTCCACGGTACCCTTGGTCTGCTCTCATCGTAAACAAATTAATGAAGGAAATTGATCGGTCAAGACTCAAATCGACCTAATAAACCCGAGGAGAGAGAGATATTCGTCACTTACGCCGCTACTTAAATAGTAATACGTGTCCAAATTGCGCTTCAGGAACAGCTTTCGGAGTGCCTCTTCACTAGCCCCCGCCAAGAGTTGGTAGAAGATGTGGAAGTTCCTCTCCCCGACCGTCTGGTTGACCACCCGAGACTTCTCCAGCAGGTAATTCAGGATGTTCCCGCCTATAGGGTCGCCCTGGCGAATTTCGAAAAATAAATAAATAAATAAATGGACTCATAACCGCCCTCGATTTTCCCTTTCCAGGGTACAACTTACGTGGAAATTGAACTGGATGTCCATGTACTTCCCGAATCGCGAGGAATTGTCGTTGCGGTTCGTCTTGGCGTTGCCGAAAGCCTCGAGGACGGGATTACTGCCTATGAGCTTGACGTTGACCTCTTCGACCTGCTTCTTGTGTCCGGTCGCCGCAGCAATGTACTCGAGCACCTTCTTCGAGGCCTCCGTCTTCCCGGATCCGGACTCTCCTGCAACGATTAGGGGCCATGTAATACCTGGTGCCCGATGTACATATGCAATACATGGTACCTGGGTAATACCTGAAATCAGGATACACTGGTCCCGGTTCTCATGGGCGAGAGACTGGTACGCCGTGTCGGTGAGAGCGAAGCTGAAATCTCGACATAGTCAGTCCCCAAAATGCCCGACAAGGCGGTAAAAAAGATAGACTTGATCAAGAGGGGAAGAAGAAAGAAATGTGTATCACCACTCACATGTGCGGCGGGGCGTCGAAGAAGTGCCTCTTCCGGTAATACTGAATCGTCTCGTGGTTGTAAATGGGCAGCTTCTTGTACGGATTGACGGACACCAGAACCTGGCCTATGTAGGTCTGAAATGCGAGGGGAGGAGGAATAAAGAAAAAGAATGGCAAAATTAGAAATTGATGAGCCAGCGAGTGTGAGAAAGTGCAGTCGGCACTTCCTGGGCCGAGCCAAGGCCGATGGAAATGCGACGTCGAGGCGAGAGGGAGAGAAAAAAAGGGGGAAAAAAAATAGGGGAGGACATCCTGACAATCGAGGACCGTTCGATTATAAATTTTTGGGCTCACGTAGATCAGGTCTTCTTTGAAGCGCTTCTTCAGGTTCTCGATGAAGGCGGCGATGCTCTCGAAGTCCTCCAGGAGGACGCAGTCCTGGACGCCGACGCGGTCCCTGTCGTGAAGTCCCCTCTCCATGGTCGTAGGAAGTTCCAGGGGAAGCTCTCGAGGTTCCTCGTTCCCCTCCTGGCTGGACCAGGACTCTGCACCAGCCCCCTTCTCTCTGAAAAAAACCGGAACGGGTATATTTTAACTGGGACCAGCCTTCCTTCCTCGCCCTTTCGAGGCTTTCGCCATTTTTCATTGCTCCGCCGGTTTCTGCACCTCTCCTGCGAGGAGTCGACGTTCTTAGCTGAGAGAGAAAAATAAAAATAGGGATTCCCTTCAACCGGAGGAATAAATGCGTATATGATATCGAGGGCCTAGCGAAGGCCAAATTATCCTCCTAATATGTTGGATCGAATTCTTTTGTTTATTAAAGAAAGGTTTTCGCCCTTTTTCCTTGCTCCGCCGGTTTCTGCACCTCTCCTGCGAGGAGTCGACGTTCTTAGCTGAGAGAGAAAAATAAAAAAGGGATTCTCTACAACCGGAGGAATAAATGCGTATATGATATCGAGGGCCTAGCGAAGGCCAAATTATCCTCCTAATATGTTGGATCGAATTCTTTTGTAACCTAACCTAACCTAACTTGGACCGAATTCTTTTGTTTATTGAAGAAATTAATTTTAAGACGCATTAAGGTGATATGAATGTGGCGTCGAAGAGGTTTTGTTTATAAAACTTTTCTCCCAACTGGATTTAACCGAATAGTTTGAAACTTTACAACGTGAATAAACAGACTATAAGGAAGGTCCTGAAACTCATGAAATTTCAATTCTTTGCAAATTTTTTTATAGGTATTTTAAAAATAGTTTAGAAAAAATGAAATTTCCCGAGTTCCAGGACCTACCTTAGGGTCTCCATATTCACGTTTTAAAATATGACACGATTTGAGACACCCAGTTCATAGAAAAGTTTTATGAACGATTGAGCTTTCAGATGCCACTTTCACATCCCCTTAACACATTCACGACCGCTGACGTGAATTCACGTCATTTTAAATTCTATTCCCGATTGCCGCTGACGTGAATCACGTCCGTAACGATACACGATACAAGTTTACGGCAACCAGTATAAGAATTTCATTATATTCGCCGGTACTCAGTATTTGAAACGGAAGAAAATTTGCCGGTCGCGAATGTGTTAATATGGGTGTAAATAAACAAATTATACTACTGCTACCGATTCTCGTCCGATCACCGAAGTTAAGGGACGTTGGGCGGGGTCAGTAATCTTCGCGGTACCGAATAAGTACTTTGTCAATTTCTTTCATTTCCCTCGGCGTAGATTTCCAGCTTCGAGGGCGGGGAAGGACTCGGAAGGACTCTCGGGATTTCGCGAGGATTCTCGATTTCGGAAAGCGAGGTATCGATCCACCAGCGCGAATCGAGGCTTAGCCTTCTAGGTCGCCACGATAAGGCCCCGATTAGATATCGAAAACGCTCGATCGGTTTGGAAGAATTCCGGCGATAAGACGTCGCAAGAATCCACGTAGCATGGCCGAGAGTACGTCCCTCTTCCTCTCGCGAAAAAATTGTCGCAATCCTGTCGCTAAGTCCAGAACTTGGCGGACCATCTAGTACGCCCATTCGTGAATCGCGTCGATGTAATGATCAGTATCGAATTAAAAAATATCGAATCAATAATTAATAGTATCAAACTAATTAATTAATAGTATCGAATGAATTAATTAACAGTATCGAATTAAAAGGAAATCTCCCCAAAAGTTTGTCGGGCTAACAAGTACGCCCACTCGTAAGACAAATCGATGTAAGGATTGGAGGATAAAATTAAAGAACCTGTCTCGCAAAAATCTCGCCCTGGCAATTTAAACGACCGCGTACTTATTCCAAGTGGCTTGTCTGGATACCTGCTAAAGAAGAGAAAAAAAAAAATCCGACTAGGAGACCCTGCAAAAATTCGAGCCTCGCTACTTAAACGACCGCACATACTCTAAATTCGTTGTCTCAATGTCGAGCGAAAAGGAAAAAAAAAAAACACGTGACTCACGATAAACGACCGCGCACTTACTCCAAACTGCTGATTGCGATATCTGCTAGGAACAAGAAAAATAACAATAATAATTTGAGACAGGAGAAAATTCGCAAAAGAAAAATTAAAAATAAAACAGAAATTCAATTCCATCCTGCAATCCCTACATCGAAAAATCGCAGGAACAAGAAAAACAATAATAATAATAATAATTTGGGACGAGAGAAAATTCGCAAATGTCCGAACCTTGCGATCTAAACGACCGTGCGCTTACTCCAGATTAGTTATCGCGATGTCGCGTTGAAAAAAAAAAATAAAAAAATGTGTGACCCGCGATTTAATCGGCCACGCACTCCCTCGCATCTTGGACGTCCTCCCGCAGTGTTTCGCGTACTCACCCCATAACGCGATCGTCACTGTAACCTGAGGAGGTACCGGTCCTCTCTCTCCGGACAACTGGGGACAATTGTGGAGTCTCGGCTCTCCTCGACCGGACCCCGAGATAAGATAGCGGAGCTTCGCACTAAGAGAAGGACTCCCTCCCCCTGGAGATCGTGGGGATAATCCGCGATCGACCCCGAGATCCCCAGAGGTACACCTGTCGCTTCCCAGGGCCACCTCTCGGGGGGCCACGTGGCACCCGACGACGGCGACGACGCCGACGACGCGAGGGAAGGTCGCGGTCGCTCCGAAAATCCCATTTCCTACATAAATTCCCGCCGAGCGATCGACCTTATCGCTAACGAGTGTAAAGTTCGAGCCGCGAGCTCCGTCTCTCTTATCATCGTTCGTGCCGCTCGTGCCCCCCCTCCCATTTATTATGCCACGGCATAAAGAAACAATGCCGATTCCCAGAGAAATATGTTCCGAAGGAAAATGAAGAAGGGAGAGAGAGAGAAAACAAAAGAAAAATCGAACACCCGGGTATTATGTACAGTGGGGGACATGAATGCCTTCCCTGCAGATATGGTGTGCCGATGCAAGGTGGAAAGGCATTCATGTACATCAGTGTACGTACCCTCGATTTTCTTCCAGGAGGAGAGAAAGGAAAGGAGAAGAACCGAGGGGCCATTTTTATACAAACCCTCCCTTTACAAGAGTTCGATATTAAAGGATTAGAGGATTTCTGGAGTTTCATTTCGATTTCTTGATAATGATTGTAGGAAAACGACAGGTGGAGCATGCCATTTGGTACAATACCCAATATAATTCTACCCGGCTGTCGATATAAAAACGAACGTCGGCAACGTAGGTATCTAGAAAAGTCTTCTCCGTCGACGTCGATCAAGTTCCTCGGCGTGTTTCACTTCACCTTAAATGGTGCAGTTCCAAGGACTCCTCGAAATGGGGAAACGACTCGGCGGAATCGGCGCTTCGTCATCGCGTCGTTAATCCTCGCTCCAATAGTTATTCTTTCGTATGACGCAAAGAGTGACGCGACGCGCGAACGTGCGGCGATACATCGTAAACAGAGGGAAAGCGCGGCTCGTCGCTTGCGCATCCCGCGCCCGTATCGGTTTCGACCAATCAGAAGCGAGCGCGCCCGCATCGACCAATCAGAAGCTCGCGCGCCCGCATCGACCAATCAGAACCGCGCTCGCCGGCGTCGACCAATCAGGTGCGAGCTCGCCCGCATCGACCAATCAGGACAGCGCGCGCCGGCGTCGACCAATCAGAAGCGAGCGCGGCCCGCATCGACCAATCAGGACCGTGCACGCACCTAGCGGCGACCGTCTTCCCTCGTTTGGAATTAGGGTCAGCCGCGGCGGCGTTCGCGGCGATGATTCACGTCCCGCTGACTCAGGGATGCCGACGCCTCCCCGCCGTAGCCGTTCAACGGGCTTAACCTTCTTAGCGCCTCTGCTTCTCTCCGATCGACCTGTCCCCGGCGAGGCTCGCTCCTCTCAGACTCCCCGGCGAGGCGCAGGTGAACAGCTGACCGGTGAGCCACCTGGCCCCCGATGCGCGCGCCTCCGCCTCTGCGCCGCGTTTCCGTCGCGGCTATCGGCAGGGCCCGTTATCTCTCCTATATCAGCGGGGCTCGATATCGTCCCCGGCAGCGGTTTCCCGCCTCGCCGAGAGTCGGTCGACTCCACCTTCCTCTAACGGCGACGAGCAACGGTAACCGCGCGTCCGGGACTTTCCCTCCCAGGACGTGGCCATCGCCAAGGTCGACCCTGGGAACGTTATTCGGCATCTTCTCGACTCTTCCCCTAATTTTTTTTTTAGCTATTCCCCGCACCCTCGTTCCAAGGGGAGCCGGTTAGAGCCAGGGTCTTCCCCGATACCCTCGCAAACCATCCCGACAACTCTGCACCGAGGGGCATGAAAGAAAGGCATGCACGTCCACCATTAGTGCGCCAGCGAAGCGAGGTCTTCGGCGAAGACCAAACTTCGCCTTCGGGAGGGGCCTTTGTTACGACTGGTCGCCGCTAGCCGTTGGTAAATTTCCTACGTTTAGAGTACACTAGGTCAGGGTTGGGTAATTTCGCGTTTTTTTTTTTTTTTCTCTCCAGGTTTCTTACGTACATCACGTTAACCATGTAGTTACACCGTGGAAAATCAGTAAACTACGTTTCCCAATGTGAAGGATGCCGCAGACGCACGATATATGTATACGCTAGGTTTATAAACGTCTTTTAGCGCACGTAACGTTTTCTACGCTTTTCTTAGACGATCACGAGTCACGTGTCAAAGTTTCGGACAGTTGGGTCCGATACCCTTGAAAAAAAAAAAGTGTATTCTAATCGACCGATTTGAAGGGGGTTTCACTTCACCTTAAGCAAAGGTGGATCTTCCAGTTTCACCTGGCCATTCTTCCTCGCCGTCTCCAGGTAGGGCCGAGGTCTCCGAATCCGAAGCGATGGCGGCCAACCGGTTTTTCGAACGAGACAAAAGCGATTTTTTCGCGCGCGCCCCCCCTCTCCTCTCGGAACCCCCCACCCGACGCGCGAAGGCCAAGTCGGTAAGGTAGGCGTCGACCTTCGTATACCGAAACGGTCCGAGGCTCCTTGCCCCCCTCTCCTCGAGTTTTTGCGCCTCGACGGCGACGTCGGCTCGCGAAAACCTCGCCCTGCCTTTTCTCTCTTCCTTTCCATTTCTACCCCGGCCCTACCGGGCCGCCTCGAAAGATTTCTTCGCGTTGACTGCACTTTTTATACTCGAAGGTAACAAGGGTACTACACTTTTCTTGAAAAGTGCAGAAGGGTAGATACACTATCGTCGACGTCCCGAACGCCAGCAGCCTCACGAATGACCGATTATAGAAAATTTTCCCGAAATTTTCCCTCCGAGACCTCGTATTCCCATCGTTTTAGCAAAGAAGCGCACAACACTTTTCTTGCCTTTATCCCGTTAAAATGCGAGTTTATCGATTACCAGAGTGTTCTAAATTGTCGTAAAATTCTCCTGACCCTTTTGTATCGCATATCAGAGCCTTCGATAATTGTATATCGATCGAAATATGAAAGCTCGACGCCGTTTTGCTTCTGGTCTGGGCTGAGTTAAACAATTTTTTTTTTAAATCCAAATTTTGAATGTGTCAGGACAATTCTTAGATGATCAGGAATGATGTGTCAAAGTTTTGGACAGTTTGGTCTAATGCCCTTAAAGAAAAGTGTTGTATTCGAATCGACTGATTTGAAGGGGGTTTCACATCACCTTAATAGCCAATGAGAATCTCTCTTAGTGGTAAATAGGTGGACTCTCATTGGCTATTGACGACAATGCCAGCGTAGAAAACAAGGGACGTAGTATACGTATTACGTATACGTATATAGTTGTATGTACCTATATACGTATATAGTTGTAATATACATGTAGAAAACCACGTATACTACTTCACGTACCACACTTACACAACCCCGGTTCGATGCTCGATAAATAGTACTTTAGCCAACGGATGGCGGCGCTGTAATCGTCTCTCCGTCTCTCTCACTCTTACGGCGACATATAGGGAATTGCACTCTTTCTCTATCTAACCCCCACACTCGCCTCTCTATATGCGTCCCTCTTCCTCCCGCACATGAGATATCGTTGGCTAACACGTGCGATCTCCCTTTTACCCCCCACTTCTTTTTTGTCAGCCAACATTTAGAGCATCGAGCGTTAAAACATAGGACCTGGGCTTCTGTGAGGGACATCTGAATTCTTATCCGAAGCTAACCTCGAAATATGAAATTCGCGCTCCGTGAGTTCATCGCGGCCAAGGACCTGCGAGAAGGTGGGGGGGGGGGGGCTCTTCGGTTCGCGGAATCCCTTTAAAGTTTACGATCCACTTGTCGGCGATCTCGCGCGAGGGACGGAGGAGAAATCGGCCCCGAGGGACGGCGGGGATCAACGAAAGTGCGGCGAAAAGGAGAAATCGCTACGGGAAGAGGCGCGAGGCGGAAAACTTAGGGAAAAGGATCGGTATAGAAAAAAAAAAGAGAGGGAGAAGAAGAAAAAACAATCCATCCAGTTCGCGTTACATCTCGCGCGGGGGGGGGGCGGGCGGGCGGGAAGGGGGAGACGGCATTTCTCGCGGGAATCGGCGACGCAGGAAACCCGAGCCGGTTGTCGGGGAAAGGCGGCTCGCCGGCTCCGGGAGGAAGGCAAGGAGCCTACCTGGTCGTACCTGGCTGGAGACGCGAGGGTCGACAAACTCACCTGGGCGCAGACCTGCGACCTTGGCCGAGGGATAAAAGAAGGGCCGCCCCACCCTCTGGGGGAGGGAAATGTTGTCGAAGCTCCGCGCGATTACCTCCCCTTACGAGGTGTACCGGTCGAAGTTTCCACGTGATTCCCTCCCCCTTGCGAGGGATATTTAAGGGTGGGCAGGGAGGAGGAGAGATTATCGAAGTTTCACGCGAGGTATACTCCAGGGCGAGAGAGGGAGGAAGGACATCATCGTGGAAACTTCACGCGATTCCCTCCCTTAGAAAAGGATATTTTAGGGTGAACGCGGAAGAGGGAAGGTTATCGAGGTTTCAAGCGAGGAATATTCCAAAGCAAACGAGGGAGGAGGGAAAATCGTGGAAATTTCACGCGATGCCCTCCCCTTTGCGAAGGATATCTCAGGGTGAGCGGGGAGGAGGAAAGGTTATGAAAATTTCATGCGAGGTATATTCTAAAGCAAACGAGGGAGAAGGGAAAATAGTGGAAATTTCACGCGATTCCCTCCCTTTGCATAGGACATTCCAGAGCGAAAGAGGGAGGAGGGAAATCATCGTGGAAATTTCTCGCGATTCCCTCCCTTTGCATAGGACGTTCCAGGGCGAAATAGGGAGGAGGGAAATCATCGTGGAAATTTCACGCGATTCCCTCCGTTTGCAAAGGATATTCCAGGGTGAGCAGGGAAGAGGGAAGATTATTGAAATTTCGCGCGAGGAATAAAAATTGAGGAAATATCACTCGATTCCCTCCCTTTGCATAGGATGTTCCAGAGCGAGAAAGGAGGAAGGGAAATCATCGTGGAAACTTCACGCGATTCCCTCCCTTTGTATAGGATGTTCCAGAGCGAAAGAGGGAGGAGGGAAAATCGTGAAAATTTCACGCGATCCCCACCCCTTGTGAGGAATATTTCAGAGTGAGCGGGGAGGAGGAAAGATTCTAAAAGTTTCATGCAAGGAATATTCCAAATCAAACACGGGAGAAGGGAAAATCGAAGTTTCCCGCGATTCCCTCCCCCACGAAGGATATTCCAGGATGAGCGGGGAGGATGTAAGGTTATCGAAGTTTCAAGCGAGGAATATTCCAAAGCAAACAAGGGAGGAGGGAAAATCGTGGAAATTTCACACGATTCCCTCCCCTTTGCGAGGGAAATTTCAGAGTGAGCGGAGAGAAGGAAAGGTTATGAAAGTTTCATGCGAGGAATATTCCAAATCAAACAAGGGAGGAGGGAAAATCGAAGTTTCCCGCGGTTCCCTCCCCCACGAAGGATATTCCAGGATGAGCGGGGAGGATGTAAGGTTATCGAAGTTTCAACCGAGGAATATTCCAAAAGAAACAGGAGAAGAGGGAAAAATCGACGTTTCCCGCGAGAGATATTCCGGGGCGGGTTAGGGAGAAGCGAAGGTCGTCGAAGTTTCCCGCGAGGGATATTCCGGGGCGAGCTCGGGAGGTACCGAACGGGACTCGACACGAGTCGCGAGAGGTCCTTGCACCCGGACCGAGTAAACTCGTTCCTTCGGCCGGCGGTAGACGCAGGGAATAGGACGCGCACCCAGGTGGCTACCGCGTAGCGATAAATCGATTAAAGATGGATCGATAGATCCGCAATAACCTAAACTCGATTTAACACGGTCCGTGGGTTACGTGGCTTTGTGTCTTTATATGCTTACTCTCTCTTTCTCCGTTCAACGACCGACTCCCTATTTGGCCGGGCGCATTCCTCGTCCCCTTTCGGGCCGCCTCGGAGGTCGGACTCCTCCTTTCGGGTTGGGTTAACAGTTCCTCACGACCTTACCGAACGCAGCCGGGACCGTTGAAACTGATGGTCGTTTCCAACGTACCTCGGCACCCTGGTCACGAGCGACAGGTGGATCGCCGAGCGAAGACCGCGTGGCCCGCGCGCCGTCTCGACTCGACAGAGCAACCGCACCGTACGCCGCGCGTCGCGATCGGTCGCGAACTGAGCGGCTCGGAGCGGCTGCGCGCGCCTCGCCGCGCTCGGGGCCCGCCGGCGGGCCCGAGTCCGCCCGACCGCTTCCGAACCCGCCCGAGCCCTCCCGACCGACGCGCTCCGACCCGCCGCGCGGCCGATTTTGCATTCTTTCACCACGAAAAGCGATATTCTTCTTTTCCTTCCAAAGTTATCAACCAAGGTCAGGTATTCCAATCCGAGCGCGTAACCTGCTACCGATGAGGTCTACGGTAAGTGCGAGTCTTCGCGGAGGTGCTGCTCGAATTTTTCTAGGGGTAGTAAGCGTTTTTTTATATCCACCGCGTGGACTCCGCCGGGCGCAATAATATTACTCATCTTGTTTAACGAGCGTTATTGCATCTCGTAAATTTTCAGGGTCGTCTCGGACGAGCAGGTGTGGAAATTCCTAGGTTAACCCGCTGTGGGAGTGTGAGGTGGGTCGAGGGACGCGACCTGGGTTTAGATTTGTCCTAGAGAAGCGTCGTGTCTAAAGAGGACAACGCGGGAAGCCAAAATGTGCTCTAGGAGTACGATTCGGTCATCGATCGGACGTTAAGCCGGATTCGCTGTCCATAAATCTTCCCATAAGATAGGCACTGTGTTCCACGTCTCGTTAGATACTTCTCGAGGTGGGCGATTTGCAGAAGGCGTTAACTCGAAGTCGTAGAAACGTAATATTAAAGCCTCTCTGTGATATAATAAAAATAGCCTCTCTGTGATATAAAAAAAAAATTACAGAAGGCGTTAACTCCAAGTCGTAGAAACGTAATATTAACCCTTTGCGGACGAGACTTTTCCATTATAAAAGCTTTTGGGCGGCTATTTGCCGACATTCGTCCGCAAAGGGTTAAAGCCTCTCTATGATATAAAAAAAAATTGCCGAAGACGTTAACCCGAAGTCGTAGAAACGTAATATTAAAGCCTCTCTGTGATATAATAAAAATAGCCTCTCTGTGATATAATAAAAATAGCCTCTCTGTGATATAAAAAAAAATTGCCGAAGGCGTTAACCCGAAGTCGTAGAAACGTAATATTAAAGCCTCTCTGTGATATAATAAAAATAGACGTGGACGAGATCCAGAACATTGTAGACGGGAAGGAGTACGGAAAGGACGACTCTTTCTCGTAAAAACTTATAATGGGATGTATACCTAAAAATGCTTGTAAGTTTCTTGATATTTTGCATACGAGTAACAGCGAAAGTTTTCGGAATTTAATTTCGGTTTCTTTATCAGGTGCAAGGCGAAGAAGGTGGGGCAGATGATAGGGAAGGTATGCCAGAGCGTCACAACGAGGAAAAAAATGGAAATCTATTAAAAGTAGTCTATTTCAGGAGGAAAACTCGACGTCTGAAAGGGAGCGAACGAAGAACTTATTACCGAGGAAGACACGAGTTCACTTGGCCGACCAATGGGCGAAAAGCTCCCCTTGATGTTCAGCTCTCAGTGTGAGTGCTTTCTAGTCAGTATGCGATGTCCATGATTTATCCATAAGTCCATAATCCTGCGTCGGTGGTGCCACAAATCCGATCGGAAGGCCGAGGTGGGTTAATCGGTCACGGAGAATCGTCACGCGAGGCGCCGCGTCGAATGCCAAGTTTACTTGGCCAAACAATGGGTATAAAGCACCCCTTTTGTCAGTCTTTCAATTTAGTGGCCTCCTCCCCAGCGGACGATATTCCTGATTTGTCGAAAAATCCATACCTCCTTAGCAATGGTACAGACTGACGGTGCCAAAAATCCGGCTGCCAGGTCGCCGCAAAGCGTCACGTTGACTTCCAAATTCACATGGACGGCCAATAGGAAGCGACCAGAAAGAAAGCGTCCCTTACAAAGGGTCTTAATGCAGTCATCTTATCATTAGATATGCACGATTTGTCTAAAAGTCCTTATCTCCTTTATCAATGATCCAGGCATACTAGCAAGCCAGGGTTAATCGGTCGCCGCAAAGCAACACGCGAGAAAGCGTAGCGTCGAATGCCAAGTTCACCTGGACGGCCAATAGGAAGCTACCAGAAAGAAAGCGTCCCTTACAAGGGTGTCAATGCAGTCATCTTATCATCAGATATGCACGATTTGTCTAAAAGTCCTTATCTCCTTTATCAATGATCCAGGCATACTAGCAAGCCAGGGTTAATCGGTCGCCGCAAAACAACACGCGAGAAAGCGTTGCGTCGAATGCCAAGTTTATCTGGACGGCCAATAGGAAGCTACCAAAAAGAAAGCATCCCTCACGAAGGGTCTCAATGCAGTCATCTTATCATCAGATATGCACGATTTGTCTAAAAGACCTTATCTCCTTTATCAATGATCCGGACATACTAGCAAGCCAGGGTTAATCAATCGGTCGCCGCAAAGCAATACGCGAGGAAGCGTAGCGTCGAATGCCAAGTTCACCTGGACGGCCAATAGGAAGCGAGCTCGTGGTCGACCAGAAAGAAAGCGTCCCTTACGAGGGTGTCGATGCAGTTTCCTCGTTATCAGATATGCACGATTTGTCCAGAAGTCTTTATCAATGGTCCTGACCGATGTTACCACAAGTCCAGCCAGCAAGTCGGGGGTTAATCGGTCGCCGCAAAGCGGCACGCGAGGAAGCGGAATGCCAAGTTCACCTGGCCGGCCAATGGGCGGCAGGCTCGGGGCCATCCCGGCGATCGAATCGAGTAGCCACCCCCGAGCCATCGGCCACTCGGCCAGTCGGCCGCTCGTCCGCAGCCCGACACGTCGCGGCCCCGCTCGCCCTGCCGATCACCGACCACGCGACGACCCACGTCGAGGGTCACGTCGAGAATGCCACCTAATGTGCACCGCGGGTCAACCGACGCGTAGATCGCCGCAGGTCGAGGGATGGTCCTGCCGAGGAGCACGACGCCCCCGCGGGGCGAGACCCCCCGCAAAGAGGCGCCCAAGCCCGGTCGCAAGTCGCGCGGGAACAGCCCCGAGAAACCCGTCGTCGTGTCCAAGAGCAAGATCCCCGGCTCCCTGGCGAGGTCCGGAGGAAGCGAGTGAGTGTCCATCGACGATTTCGAGCTCCACCCTGAAGACGGTCGACTCCGGAGCGACAGGTGCTGGGGACCTTCCAATCGGGTCGATTCGAAATCGAATCGAATCTACCCTCGGTAGCGATCAAAGTGGGCACCCCCCTACGTGGAAGCGTCTCCAAGCGTCCAACGATCCTCTTTGCGCTAAGAAAAGAAAAATTGTACAAATTACCGGTATAATTATATAAAATAGGCGCCAGTACCTGCGAGTGGTAGGACACTATAGAATAGCAATAACGTTGCAAATTGTATTTTTTCTATGATTGCATTTTATCCGCCTGGGTAGAAAAGTTGGGTGTCGTGTCCCTTGCAGGGAGTGGCGCCTATTTCCGGAGTATTTCTTTTTTTTTTGCCATTTGCCGTCTCCAAGCGTCCAACGATCCGCTTTGCGCTAAGAAAAGAAAAATTGTACAAATTACCGGCATAATTATATAAAATAGGCGCCAGTACCTGCGAGTGGTAGGACACTATAGAATAGCAATAACGTTGCAAATTGTATTTTTTCTATGATTGTATTTTATCCGCCTGGGTGGATGAGTTGGGTGTCGTGTCCCTTGCAGGGAGTGGCGCCTATTTCCGGAGTATTTCTTTTTTTTTTGTCAGGGTGGACCAGCTTGTACCTGGACGCGTCGATCTACACCCTCGATACTCTATTCGACGGCGATATCGATCGAGCTAGACCTTGTTAGGTCGTCTCCCGTTGTCTCTCGTCTCCTCGCGATGTCACGGGGCGCTCGATATTCCGATAACCACCCTTGCACGCGCGACTCGTATCTTTTCCCACCCTCTCCTCGTTCTACGTAACCGAGGGAGGTTCTTCGAGTATCCCCCAGCCGAAGCCATTAGCGAAGGCGAAATAAACGAGTGCCGATTGTTGCGACGATTACTCTAGGGAACCGCAAAACGGGGTTTGGTCTCGGCTGATGGGCTGCGCCGGCTCGTCAATTATTAAACGGCCGAGAAGCGATTAGTCGGCACCGATTGACGGGTGACCTCGATGCGGCGATTTCCCGCAAGCGCGGAATTTTCCCCCCGTAATTTCTTAACCGGTTGGAAAGTCGAAAGGGAAAAAAGGGACCTTCGGCGGAGGAGACGAGGAGGGAACCCCCTAATGCGTCATCCTTGACACCTGTCGCTCTTCAGAGGACCCGGAACGATCCTCTCGAAGATGCTCTCCTCTTAGGACTGATTGATTCATTTTCATCCCCAGGACAGGTAGCATCGAGCGATTAGGGGATGGAGACAAAAAGGTGATAGCATCGCGCCATATTCTTCCCGAAGACAGCATTAATGTCGTCGTCAGGTACTCCGCACGTTGTCTTATAATCCTGAAAAGAAAGAGAGAAGGTGTAATCTCTTTAAGGTGATGCGAAAGTGGCGTCGAAAAGGTTTCTTTTATAAAACTTTTCTCTCAATTCGATTAACCGAATAGTTTGAAACTTTACTACGTGAATAGGGAGACTATAAGGAAGGTCCTGAAACTCATGAATTTTCAATTCTTTTCAAATTTCTTTATAGGTATTTTAAAAATAGTTTAGAAAAATTGAAATTCCCCGAGTTTCAGGACGTACCTTAGGGTCTCCATATTCACGTTTTAAGGTATTAAACGATTTGAGTCACCCACTTTGTAGAAGAGTTTTATGAACAATTGACCTTTCGGATGCCGCTTTCACATCCCCTTAAGGTGATGCGAAAGCGGTGTCAAAGAAGTCTCTTTCATGAAACTCTTTACCGAATAGTTTCAAGCTTTGCAACGTGAATGTGGAAGCAATAAAAATGGTTTTGACAACTCTGAAATATCAATTTTTTTTTCTAATCTACTTACAGACGTTTCAAAAATCTTGTATAAAAAATGAAATTTCATGGGTGAGTCTGGTGAAGTCCTCTCGTTTGGCCTTTATATTTACATTGCAAAACGAGACCGATTTGACGTCGCTTTCAGGATCACCTTAAAAGAGGGCTTCTGTAGACGGATTTTCTTTTTTCTTTTTTTCAGAGTGAGACCTCTGAGCGACAAAGAGGCGAAGGCCGGCGACGACATGGCCGTCCAGTTCCCTGGGGAAGGGCAGATATACGTGAGTATCGGCCTTGCTGGGCAAAATGCATGCTAGGAGTGTAAAAGTACGAGGTAAGGGTGAAGGAATGATCTTGAGCGTTGTCTTGGCCAGTGCGAGGTTCCGGCCAGCGGTGGGACCGACAAAAGAGCGAAGGTCTTTTCTTACAACGTCGTCTTCGAGCCAGCAGCCACGCAGGAGGACGTTCTCCAGTATTCGGGCATAAAGAAGCTCATCGAAATGGCGACCGAGGGCTTCGGCTGCACCGTCTTCTGCTACGGCCAGACCGGAAGCGGAAAAACCCACACCTTAACTGGACCCCCCGGCCTGGTACGTCGATCCCCGATTTTCTTATTTCTTTTCTTATCTTTATATTTTTTTACATGGGGAAAATCTGCTGACCAGACACCCCCGCTAAATTCCCAAGGACGGAAACACTGCCCCAGCCCAGGGGCCCGATTCTCGAGTTCATATGTGCCCAAAATTATGAAAGTGGTCTAAGTCAAAATTAAAAAAAAAATGTGTTTATCAGTTATTTCGCGCCATATTATTTCAAACGAAATTAATTCAATATAATTTCGAAACAAAAAATATATGACTTAGACCACTTTCATAATCATGGGTACATATGGATTTTTTTCGCATAGGAATAGATTCGCATGAAAAATTTCATATACGAGGGGTAAGACCAACTCTTGAGGGCTCTTCTACAATCAGACCTGTTTTTGTGCGGTAGATAGGGCCCGCAGGAAAAAAAAAATATTCAGAAACTTCATAAATAGCTAGAAGAAATAATTTTTCAGAACATATTAGAGAGAATTTTTTTTATGCAGTGAAGAGGGACCGCAAAAAAAAAGTCGATAAAAAAAGATATCGAGATCGACCTTGGCTAGGCCGAAGCTCGAGCTTCGATTTTTACCCGGCTCCTATTAATGGCCGTTTACCGCGCAGTTGGGTCGATATATAGCTATTTCCGCCAACGGACAGGCCGCTGAAGACGATCTCCATGCTCTCCATTAAGAGCTTTCGCGTCCCTAATTACACCTCGAATGGGTCGAGTCGAGTTGACCGCGAATCGACGCATCGACCATTAATGGAACTCACAAATGGGAACGTCCACGCACGGCTTCCTACCAAATGATCCATGTGCCCCTTTATCGAGCGTTTCGATTATTCCGCGTGATTTCTCCGAGACCTAGAGCGATTCGATTAATTCCTTGTGATTCTTGCGTGACTTCTTTGTAATTTCGTCACTTGGAGCGGTGAAATGGCATTTTTAATATTTCATAAAATTCATGACTGATCCGTTTAGCCCCTCTATTTTTTTAATCGAGTCGAATTGACCGCGAATCGACGTATCGATCATTAATGGAACTCACAAATGGGAACGTCCACGCACGGTTTCCTACCAAATGATCCATGTGCCCCTTTATCGAGCGATTCGATTAATTCCTTGTGATTCTTGCGTGCCTTCTTTATAATTTCGTCACTTGGAGCGGTGAAATGGCATTTTGAATATTTTACAAAGTTCATGACTGATCCGTTTATCCCCCCTATTTTTTTTAGTCGAGTCGAATTGACCGCGAATCGACGCATCGACCATTAATGGAACTCACAAATGGGAACGTCCACGCAAGGCTTCCTACCAAATGATCCATGTGCCCCTTTATCGAGCGTTTCGATTAATTCTTTGTAATTCCGCGTGATTTCTCCAAAACTTTGAGCGATTTCATTCACTCTTTGTAATTCCCGCGTGATTTCTCCGAGACCTAGAGCGATTCGATTAATTCCTTGTGATTCTTGCGTGACTTCTTTGTAACTCTGCCACTTGGAGCGGTGAAATGGCATTTTTAATATTTCATAAAATTCATGACTGACCCGTTTAGCCCCTCTATTTTTTTAGTCGAGTCGAATTGACCGCGAATCGACGCATCCATCATTACTGGAACTCACAAATGGGAACGTCCACGCAAGGATTCCTACCAAATGATCCATGTGCCCCTTTATCGAGCGTTTCGATTAATTCTTTGTAATTCCGCGTGATTTCTCCGAGACCTAGAGCGATTCGATCAATTCTTTATAATTCCCGCGTGATTTCTCCGAGACCTAGAGCGATTCGATCAATTCTTTATAATTCCCGCGTGATTTTTCCAGGACCTAGAGCGATTGGATTAATTCCTTGTGACTCTTGCGTGACTTCTTTGTAACTCCGCCACTTGGAGCAGCGAAATGGCATTTTTAATATTTCATAAAATTCATGACTGACCCGTTTAGCCCCTCTATTTTTTTAGTCGAGTCGAATTGACCGCGAATCGACGCATCGATCATTAATGGAACTCACAAATGGGAACGTCGCCGCATGGCTTCCTACCAAATGATCCATGTGCCCCTTTATCAAGCGTTTCGATTAATTCTTTGTAATTCCGCGTGATTTCTCCAAAACTTTGAGCAATTCGATTAATTCTTTATAATTCCCGCGTGATTTCTCCGAGACCTCAAGCGATTCGATTAATTCCTTGTGATTCTTGCGTGACTTCTTTGTAACTCCGCCACTTGGAGCAGCGAAATGGCATTTTGAATATTTAGCAAAATTCATGACTGACCCCCCTTTTCTTTTCAGTTCGAGAGGATGAATCCCTACTCCGAGGACCACGGTCTGGTGTTCCGGTCGTTCGTTCATCTCTTCAAGATTCTTCAAGAACGGCGGGATTGTAATTTCGTGCTGAAGGCGTCCTTTTTGGAGATCTACAACGAGAAGGTGAGCGAGTCGGAAAAGTCGGTTTCGAGGGAGTTTTATCAAGGTTACGGGGGGTTTTATTCCAGGTCATAGACCTCCTGAATCCAGGGGCCTCCAGGAAGCCCTTGCCCGTCAGGTGGAGCAAGAAAATCCGCGGATTCTTCGTGGAGAACCTCTTCACGGTAGAGTGCGAGGAACTCGACGACCTCCTTGCGGTTCTCGAAGAAGGTACCCTGCCTTTCCTTTCTAGATCCATTGTCTGGAAGAGGAGAAAGGGAGTTTATTTTCATTCGTCACCTTTCCTGCCTACCCGGAAATCCTCGAAAAGGGGCTCGACGTAAATATTGGGCTGCTTTCAGGAATGAGAAACAGATCCGTGGGCGTGCACAACATGAACGATTACTCCAGCAGAAGTCACACTATACTCACCGTTCACATCACCTCGGAACAGCAGGTGAGTCATCTCGTTTGTCATCGATTCGCTCGATTCGACCTCACATCCAGGAAAGAGCGTTCCTTCGCCTCGCCTTTGGTGCCACCTCATCCGTTTATTCATTTTTCCCCGTTTCCTCTTCCATCCTCTGATCTTCCTTTCCCCGCACTGTGAAGAAAGAAAGATCAGTTGACCTATACAAATATATATATCGTAGCCTAAGGCAAAGTGAAACCTTCAAATCAGTCGATTCGAATACAACACTTTTTTTTAAGGGTATTGGACCCAACTGTCCGAAACTTTGACACATGACGTTCAAAATTTGGATTTTTTTCAAGCTCTCATATTTCGATCAATATACAATTATCGAAGGCTCTGATATGAGAATCGAAAGGGTCAGGACACTTTTACGACAATTTAGAACACTCTGGTAATCGATAAACTCGCATTTGAACGGGATAAAGGCAAAAAAAGTGTTTTATGCGCTTCTATGCCAAAACGATGGTAACACGAGGTGTCGGAGTGAAAATTTAATTCACCTGGAAATCACAGATGGCGCAGGGGGTCCCTCTGCAATCAATTAGGGCCTCAGAAAGCATGAATCCAGAGGATTTCTGGAGTTTTACTTCGATTTTATCAACGTCAATCGAGTTCCTCGACGTGTTTCACATCACCCTAAATCCTATGCAATTACAAAGACCAATTATTTCGTTGAGAAGAAAAATCTGACATCGATTTAAACCAATTATTACCGTCTTAGAATAATTTCCTCTACTCGGACATTCCTTTGGGCACATTTGTAATTTGTTAAAATGGACTTTCTTTCAATGCATATTCCTCCCAGTCTAAGACCTCTTTTTATTCTCAACGTGATTCTCCATTTCCGCATGTTTTGTTCCAGATGGAAAACGGTGTGTTTATCACGAAACAAGGAAAAATCAATTTCGTCGATCTTGCGGGCAGCGAGATGACCAAGAAGACTCAGAGTGAGGGGAAGACCCTTGAAGAGGCCAACAACATAAATAAGAGTCTCATGGTGTTAGGTAAGCAATCGTTTCGCCATGTTAGATTTTTTTTTTTAGAATTTCACTCGGTCGTTTATTGGATTACGTTCGGGGCCGCTGCCAAACGACTGTGGAAGCACATTAAACGTTAAGGGCATTTAATTTCAGGGTACTGTATCTCGTCATTAAGCGATGGCAAACGTAAAAGTGGACACATCCCCTACCGGGACAGCCAGCTGACTAAACTGTTGGCGGACAGCCTGGCGGGAAATGGAGTCACTCTTATGGTGAGCAACCCCCGTAAAAAAGAGCGCTAATCGTTTGTCGCAATCTCGTTACGTGGTGTACATGCCTGGACTTTCAGATCGCGTGCGTTTCACCTGCACGTTCGAACGCCTCTGAGACATTGAACACCTTGAGGTACGCGGCCCGAGCTAAGAAAATACGAACCAAGCCGATCGTCGTAATGGTGAGTGACTAAGTAGCCATTTATCGGCTGGAAGCTCGAAGAACGCTCGTTAAATAAGTATACATAAACATGAATAAGCGTTCAAGAGGTATTAATTGAACTTCACGTAATTTTCTTATCCCACAGGACCCAAGAGAGGCTCTGATCCTGAGCCTGAAGAGAGAGGTGGGAGCTCTTCAAACGGAAAACGACCACCTGAGGACGGCGTTTCACCTCGGCGGCGACCCATACCTGCTGCGAAGCGAATCGAAAGGTGAATTTTCTGTTCACCGAGCTCATTTTGCATACATTTACCGAGAGACATGCGAAAAAGCGACCTGGAGGACGGCTAGTCGTCGGTCCCACTTCCTAGAAATGGCTCCCGACGCGAAAGTCCGCGGTTTCAGTTCAATCGAGCCTCGGGTCCGTTGGGTTATTAGTATCTGGGTTTTTATTCTAATTCGGATAAGAAAAAGAAAAAACTCAGTGCCGTGAAAATCCATGCATGACGCGTGCTCGTAGGAGAAAGGCGAGTACCGGTTACACCACCGCAAGTGGACCTGGACAAATTGGCAGAGCTGGGAGGCCCAGAATTGAGCCAGCTGATCCGGGCTTACGTTACCGAGAACGAGGCTCTTAGGCGGGAAAATGCAGAGCTCTACTCCACCCGGGAACAGGTCATGAGAGACCAGGAAGTCGTCTGCAAGGAGAACGAGAGGCTGCTCAAAAAGCTGGAAGACGTCAACTCGTAAGTCTCCTGGAAGATGCTCTCATCCAGGTCAATCTAGCGAGCGCTGAGACCCGACTTTCGCGTTGGGTCTAACAAGTCGTCATTGCGCAATCCGCAACCCGCACCTTCCGTCACGGTTTTGTCGCAGAGTTTGCTGCCGATCGCCGATTATTCCGGCGAGGCCAACGTACTCTGCAGAGCTGTTGAACGGCACAAGGAACGAGGACGGACCTGGAGCCACCAACGTGTGGACCAACCCCGAGGTAGACGCATCTCGACCGGCGTTCTCCACGTCAAAGGTACCCAGGCTTAAGAAATTCTAGGCTCTTTCGCCAGATACGTTGAAGCCAAGTGTTCCGATTCCCTCTCAGAACCCAAGCAACGGACGAACGTCCAGGATGAGCGGTGGGATGCCGGAGAAGGTGCTCAAGGAGCTGGACAAGCGACGAATCGTCGGGAGTTCCAGTAATATCGTCGAGGCCTACAGAGATAAGAGCCACCACCGTCGAAATCATTCCTGGGACAACGGGAACGGACCCCCGGACAGTCCGGACCTGGTGCCATCTCCTGCTCACGGGAATCAGTAAGAACGTAGTCCTAAGACCAGAAGTCCTGGTAGCCTCTGACCCGGGTCCGGCAGTTCGGATCTAGGCTCTCGTGGGCGTTTCTAAAACTATGTCTCCATTGGTTGCACAATCTAGGAGCAAGAAGACCGCTCCACGACGCACGGCCACCCTCCCAGAGGGGAAGAACTGGGATAAAGTGAACGAGATCCTGGGCGGGCCGGTACTTCCACCAGGACACTCCTTAAACGGGACGCCGGATTCGATGCTGAGTGGACCCTTGGCCATGGATTCCCCCTCGGCGCCAGATACAGGAGATTCCGTTGCACCCACTGTTCCTTTTCCTGCCGTTTCTCGAGCCTCCTCGCCGTTCACATCGTCTGAACCCGAAGACGGTGGAGATAATGCCACGGACCCCAGAGATTCCCGAAGGAGCAGGGGACTTCCCCCCGGCAGGAAGGACGATCGCACCGCTCGCCGGGTTTTCGGCAGCCTCGTCTCCCTAGACGATGAAGACCTGCGATTTTAATCTACCTCGGTACCATTTTAATCGCGGTTCAATCCAGTACCAAAATGCGCTTTCTCTGATAGATGTAATCCTGGGATTCCCCTTCGAAAGTCCACCCCTGTACTCTGAAGTTCGATCAACGCTCGCTTAGCAATAGAGCCACTCGGAGTAGATACTAAAGCCCGCATTTTGGTACTTTTTGAATAGTCGGGAGACTATTCAAGAATCGATCAAGACTTCGGCCTACGTTAGGCTTACCTCGCGTCTCGTCGCAGACTTTAAAATGGATATAACAACTGGGGACGCGTGATTCTTAAGGTGGCCTACGTGGCGCGGCTTGCCTTCCTCCTGTATAGAGTTAGTTTTGAAAGCCTGCGTGTGATGTAGAATTTCGTCTAGTACGGATTACTAGGGTTTTATACTAGCGAATGGATGGCACGAGTCGACCTTGTAAGACTACCATTTGTAAGTTGCACAGTACAGTGTGCAGGAATTAATATCCATTATGATTAAAGTAATGTGTCACCTAGGTCAAGTGAATCTCATTCACTCTTAGCAACGACTATTTCCTTTCAACAATAATGCTCTCTAATATTTCTACCGAGGCTTTAAGTTTACGAGTTCTTTTCTATTCCGATTTTAGCGAGCAAGGTGAAAGAAATTTGTCGATGATACTAGCGCCATCTGTTCAACGAGACAGGAACTTTTAGGTCTGTTTATCGATTGGGGTCTCTAGGTTTCCGAAGACAGCGCTTGTTTGTAGGAACTATTTTAGGAATTCGTATTCTTAATTGATTGAAGCCTCTCTATCGACGTCTAAATTCAACGACGTAGGTTTTCCAATTGTATACGGCTGTGTGGCTAAATTACTAATTGGATTCCAGGGAATCCGTCGAGAAGACGAGGAATCGTCGCGGTGGTCGAGACGTGAGCGGAAATGCGGTGGCAATCATGCGTTTAAAAGGAAAAAATAACACCAAGTCGTTTCATAGCGTCTACAAGGTGCTCTCCAGCATATGTCGTAAGTTCCCTGATTGTTGAGAGCTCGTTTGACAGCTGACTCTGTTGTCCATATTAAATGTGAATTTTTTAGGAGTGTGCGTCATGAAACCAACGTAAGGATTCATTGCAATTGATGGCAAAGAATTCGGAGGAATGCGAAGAATCGTTTGATGCTCAATAATTAGTGTGTTAGACAACTGACGGCGCCGCTGTATTCATCTCTTTGTCTCTCTTGCTCTTATAGTTATACGTAGTGGGTTACGTGCGCTCTATGTCTTACTCATGGTATTGGTTATTCAACCCACGTCTCCGTAATGTGAGATGTTGGAATAATCATGCAATCTCCTTTTTACCACCGCTCTTGATTTGGCAGTCAATTCAGTGAGCATCGAACACTAACGTAGGACGTGGTCTTCTACGGAGACCTCTGAATTCTTTGGCAGTGACGTCCATCGTTCCATTAAATATGGATGAACGTTATCTCGTGTGCATTTAATGTAACTCTATTTTTAATCATTTCAATGTTTAAACGCTTATATAGGTGTTGTAGATAAAGGACAACTTGATGGTTTCATGGCCGATGGTGCGGTGCCTCCACTAAAAGGTGGTCACAATTCTAAGAACATGGGATTTGCTGCACAACCGATCAGACAAACTTCCGACACCTCTACTACTGTCTATGCGGCGGGACAGTATGCACCGAAGGTTTTAAAGAATTTAAATATCCAGAGATTAAAGAATCAATTCAGTGATGTGGGACTGGTTGCCGATGGAGTTGTAATCCGAGCTCATCGCTCTGTGCTGGCTGCTGGCAGTGCGTACTTCAATGCCATGTTCACCGGTGGACTTGTCGAAGGGCAACAGGAATTGGTGGAGATACACTCGATATCGGCCAAGATTCTGTCGCTTCTGGTTGATTTTATTTATGCCGGTAATGTTAATATTACTCAAGACAATGTTCAAGAGTTATTCGCTGCTGCTGACATGTTGGAAATAGATGAAGTAGTTTCTGGATGTATTGAATACCTGCAACAACAGCTTCACTACTCAAATGCCCTTGGAATTTATAGGTGATCAAAGTGTTTTTAATTTCACACGCTAATTGGATTGTTCTATTGATGTTCTTACGTTCCTATCTTTTGCAGATTTGCGGAAGCCCATAACAGGATGGATCTGATGAAGACTGCCCAACGTTTTATCGAAGTCAATTTTCCTCAAGTGTCACAGGAAGAAGAGTTTTTGGATCTGCCAAAAGAGCATCTCGTTGGCTTTCTTAGTAGCGAGTATATTCACGTTGACACCGAGTTCCAGGTAGGTTCTGTATGAGTGTATCCGTACTTAGATTAACGTAACTATTTGGAATCGTATCAAACAATTTATGCTTCGGCAGGCCTTCGAAGCTGCATACAACTGGATCATTCATGACATTCCAGCAAGAAGATGCTATGTGTTCGAAATATTAAGTCACATAAGGCTGCGTCTGTGTTCTTTGGCTCGACTAGAACGAATTATTCTTGAATCAAAGGATGCCAGCCTTAATGTTGCCTTGCGATCCATCCAAAAGGACTTGGTTTCCAACAAAGGATGCCTAGTACCTTTGCACGTACAACCGAGACTTTGTGCTAAAACAAATATATTAGTAATCGGTGGATCGAAGAGGGAGCCGTCCGCTGACAACTGGGCTAGGGCTGCGGAAAGCACTTACGAGACAATTCAGAAATACGATACATTCACTGGGTACGATATCATAATTGCTATTAGAAGAATCCTCATTGTTTAACATAAACATACATACGTTTAATATACGATTAAATATATTACTCTCCTTTGCTCTTGTAGGAAATGGAGCGAAGTGGCACCAATAGGAATTGGCCGCATACTACCAGGCGTAGCACTTCTAAATGGCAAGGTGTACGCAGTCGGTGGGGAACTGGAATCTTGCATCATTGCCAATGGGGAATGTTACGATCCCCGAGAGAACGTGTGGACGTCGATTGCTTGCATGGTGGAACCTAGATGTGAATTTGGACTTTGTGCCTTGGATAATAGCCTGTATGCCTTCGGTGGTTGGATCGGAGAAGACATTGGGGGGTCTATCGAAGTCTACGATCCAACTACAAATACGTGGAGACTGGATGGAGAGCTCATCGAGCCACGTTTCAGCATGGGCGTCGTAGCTCACGAGGGTAAAACAACTAAATATAGAGGTTATGCGTCCAATGATTACTCCTCACCGATGATTAAATCATTCCATTCGATTCGATCAGGATTGATATACATAGTGGGTGGCTGCACGAACCAGAGCAGACATCGGCAAGATCTCATGAGTTACAATCCTGTAACGAGGGAGTGGAATTATCTTGCTCCGATGCTGACCCCTCGTTCACAGATGGGAATAACCATTCTAGACGGATATATCTACGTTGTCGGAGGTGCCGACAAGAATTTAGACGTTTTAGCGTCGGTAGAGAGATATTCCTTCGACAAGGTAACGTTCTCCAAGTTTTGATGTTAAGATATTAATTTCTATAGGTCTGACGAGGTGTTTATTGTCATTTCCCAGAACAAGTGGAGCACGGTGGCACCGATGAGCGTCGCCAGGTCATATCCTGCAGTTGCTGCTGCCGATGGCCGACTCTACGTGATAGGAGGCGATCAGTCTCGGGAAATAAACTTTTACCGTACTCAGATTACCATTTCCACGGTGGAGTGTTACAATCCAGTCATGAACGAATGGCACGAATGTACTTCTTTACCGACCAGTCGAGGAGAGGCTGCGGCCATCATAGCGCCCTTTTGATTATGATCGTCAAGCTTTAATAACGGTCTCCTACGAGTACTGGATACCTTTTGAAATTACGTCTTTCTGGTCGGATACTCAGCTTCTCCGGGGATCGCCGACTCGCGGGGAACTCGTTTAAATCGATGACGCCTCTCCGGAACTTTCTGCGAGTCAATGCAAAGAAACATCGGTACTAGTTTTACTCATAAGACGCACTTACCCCCTACGACATTCTACGGAACGGTACTGGTTTTTAATGAGACTCTTCATTAGTACCATCCACTAATGTAAACAGGCAAAACGGTCAACAAACGATTTTCTAAACGTTCTAACATGGGAGACACTCAAATTACGCGAAATCCTGTCTACGGGTCATGTCGAAAACCCAAGTCTCATTTCGCGCCACTTCTAAGTGTAACGCCGCACATGTAATTTACCGTTTCATTTGTAAATTTGATATAAAAAGGAAAAGGGGGGAAAGGAGAAGCACTAAGGTGTTAATTAAGAGGCACCGATTTCTTGTTACTCGGACAATCGCACAGTTCGGAATTAATGGCGATTCGAGAATGGAGGAGCGCTTAATATTACGTCCGCATTTTGGTGTGGCGCTAGTGTCGTTCCGATGCCTAATGGCTGTCTCTAAAATCCAATCTCCTTATAGAGCGACAGTTCGTCTGAGAGAGCAATTATTATTACCATTAATTACTGTTATCGTTTGTACACGGTGAATGTATGGTAGTAATATGTAATAGACTGCTGCTGTGCTTATTTTATTACTTCATGGAGATATTTACCAATATTTGTATATATGTGTACCTGTGCGTAACTCGTCGAGCCGGTGGACGAGCCTGGACTTGCTACTCCCTCTTTATCGTTATCCAAAGACTAAACAAGGGCTGAATGAGATATCTATTAGTAGAGGATAACTTGGAATACAGGCATGAACACATTTGCGGACGAATATTCTCGCCGATCTTGATTATACCTTCCCTTTAAAAGTTTTACGCTTGCGTCGATCGGTTGACGACTTTTCCAAGATGGCGGAATAACTCAAACGCGTTCATGTCTGTAAAGAGGGCCAATCGAGCGAGATTGTAAGTCTCTAACCACGAGATTTCCCATTCGCGGTGTAGCCTTATCGATAAGTTACTCGTCTCTCTGTAATTATCATGTAATACCTTCGCAATTACTTTTGCACGGCTGTTTCTACCGTCCTTTCCCGGCGCGTGTTTTAATCGTGGACGACCCTCGCAAAGATTAAGACCGAGAGACTCGACATAATTAATGCCGATTATGCTTTATATTTTATACTTAGAGTAATATTAATTAACTGATAGTCTCGACATACTGCCTCGCCATTGGACAAACTATTCGCTTGACCTTTTATTATATTCTGCGGGGATGCGGTCCCTAGAAGACGTCGGTTTCTTCTTCTTCTTCTTCTTTTTTTTTCTCTCCAGTCTTCTGTAATACCAAAGCAATACGCGAGTAGCTTTAATTTATAATGTTAATTCCACCGATTAGCCGTTTAATTGTCGAGTTTTTGTTTACCTCGAGTACAAGTGGCGTTTTTTAAAATTCCTAGCCTTAAGGTGAAGTTAAACACGTCGAGGAACTTGATCGACGTCGATGAAGATTTTTCTAAATGCCTACGTTGCCGACGTTCGTTTTTATATTGACAGCTGGGTAGAATTATATTCGGTATTGTACCAAATGGCATACTCCACCTGTCGTTTTCGTACAATAATTGTAAACAAATCGAAGTAAAACTCCAGAAATCCTCCGGATTCGTGCTTTCTGGGGCCCTGGTTGATTGCAGAGGGGCCCCCTGCGCCATCTGTGATTTCCAGGTGAATTAAATTTTCACTCCGAGACCTCGTATTACCATCGTTTTGGCATAGAAGCGCATACAACACTTTTTTTTGCCTTTATCCCGTTCAAATGCGAGTTTATCGATTACCAGAGTGTTCTAAATTGTCGTAAAATTGTCCTGACCCTTTCGATTCTCATATCAGAGCCTTCGATAATTGTATATTGATCGAAATATGAGAGTACGACGCCATTTTGATTCTAGTCTGGACTGAGTTAAAAAATTTTTTTTAAAAATCCAAATTTTGAATGTGTCAGGACAATTCTTAGATGATCAGGAGTGACGTGTCAACATTTCGGACAGTTTGGTCCAATACCCTTAAAAAAAAAGTGTTGTATTCGAATCGACTGATTTGAAGGGGGTTTCACTTCACCTTAAGCTATGAACTCATTCCTCATAAATAGGAATCCATGTTAATCGCAGAAGTATACTTCTAAATACGAACAGTCTTAATTAAACGGTTAATGTCGGCGTTGCCTTCGGAGTATTTCTAACGGCCTTTACAAATATTAGTTACTTTAAAGGTTTAAATCGTATCCTCGAAGAGCTTAACTCATGATAGGTTTCTAAGATCTATCGAAGTAACGTTTACTTGCTACTGTCGTCCGACATGGACGGAATGGAATTGCACTTAATTTGCATACGTGAACACATTGTAGAATTTTTCCATATACTTGTACTAAGTATGCCCCTCGTCGAGCTATAATTCGCTGACGAGTCGCAATCGACGGAACCGTGAGAATATTAATTATTGAAAATGTTAGCAATGTTCAAGCTGTTTTTTATACGACGACGGTGATTCTATAAATGTTCGCAAGCATTTCGCGAGATATTTAAACCCGTCAAAGCAGAAATTAGCGAGTCCCACCCTAAGAGAAATTATTATTGTTACTGCTGCTGGTTGAAAATTTATACATATATATATATATTTTTTGTTAATGTCTAATTGTCTATATTAACGAAGAGACGGACGCGTCCTACCGGACCGATGACCAAAGGGTTTTTATTATAACAAATTCTCCTCTATGATACGTTATGTCATGTAATTATGTATTTGCAAGATTATGTTGCATATATTTGTTACCAAGGTTTCATGTCATTATTATATCGAATTAATTCAACGTGGTATATATAGTGATAGCGTAGCGTAAATTGAATTTCGTTAAGTGGACTCGCATTTCTGCTGCGACCGACTCCTTTACACTTGCATGGAAAGCAAACGCGAGTGCAGTACTCGGAATACTTAATGAAATTATATCGTATTATTAATCTCCTAGGTGTAAGCATAAACCAAAATCAAAAAGTCATGGGCGTTTTACACAGTATACACAAAACGTTGAACACTGTCATTCCTGACTCGAGGAAATACTGATTAATAAAACTTTTTCCAAAAGCGACGAGTGAATCCGTGTTCTTGTTTTCTTGTCGTTGCACGTTAAGAGTTTGTTTAGCGAAAAGTTGATTTGGTGCACCCAGTTTGGAGAAAAGTTTTATACATATTTTCACATTTTATGTATACAGAATTACTTTTTCATATCACCTTATGGAGTTACACCACTTTGAAATTTTCCAAAAATCCCAAAAAATTTTACGCGTTTATACTTTAAACGCGTTTCTTTTTTAAACTGCATTTTAAAAATCGGTGGGCACTCTAGCGAAATACGTGTGGTTTTTTCAATGTATTGATATTCGCGTTTTTTATGCAACATTAATTAACGAAATTTAGGGCAAAATACGTATCTTTCCTTTCTAATCGATGCCATTTTGTGAAAAATGCATATTTTTGAAAACGACTGCGTATTTCGCTAGCTTTTGGGCTACAGAAACTAATTCTTTTTCGTTCATTGATCTAGCTTAAACCTGGACTGAGTTATCGTGCCCACCGCACGATCATCGATTTTCGCAGCGCTCCGGTAAATCGGCTTTCAAGCCGCCATTTTTGTAAATAAAAAACATACAAAAAAAATATTTTGTCGTTTAATAGTAGTATAATACCTTACTATACTTTAATTTGGATAAAAACGTTTTAATTCTTAGAAAAAAAATTCTTGAAAAACCGTCATTTTTGGGTGGGTCAAAGTGGTGTAACCCCTTAAAAGCGTGTTTCAGCATCTCTTCGCAGTGAATACTAATTTCTTTTGTTTCGTTTCATTGGTCCTTAGTGTAGGGTAAAAATACAGGATGAAAGAGCCATCGAGTAGTTGTCAAGAGTCGGTATAGAGACAACGTCAAAGCCGGGAAAGCCCTGAGAAGAAACTGCTGCATCCGATGAGAAACCGAAGGCTGGACTTCCATCTGATTCCTCAGGAAGTTGAGCAGCCCCGTAGGAGAGTCCTCGAAGTCGCCGTCAATCCTCATATAAGGGAACTGAGCTCGAAGAGCCGAAAGCTGAAAGAAGGGAAATATATAAAACGGAGGGAGAGGAATTACGGGAAGAGATTAAGTGCCCCCGAAGAATCCAAGGCCCATCAAGTGCACCTAGGATACCCTTTTTCTTTTTTTAAATAATTTTCAAGATTTCTCTGGGTCTGCCCCGGGATTTATATCCTATGAACATGATTTACATATTCATGGGTCGAGTTGTGATAATGGTGCGCTTATCACAACTCGACCTATGAATATCTAAATCATGATCATAGGATATAAATCCCGGGGCAGACCCAGAGAAATCTTGGGAATTATTTAAAAAAAGAAAAAGGGTATCCTAGGTGCACTTGATTTGGACGTTCCGGGTGGGAGATAGCGAGATAGAGCTCACCCAGTTGCCTTTGACCTGGCCGAAAAGAGGTTTTGTCTCTAGATCCTTGTGGAAGGTGTCCAGAGAAAGGGGTAAACGTGCCCCGTTTACCGTCACACCCGCGCATGCCAGGAGGAAGGACCACTTCTTGTCAGACTCCCAGAAGAAGACGTGCCTGTTTGAGACGGTGAGATAATAGAATATGATACAGGGCATGACACGGATTATGTTAACGTGATCTCTCTAATGAAGCTCCTTACGTTAAGACCTGCTCGATGGAGGGCCTCTCCAGAGGATCGTACAGCAGCATCCAGGAGACGAGATCAACGACTTCGCAGCCCTGATTCTGGACCCTAGGGCACCCACGGACGATGTTCTCCAGAATGTCTTCGGATTGGGTGCCGTAAGGGTGCAATCCCCCGGTGAGTATGAAATGTACGACCATCCCAGCGACCTGGACGTCGGTCGCGCGGGTGCAGATTAATACTTGGTCTTCCTTATATGCCCTGTAGCTCTCGCGAGCGAACCAGATCATGGAGGAGCTTGGAGGTCTCCCATTGCGATAGAGCGCCTTCCAGAGCCCGAATTCGGCGAGTTTCAAGGTTCCCGAGGCATCGATCATCAAGTTCGAGGGTTTGATGTTCCCATGGACGACGGCCTCCTCGCCACCCGTGTGCAAAAATCGCAGCCCTGTGAAGAGAGGATTTTTAAATTCCCAGCAAAAGTTTACATAGAAGTGGAGTCGCCGAGTACCTGGAGAAGACGGGGGGGTACTCGCCTGAAAGGAACTGCAGGACCAGCGACCGAGCTCTCTCCTCCAGCCTCTTGCTCATCTTCAGGTACATCAAGTACTCGCCTAGGTTGTACTCGCAGAGTGGAGTAGCCAGGACCACTTCGGAGCCGACGTTTGTGCAAGCGATGAAGGGCAGCAGGTTTTCGTGCCGGAGCCCTAGAAGAGGTTGCAGAAGAGAGAAGACCGGCACCCCCAGCTCCTTGAGCATCCTCCGGATGGCCAAAGGCCTTCCATCGGCCTGTAATCCTAATTCCACGGAGCCGAAATTCCCTCCGGGGGAGATGACGAAGAACTTCCTCTGCTCCGGACTGCAGAGGGTCAGGGTGCTCTCTCTCGGCTTGCTTTTCTCGCCCTGAGACCTGAGACTCTTCACCAGAGCGTCCCATCTGCTGACGTAGCTCGTCGGTGCAGGCTCGTTGGGGTTGTTGAAGCGATTAACGTAATTACTCTCGTTAACGGGAGCGAGGGACGACTTTTGAGGCGGACCCTCGACCACCTGTTGCTCCCTAGAGGACCAGGATGCCCCGGATCGATCGGGCCTCACCAACTCGGGGAGAGGACACGAAGAGTTCATCGTGATCCTCGTCCGAAGGGCTTCCTCCATCTCTGCCGTGCAGACCACTCCTCCAGAACCTCCGGACGCATCTTCTGCTGGTACCCTCTCCCTTTCGAAGATCCCCTGGTAAATCATATAAATTATGTTTAAAAAATACACCCAGGATGAGCTCTTCAAGAATATCCGATTGTTTCAGGGTTACCCAGTGTCCTCCTGCATGACGTTCAGGGTCACTTGGAGACCTTAAGGGACAGCGATCTTTCTGGGAGATCTCCAGGACTTTCGCTCTTCGTTCGCTGGAATGGCTTCCCTCGGAGATGGAATTCTCCCTGTGCATCAGGTGACTCCTTGCCGGCGTCCTTGACTCCAGCCGGGACCCTGGAAGCTCTTCGAGTGTACCTTTACAGTCCATGGCGCCGTCCCCGATGGTACCCGGGTTTTTCCTCTGCTCGGAAAGCCTCTCTAAGTTCCCGTCAGGATCCTCCCCCGAAGAATTGTGGTGTGTCACCAGTTGTACCCGAAGAGAGGCCGCGATGCCCCGGAAGATCCTCGGGTCTCGACTGCCGGTCTGTCGCATCTTCTCTGTCAAAGAAGACCAGCCGTCCCTCAACTTCTTCATGTAGGAGTTCTCCAGCTTGGGGAGGATCGCGTTCAGCCTCGCTATCTCTTCCTGCCGGATCTTCCTCTCTTCTTCGGAGGATCCTGCAGGATCTCCCTGGCCGTCTCTGTACCCAGGGTACCCCAGCTCCCGATCTCTCTGCCAGTCTCGACGGTAGCAGCGGACTATCTCCTCGAAGAGGGTCGACAGGTACAGAATCGTCTCCTCCACGTCGTCCGACGTCATCTGGAAGACGTAACGCATCTTCAAGAACAATAATCCTCCACCATAACTCAGTACACGAAGTGATGAGGTTTTCAGGGTATTACCTCGATGTGAGTCTCGGATTGGTCCTTGTCTTCTTTGAAGACCCTTCTTCGAGGTACTACCTCCGCATTTTTTTCCAGGGTGCCGGCTATGGAGCCGAAGGAGGCATGGTTTTTACTGCTGGACGGCTTTGCTGGGTCCTCTGCAGCATCTTCCACCGTCTCAGGTCCTATGGCGAGATGAGAAAGCGCGTCTTCAGCGTCCTCCAAGCTGCCTCCTCCGGCTTCCTTTCGTAGGAGCTCCACCAGGACGTCCCACTGACGTTTGACGGCGTAATGCAGGATCGTGTTGCCTCGGATGTTGGTGTGGCCAGGGTCGATCTTGCGATGGATGCTGTTCCAGAAGTCCAGGAAGTCCGTCTCGCTCCAGGAGGGCGACTGGATGGCGATCAGCGCGATATTGTCGCGATTTTTGTCGACCAGCGTTAGGTCGGCGCCGTGCTCCACCAGGAGATTAATCATCTCCAGGTTCTTGTTGCTCACCGCCCACATTAACGGCGTCTTCTTGTCCTCTGTGCAGGAATTAATGGGGTATCCGTCCTTCAGGAGCTTCTTTACGACGTCCAACTTGCCGAGGATTATGGCACCCAGGAGCAGAGGCGTGTTCGACTGTGGAGGAGACGCGCTTTAATTAGACTCCATATTTAACGAGGCTCTACAACGTTCCACCTACGATACTCAACACGTCGTAAAATCAGTAAATCCGAGGAAACACGTTGCATTAGACGTAAGGGAACTTACAGTGATAGGACCATTCTATATATCAATGCATGAAATTATTTATCACACTTTTCTCTAAACCGGGTGCACCGAATCGCTTCAATCTTCACGACGTGAATGTCGAGGGTATAAGAAAGGTCCTGACACCCATGATATTACATTTATCTCTAAGGGAACAATACCTTTTCATTTTTAAATCGTTTAACCTGCCTCTGCTTATTGTCTATCTCTTATCACACTTTTCTCTAAACCGGGTGCACCGAATCGCTTCAAACTTCACACCGTGAATGTCGAGGGTATAAGGAAGGTCCTGACACCCATGATATTACATTTATCTCTAAGAGAACAATACCTTTTCATTTTTTAAATCGATAAACCTGCCTCTGCTTATTGTCTATTTCTTATCTATGCTTTCCCTTCTAGGGATTTTTCCTAGGGACGCTACTTGGGCCCACCAGGTCGGATTTCTGAAGGACTTTCCGCAGCCTCTGCAGCTCATCGCCCTTGAAGAAGTTCGTCAATCCGGTACCAAGGTGCCGCTGCTTCTTTGCCGTCCGGGGCTGCCGGTATACGGAGACGTCACATCCGCAGCTATTCGATGGGGATTTTGCAGACTGTCCTGCAGATTCTCCACCGCAAAGCCATGGTCTAATCACCGCCGATTTGCTGCCACCTGTGAAGTACCTAAGTCTTACCCAAGGTATGGTATAGGCGAAAAGTTCTCATATTTTCCCGGGCTTACGTGGAAATTACTTAGGTTAAATCGGTTGTTAGGAAACAAGGTGGATGTTCCTTTTCACCTGGAAGTCCGTGGCGGATCGGCAGGCTGCCGATTTCCTCCTTCACCCGGAGGGAAGCCATCGTCGGCTGTTCGCGCAGTTTCGTCTTCTTCTTCGCCTTTCTCCCTCGAGACATCTTGGGGAATCAACATCTCACAATTTAAAGGTTAAAAGGATCGATCGGACGATCGGTTCCTTCTGCTCGGATGTTTTCATCAGATCTCGAGCGGGCATTCTCTCGTAATTGTGACCCTTCCACTTGGAGACCCACCTGAAATCGAAATTAATGCGCAAGTTATTCCGCAAATTTATAATTTAATCCGCAAACTTATAATCTATCACGCAAACTTATAATTTAACCCTTTGCGGTCGCATTTTCCCAAGATCAAGAGAATTTTGGTGGCTGAGAGTAGGCATACGACCGCAAAGGGTTAATCCGCAAATTTATAGTTTATTGCGCAAATTTATAATTTAATCTGCAAACTTATAATCTATCACGCAAATTTATAATTTATTACGCAAATTTATAATTTATTACGCAGTCCAACGCAATCGAGGGAAATCCTTGCGTGTACCTGAAGTGCAAGAGTACCTTCGATGCATCGTTACCTCGATTACGAGAATCATTCCTACATATCCCCCGCTGGTTTTTATCGATGAGTTTTATCAGCAGTTTTAATTCCTGGCGAGGAAGTGCTCCCCGAGCGGCTCATATTCTGTCATAAGCTAAAATAACACCGATTCGCATTGATGATCTATTTCTGGGCTTTATGGAACGAACTGATTATCGGCGCAAGGACGAGCAAGCAATGCGATCCGCACTCTTAATAACTCTTGTAAATTTCCCCTGCGACTTGCAAGGTCGCTTTGAGAGGACAAATTTTCTTATTCTAGACAATTGGGGAAAAAGAAAAAATGCGCCTTGCACCTCTCGACCTGAGTCATTGAGGATTGAAAAATAAGGATAAGGATTCAGAACGTTATGTAATCCCGAGGCAGTCAACAGCTCCTCCTCAATGGTTTAACGCGTGCGAGAGAATTCTTATTATTCTTTTTTTCTTCTTCTTCTTTTCTTGTTATTTTTTTTTTTCCCTCTTCCGGAACACGTATGCGAGGAAATTTATTCCAACGATTCGACGCAAGAAGTGAAAAATCGTTTCCCGCTTATGGAGGAAGTATAATAAATGTATAGTTAATAATGCGAGGCTTCCACTATCGTCTTTAACGATTCCTGCGTAGATCTGAACGGATCCTCGAGGAATAAATTATTCACAGTCGTAACGTCTTCTGAACAACTTCCTTCTGAATCTATTCACGCTTTGCTTGGAAGTCCCCTCGAGTCGCAAAACGGAATTCGGCACTCCCAGCCTCGTTATTAAAAATAAAGAAAAATTTATAACCATTCGCGAATCCTTTATCGCAGGTCGCAGCCATTTTACGTCTACGTAGCGTGCTTACTTAAATCGTCATGAAATGTCACATTTTCTCGGAATACTTAGGTGCGAATCGTTGGAAAAGGTGATGCAAGTGTGCCTTTGTGCGGTTGAAAAATCATGAAGTTGACTTCCGGACGCGACATCGAAGGTCGTCAAAAGTTTAGTTCGAAGAATCGGATAAGCGGATAATGATACCAGACAGTCATTCAGACTTTTTTGCGACGCACTATGTCGATGTAAAGGGGGTTTATCTGTCGATTATAAGGAGCTGATTTAGCCCGGCGGATTTATTTCAGCGTAATGTCGGGTATTAAGAGTCATTACCGCCGATTAAGGAGGCCTTCCTTAACAAAAAGAAGTGCAAACACTGCACTCTTTATTTAACAATCAGGCTCAATGAATCTCCACCGAGACGCCACGCAATGACACCGACGTTAATACTAGGTTTACAGGACCCGTCAATTTGACGGAATTCAAACTTCAACATTCAAAAGAAATACCGAAACAACCATAGCATTAATTTTAACCATTTTTTTATCGTCAATTAATCATTTCATCGAAAGAATTTGTACACAAAATTATTTTTTCCCAAGCCTTCGTCGAAAAGAAATACCGAAAAAACCATAGCATTAATTTTAACCATTTTTGTATCGTCAATTAATCATTTCATCGAAAGAATTTGTACACAGAATTATTTTTTCCTAAGCCTTCTAATTATTAAAATCTGTATACAGTATACCTATCTATACGAAATGATAATTTTTAAAAAAGGACTTTTTACTTATTAATCATTTATTTAAACGTAAAGCCTAGTGTTCTCTAATTCAGACTTCATTTGAATGAATCGATTTTTTAAAGAGAATCCGTATTTTCGTTTACCCGTCAATTTGACGGGTGCTCGTAGAAATAGATATATAAAAAACGCCCGTAAACCTAGTGTTAATCATCGTATCAAAAGCGTTTTCCTTTAATAGATCATTGGATACCGAGAGTGCAAGGATATTTGTAACAGTACCCATATGGTGTACAAGGTGATCCTACATATATGCGTTTTAGTTCGGGCGAAGGATTCTTACATAAAGAAGAGATTGGTATTCCTACCAGCGCGTGTCCTGCTCACGTGTGAACGATCCAGATGGAATAATTCATCAACGGTATCGTAAACGTGACGGTACGTTCACGTGAGCAATCCGAGCGAACTATTTATACATCGTTTTGTGTCAACTAAGCGCACACACTATACGTGCATTGTCCGAGGCTAATGACGTTTAAAAGAGAGGTCCGTTAACGGCGATAACGCAAACGGTAATGATAAATGCCAGCCAACCCTCCTCCCTAGTCTACGCGCACCTGTCTATGGACATTTAAACAATTTTTTTTTATAAAAAATGAAATCTCTCGAGAGGCAAGACCTTCCTTATAGCCTTCATATTCACGTTCTACGGTTACAAAGGATTCGGTACACCCAGTCCGGAGAAAAGTTGCATCGATTGAGCTTTCGGATGCCATTTTCGCATCCCTTAAGGTGAAGTCGATTCGGATACAACACTTTTTTTTAAGGGTATTAGACCAAACTGCCCGAAACTTTGACACATGACCATCTAAAAATTGTCCTGACACGTTCAAATTTTGGATATTTGGAAAAAGAATTTTTAACTCAGCCCAGACCTAAATCAAAATGGCGTCGTGCTCTCATATTTCAATCAATATACAATTATCGAAGGCTCTGATATGAGAAACGGAAGGGTCAGGACAATTTTACGACAATTTAGAACACTCTGGCAATCGATAAACTCGCATTTGAACGGGATAAAGGCAGAAAAAGTGTTGTATGCGCTTCTATGCCAAAACGATGGGATTACGAGGTCTCGGAGTGAAAATTTAATCGACCTGGAAATCACAGATGGCGCAGGGGGTCCCTCTGTAGTCAATTAGGGCCCCAGAAAGTATGAATCCAGAGGATTTCTGGAGTCTTACTTCGATTTCTGTATAATTATTGTACGGAAACGACAGGTGGAGTATGCCATTTGGTACAATACCCAATATAATTCTACCCAGCTGTCAATATAGAAACGAACGTCAGCAACGTAGGCATTTAGAAAAATCATCTTTATCGACGTCGATCGAGTTCCTCGGCGTGTTTCACTTCACCTTAAGACTGGATCGAAACCCCTGGTATCACGACTCCGGTGCACGAGTCGGCGCGAACGGGTTGCGGGAGGAAGGGCTAACTTATGTGACACTTGACACACTCCTACAGGCGGTAACGAGCCACCCAGAACGAGACTAACGAGCATCTCCCGTTTCGTCCCCTGCGTTCCGTCATTCCGTCCCTAGGGACGCCGCGAGTAGTCCCGAGCCCGAATCGAAGGGACTTCGGGGACTCCTCGAAGCCGCTCGAAGAACTTAAATCAAATCCAGGAAAGAAGCACACGTGTCCCCGAGAATCGACATCGACGAGTCAAGGCTCTAGATCTACCTCGGGCCCTTCAACGGCGGTTTCGGGCAAAATGGTACATTATATTCTGTCTCTTCTTCCTCCTCGCGACTCCTCCGGACCGGTTTCTCTTCGGGATCGTCTCCGAGGATTTACGCCCGGAAATCGTGCCTTCCGACGTCTCTTATGCTAATTAAAAGACGCGCGCATTCGCCATGAATTGCGTAACGACTTAGGTGTATCGCCATTTGCGATTGACCAGTTTTCGAGGACCCTGCTCGTAGGGGATCGTCTACTAGGAAGAAGAGCGGATCTTCGTCGTCTCGTAGCGTGTCGATTGCGAGTTGTCCACGGGGTGGAGAGTAATTACAGAGGTTGCGGCAGGTCGGGGTGGCGTCGATAATCCAGGGAAACGGGCCGATGCTCTGAAATGTGTTTTCTTGAACGGATTACTCCTCGTGGAGAAATCTATCGGTCGGGTCGATCGCAACTTAGCCTGAAACGAAGTATTCAGTCAAAATGATAACCGGCAATAAATCGCCCCCGAGTCTCAAGGAGACCCGAAGACCTGTCGCGCTCTTAATGGATCGGATATTAATTTACGACTCGACTTTGCCTAATTTTGGGCATATCGGATGGTCATACCGGAATACCTCATTCGCCCTGTAAATCCTCTTCCAGATGAAGGCCAGCTTGCAAATGACGTTGGGGGCTCGGTTGCCTTTTCACGAGTCTCGGATACCATTTTACGTCCCCGTGAACTGACGTCACTGGACCCGATCGCACTGAGAGAAATGTGCAACTGGAGGCGAATAAATTTTAGTCATACATGAACCTAGTACACTTTTACTTACTTCTACATTTTTCGTCCAGTTGAAAGTATTTCACTTTTAATTCCCATAAGGAAATAATTATCTCAACCATTGAAGATTTCACTAGAGCCAACTATCCGATTTTTAAAATAGGCACATTTATTTGATTTCAAGTACCTCATTTTTCTCCGTTATCGCCGCTAAAGGGGAAAAAGATGTTGAGCAAGCGCGAAATTAGAAGGCGCCGAACGTGGCCGAAGACACGTACGACTCCCTCGCCGGGAGAGAAAAAAAAGAGAAGAAAGAGTTAGCATAACGGTTTGCCTTAAATGCCCGTAAATCACCTCGGCGAATCATCGTCTTCAAGGTGATCTCCATCCAGGTGTTCGCGACCAGCGCCGCCAATTAACCTGTTTACTCGCCACGCACTTGCGAGACTCTACAGAAGTCTTGAATCGTAGGGCCCTAAAAGAACCCAAGGAGAGGTTAATCGTTAAAGGACTGCTTAAGTCTCTCTACGAGTCACTCGGGTCTTAAACTAAAGAGAATGAAGTGCGAGAGACCTTGAGAGAGTCCGCCGACCCAGAAGACGACCATCCGTGAGACCCAAGGAACCTGAAAACCGGCAACATTACAGCCACACATAGATCCATAAAAATGTAATAGAACTATATGAAATTCATATTTCCCTTTCTTTTTTTATTTTTCGACGGTTTTCCCTCGCTGACCGTTTAAATAATACAAAGCGCGCCACTTCGCTTATTGATCGTAAATAACTCTCCACGTGAATTCGAACGCTTTTCGGCGACCTGCCTCCACAGGACGTCCTTTCCAGTTTTCGAGTTTTTTCGGCTACCTGGGGCGACGTGAACGAGGATATTATTTCCTGAAAATATACGCAAGTTTTGATTGCAGGTCTGATCACGTGGTTAGATTTGAAAAACTGTGCCCCCAAACTGTTTCACCGGTTTCGGGTAATAAAGGGTTAAGAACGGCGGGGGCTGCTGCGCCGGCGCGCCATGGCGCCGGCGTCGGCTCTGTCTCGCATTTGTCGTGGGACTCGATTCCGCTCGGAGTTTCCAACTCGGCCGGCGCTTAGGTGGGGTCTCGTCTCGGCTTATCTCGCCTCTTCGCGTATATTACGATGTCGGCCCGGGAGCGCGAGCAGTTCCCCGCAAAGCCGGCGCAAAGTTAGCCGCGAGCTAAGACGCGCGCGATCTCACATTTTCACCCGACCGAACGCGTAACGGTCACCGCCACTCGGCTCGACCAATCGGGAGCGAGCGTCGCCTGGCGGCCGACCAATCAGAGACGAGCGCTGCGAGGCGCGGACCAATCACAGACGAGCGCTGCCAGGTGCGGACCAATCACAGGCAACCTCTCGTCCGCCAAGCCGGCTAACTCGTGCTCTCTCTCAGTGGCCCTCCAGTCGAAGTCGAACGACGCCGATCGCGCAGAACCGGCAAGGATGATTTTGATCCTGTGGACGATCCTCGTCTTGGACCTCGCCCAAGCGTTCCTCACCGCGCCTCTACCAGGTAACAGCGAGATTCTACTTAAAATAACCGGAATAATTCGCGAGTGGAACTCGGGTAACTTCGGCCCCGCCGAATTATCCCGATTGGTTCGAGCGTGGACCGCCGCTCCGAGATATTCTTTTTTTTTCTCCTCTTTTTTTCCTTTTTATTCCTTAATTGAAACTTCGAATCCGTCAATTGGGCCAGTCATGCATCGACCTTTTACTGGATTGGGATGGTAAGGCGACTTAAGACCTCTCGCGATCTTGAAACCTTGATCGATTCTCATGAAACTTGGTCGCCACGCCGAGAATAGATGTGGCATTCGTTTGGAGCGATTCCCACCTCGACCTCTTTCCTTTCATCGACCTCTTCCCGATTCCCCCCTCGTTCGAGGGAAGACTCGGTGCTTGTCCACGTGAATCAGTTCCCTTCGGAGGCACGTAATTAGAAGGGAAATCATGAAACTCGTCACATCGGTGGGAGCACAATTCCCGGCACTTTTTCATAATCCATGTTATCGGTGCTATGCACCCTACGTTATCTGAACTTTCGAGGTAATTAATACGGAATGAGATTAAGGTCCTCCAACGGGATTTGATACGCACTTTTCGAGCCTACTGTCTCAGGACGATATTTAATCGTTCGCCATGACGATTCGATAAATCCACGAGTTTAATATTTTCACCACCCTGAGGGAAAAAAAAAGAAAAACTTTTTAACCAATCCACCTGGAAAAGCTTTCTCATAACGAGAAACGAAAAATATCATTGTCTCAATTGAAATAAAAAAAAAATTAAAGGGTGAGCCACCCCTCACAGGCCTTACTTTGGATGGTGGTTTCACCCCCTTAAAGTGTTTAATGGCAGATAAAAAAGAAATACGTGTCGCTTAGTTTTTAGTCCGCTATAACAAATTATAAGAGAAATAAAATCGGAGAGATCGACCTGGGATACCTTCCTTGTAAGTCTACAAGTACATCCGCTCCTGGGAGATCCCTTGATCGTGCCAACTCGTTACCGACAAGGCACGAAAAAAAAAAGGAAAGAAAAAATGGTCGGCCTTATCGAGAAACGTGAGCTTAACAATTCGGCCGAGCTCGCTTGCAGGCCAGCACTTTCTAGGAGCTCGAGTACCAGTCGAGCCTTATGTACTCGAGGCATAAAGGCGTTTTCCGCAGCCGAAATAGACCATGGCCCTGATCGATTCGCCAGGTCCAATCGTCTCGCATTAATTAAATGCTTTCCTCCAGCTTCGCCGAAGACCCGAGCCTGGACCTCTCTGGTCTTTCTCGAGTATATAGCTTTCGCACTATTTCCCACGTGTCGAGACCGCACCTCACCTACGGAGGAGGTAGAAAGTGCGATTTTTAACCGACGACGGGATAGAAATAGCCAACCTCACGGTTTCCGACCTTTCCCAATGGGGTTGCACACGAGCGGTCCCGCAATAAGTCCTCGGAATTGTCTTAACACATTCGCGACCGCTGACGTGAATTCACGTCTTTTCAACCTCTATTCCTGGTTGCCGCTTACGTGAATTCACGTCATTTTAAATTCTATTCCCGATTGCCGCTGACGTGAATCACGTCCTGCTTAGTTGTCTCACCAATTGTTAGCCGGCACGGCGCACAAGTTTTGTCATTTTTATTCTTGCTTTAGCGATACTAGTTTGCGCCAACCAGTTTCAGAATTTCATTATTTTCCCCGGTACTCAGTATTTGAAACGGAAATAATTTGTCTTAACGGTGAGGATTAAACGGAATTATATCTCCTAACGTACCGTAATCATGCCCTTCACTGATAACTATCCATCGAAATTTATCCACATTTTTACACAGGAGGTTTCACATAGGAATAAAAATAAACAAGTAAGATGGACAGTATCACGGGCTTGGGGATTTATAAATACGCATTACAATGTGGATTTGTCATATTTATGGATTTTTTTTTTCTTCACTTGAACTGATCATCGCATTGTTATTTTTATTCCATTTAGATGCCAGGGAGACGATGTGTATTTATTTTTTTATTGCAATTTATTGTTGTATTGGGGTGACCGATGGTTGGGTATGTAAATTCACGGGGGCATTTCCTTATCAGTGTTGGAGTATGTGGGCGAATATTGGCGAATATTAGCGAATATTAGCGAGCATTCCCTGCAATTAATTGAGCTACGCCTCGAGCCGAGTGCACCGAGGACAACTCGTTTTGTCATTGACTTGGAGGGCGGAGAAATAAAAAAAAAAGTCGAGGGCAAAGAGGATGTGTATGGAGCTCTTAACCCTCGGCGAGACTCTTTTTATCTCTTTCTCTCTTTCTCCTTTTATCTTGAAATTCTGCCGAAACTGCGAAATCCCGCCATCCGTTTCGTGGATGTTGGAACGCGCCACTTTGCCGAATGATTTTGCAACTGTTTTGCGAATAATAATAACGCCTCTCGGTCAGGTGGACGTATGCTAATATTTGCTCCTTTACTCGCGCACCTACGTGTGCACTATCTGTAATCGGAGCGCACTTGTGACGACTCTTTTCGGTTATTAAAAGTCGAGACTCGGGATGCGAGGTTTGTTATAAATTAATCGGGGGTCGAAGGGATGGGTACAATTTGTTGTAAATTAATCTAGGATCGGGGGGATAGGTACAGTTTGTTGTTAAATTAATCGAGGACCGAAGGGAGGCGTACTGTTTGTTGTTAAATTAAACGGCAGGGATGTGGGGCGACAGGGAAGGGCAGATTTACCGACGTCGTGGAGATTATGATAAACGAGATGACGAGGAGGTACTCGGCCCTCGGCGGGGATATAACTACGGCTTAAGGCGGGTTTTTCTCAAATGTATCGCAACGCTTCGCCTTGACCTTTAACGTTGATTAATTGCCGTTGCGAAACCGGAGCGTGACGGAGAGTCGATGGATCCGACTTTGGGGGGGAGAAAAATCGCCTCCTAGGTGACGGATTTGACGTTCGTCGCGACGGCCTTCCCTAAAAAAGGAGAAAAGAAAGAAGAAAGTAAAAGATACGAAGTGGAGGTGGAGTTCGTTCTCGAAAAGCCAACGATCGACACCTATGCAAATTTCGACAGCTAAGTACACAGATCGGTCTGTCCACGTGTTCTACCGAGGGACGTCAGCTGATCGGACGATCAGCTGATCGCCACGTGGTCGATACGCGCGCGGAGAGCGTTAAAGAGAAGAAAATAAGAAAAACACCTTAATGGATTCGTGAACCATTTGTCGAAAGTTTTTCATAGATACCGGGTTATAAATCCACGATATGGCGTAGGGCATCTTCGACGAGTCGATTAGCTCTCGGTTACGATGCCTCATTTATGACTCCAATATCGCGTTCGGTAGTTCGATACGCCTGACGAGCGTCTTGGCTTACCCTATCATCCACGTGGCTGATAATGGCAGGAAGTCAAGACCGAGAGTGGAGGCCCCACCCTTTCTACACCCGTCTTTTGCGTTGTCAATGCTAATAGGTGTCCACTCGTCGCACCTGTGGAACGTGTCAGAATTCAATTTCGTCTACGTCAATCCTGGAAAAACTTGTCTAGGATCCTCCTATGTATTCTTCGGTGGACTTTCTTGTCCACCTCCGGAGGCTGCGTCACTTGTTTTCCGTGGATTGGAATTAATTGCTGATTATGCGAGCTATCGAAGCGGTCTGGGGGATCGCATCTTCGGGTTTTTCTTCCTTTTCTTTTTTTTTTTTTTCATTCAAGGTAGATTACCATCGAATATGTACATGTTCCCTTCGCTGGATGTTGGGGGAAATGTCGGGATAATCGGAAAAGGGCCTTCTCGAGTCCTGTCTTCCTTGACAATAAACTCGTTGCCATTGTTGGGTCCAAGAATTCGCGCCAGGATGGGGCGTTAATGGCGGATTTGGCCATCACCGTGACGAGGCTCTGCACCAGGTCGTTAGGCTTTACGACACTTTGGGACCAGCTCGAGCACGTAACGTGAAAACGATTATCCGGCAATTAGGCTCATTGTCGACATCTTCCTCGAGGACAAAGGGACAATGTCGCCGGTTTCCTTTCCCTGGTTCCTTTTTTCTTTTATTATTTTTTTTTAAGTCCCCATCCCCCAACTCCGCCTAACTCTTCTTCGAGCCCTTCGATTAGCCATTTTCCTCATCCCCGCAGCCATAATTTTCTTCCGAGATAATTCGCTTTTTTTATTATTATTTTTTTTCTTTTTCGTCATTTGCAGAGAATTGTCTTCGTTATCCGGGGTCGTTAGACATTGCGACACTTCTCGGCCCGATGGACCATGTGCCGTAAAAACGGTTTCACGGCAATTAAGCTCGCCTCCTTCCTCTAGTTTCCCTTTTCTCCCTGGAATTTCCTCGAGGGGTAGGATTAAAAATTACGGAATATATTATTCGGGTACTGCGAGGACGATCGATCGTCAACTGCGCATCTCCGATTCGTAATCGAGCTAAGAATAAGCGGGGAAGGATAGTCCCAGGATAATTTACCATCGGCTAAGAAAGTACTGCGCACTTTTCCTATTTATGCATTATTCAGGCTTACACGCGTTGCGTGCAGAAATGCACTTTTCACGGCGGAGAGGTTATGTCGCCGATGGTAAAAATAGAGAATCGATACCGAGGTCTGGCAATTGCCGGAAAATTTGCAATTATCCTAGGAGGTCGTTCGTTCCCCTACTATTCTTAATGCATAAAAAGGATATTTAAAAATCGCGAGGTATGAATTCACCGTAGAAAAAGAAATTCTTTCTTCCCTTTTTTTTTTTTAATAGATTACGACGGATTTTTCCTGGTCGACCGGGCATTCGCCTCTGAATTATTAAAATACGTTATGTCGTCGATGGTAAAAATAGAGAATCGATACCGAGCTGCCGGAAAATTTGCAATTATCCTACGGGTCGTTCGTTCCCCTACTATTCTTAATGCATACAAAGGGTATTCAAAAATCGCGAGACATGAATTCACCGTAGAAAAAAAAAATTCTTTCGTTATTCCCTTCTTTTATTTTTCTTTTCTTTTCTTTTAATAGTTTTCGACGGAACCTTTCTCGTCAACCGGGCATTCGCCTCTGAATTATTAAAATACGTTATGTCGCCGATGGTAAAAATAGCTAATCGATACCGAGGTCTGGCAATTGCCGGAAAATTTACAATTATCCTACAAAGTCGTTCATTCCCCTACTTTACTTAATGCATATAAAGGATATTTAAAATTCGCGAGACATGAATTCACTATGGGGAAAAAAAATTCTTCCTTTTTTTTAATAGTTTTAATTAATAGAGAATAATTAAATTTAATAAACGAAACATTCCTCGTCGACCGGGCATTCGCCTCTGAATTATTAGAACACGTCTTAAGCGTCTCGGAAGGTGTGGCAGGGCTTTATTTTCGGGGTATTTTTAACCCGAAGTCGTGAATATCGTGCCATGAGAGAGCTCGGCGAGGACTTTCGTGCCGTTTCCTCCGACCTTGGGAGAATCACCGAGAGAAATGAATTTATCGGAGGGTATAAAAGATTTTATAAATATATTCGATATACTTGGTACACCTTGTCCGACGTTTTAGAGTTTCAGCGCTAGAGAAAGCCCGCGGAGGATATTTAAGGGGATGTGAAAGCTCAATGGTTCATAAAACTTTTCTACAAACTGTGTGTCTCAAATCGTTACATACTTTAAAACGGGAATATGGAGACCCTAAGGTAGGTCCTGACACTCGCGAAATTTCATTTTTTATAAACTATTTTTAAAATACCTATAAACAAATTTGAAAAGAATTGAAATTTCATGAGTTTCAGGACCTTCCTTATAGCCTCCCTGTTCACGTTGTAAAGTTTCAAGCTATTCGGTAAACCTAATTGAGAGAAAAGTTTTGTAAACAAAACCTCTTCGACGGCACTTTCACATCACCTTAACGGGAGGTATCTCTGCGTAAGACCGGTTGTTCTTCAATAATTCAGATAACGAGCTCGCGGCTATCTGCTAAGTAAAATCCTATAAGTCATGAGTTAATAACGCTTAAAGGGTCAATGGCGGAAATTGACGGAAAGGAATAATCCCTCTTCGGGGCGAAGGAGTGCCCCGAAGGAGGTCTCGTATACCGAGGTCGGTAAAGAGTAAAAAAAGAAACGTAAAAAAAATGAACGAATGAAAGGAGGATAAAAATTGGAGTGGACGATAAGAGAGGACCCTTGTTCGCAGCTTATGCCCATGGGTTATCGGCCTTCGACGGCGCCGGGAGCGTCAAGCACTCGGAGAGGAAAGACATCCCCAGGGAGAGCCGGGAGGACGAGCCCAGGATGCATCGCCAGAAGGAGGACGAGCAGACCGTCTACGTGATAGAGTTCGAGACCGAGACGAACGACAGGGACGGCAGCGCGAGGAGTGATAACACTACCGGTGAGTCAATCCAGAGATTCATCTTCTAAGTGACGAAACCTGGCTGATGTAACCCGGACGCCTGAAAACCTGAAACGAAGCCGAACGGTGTGTAGAAATAAGAAAGAAAAGAGAAAAGAAATGATTGAAAGTACCTATACAAGTGTCTTCGTATGACGAGAAAGTCATTGACTTACATCTCTTCTCTTTTACAGCGAGTGGCAACACTCAGAGTCCTCTGGACCCGTGGTCCATAGTCTGGTACATCGGCTCCTTCGGGGGACTGGTGGCGTTCTTCCTGATAGTGAGCTGCTCGGAGTGGTGCTGTCGTCGAGGCGCTCGCCCCCTCTCGGTACCCTACACCCAGAGGGGAGAAGTGATAGGGCCCTCCCCGGGTGTAACCGACACCCCTCCGCCGCCTTATCACCTGTTCGCACCCCCGCCGTACGACTCCGTAAACTACGGGGTGATAGCTGACAAGACGGGCGCCGACAAGGTGGACATATTCGTCATCTCCGTGCCTCTTCGGGGACCGGCTAGGCAGCCCTCCTAAGGCCCTTCGACGCCCGGGATCCTCCAGGGGATTCGGGAACTGATCGTCCGAACTGCTCCTGCTCGCCAGGAAACCCGAGTCTGGGTCCCTAGGGTCCTAGTGAGACTCTTGGACGACGCCCAAGGACGTCCATACCAAGAAATGGACGATGAAGTCCAGACGTTGGTGCCAGGCGAGTCCTGGTCCAGGGCTCCGCGTCGTCGTCTCTAGGATGAGGCCTTCCTAGACTGGAGAGAGTCCTCGGGAGTCGCTCCGACCGGGCACATCTAGAAGGATATTTACAAGGAGACGCGTTAACGTTGGCAAATCTGCAACTCGAGCCGAGTTTCGGTGAAGGTTTAGAAGCCAAACACCGAAATAAACTCCCGCGGTAGGTCTGCGCTCGACTTGCTGCGTCTTAGAGGAGCGATTCAGTGTCCTGGGACACTTTCGGGGGGGAATTAAGGGTGCACGTTGACTCGTTCCACCGGAGAACTTGAAACCTCGTCGTGTTGAAGTGGGATTTTAGTTCTGGTTATGGAAAGCGGCGCCCAAAGTACCGCCTACCGCGTGTCGAGGAAATCCGACTATCGACTCCGGTTATCTGTGGATGATTGAAGTCCTCGAGACTGTGCTCAATGACTGGTGATGTAATGCGCGGAAGTATACGTAGATTCACGTACAGAGACATAGGTGTATACCGGGAAGATCCGGGCTTTCTGAATGACTCGATGCGTTTTCGAACGACCGTGCCCATTGTCCCCGATAGGAACGTCATTTCGCGCCGGGATTGCATTTCCGCGTCTCATCCCAGAGGCTCGATGACTCCTCGTGCGAGTGCTCGACGGTCTCTCGGGAAAGTCCGGTCGCAATTGCGCTCGTTAGCGATCGGCTGCAATGAGTCACAGGATCGTTAAAGTCGTTCCGAGGATCGTTAGAGCCGGCCCCTTTTGCGACCAGACCCCGCGAGAGGCGAAAAGGATTCCGCAATCTCGGGGGAAACAAACGACCGTCCGCTTAGGCTTACCTAGGCGTTAATTGGAGATCCTACCGAGCTTTAATCGCTGCCGGTATATTGACAAATTGTTCTTAACCATGGAAATTGAACAGTTTGAAGGCGCAGTTTTGCAATGGGGTAACGAGCCCTCGCGAGATAACGAGGCCCTTATCGGCCGATTTCTTGGATGGCTGGATCCGACTTCGATTCTCTCGGAATCAATCTGAAAGTAGCTACGTTATCATATCCTGCAGGCGAGCGAGGATGAGAAATCGCGCTTTTCGATTAAACGCGGAGCGTTTAATCAGCCGGGAACTGCGACGAATCGAAATGGGCTCTGGAATCAGAAGGAAGCGGATCGGCTGATAATAATTTACGCTTGGTGATTAAATCGATACCTCAATACGCGGCCCGGATTGTGAAAGCCTGTGAAAATAACTCCAAGGTGACCGGTCATCAAGATCTGATGATCGGGACTTCCCCGAAGGAAACGAGATCACTCTTTATGGCCATCGGAGTCCTGTAACTTCCTTGAAATCCCAGATCAAGGTGACGTCCAAGTGGCGTCGAAGAGGCATCGTTTATGAAACTTTTCTTCGAACTTGGTGTACGGGATCGTCTCAGACTTGACAATGTGAATACGGAGGCTATAAGGTCCTGAAATCCATGAAATCTCCATCTTAAGATAATTTCTTTATAGCTATTTTCAACAATTTTAATAACAAATGATATCTCGCGAGTTTCGGGACTTACCTTAGGGTCTTACCTTATTCCTATGGGAAGATTTGAGACACATTGGTGCACCCAATTCGGAGGAAAGTTTCATGAACTACTCACTCCTAAGGTGCCACTTTCACATCCCCTTAAGAAGCTATTGATCCAGTTCCTCTCTTGTCATAACTCTACTGGGCTTGCACGCATCCGTATCGGCTCGAAGGGCTGGAAAACTGTAAGTCCTTCCGGGAATCGGGTTACGGACTACCAGGAATAAAGGGGCTGATAACGAGAAATCTTAAGAGTACCGTGTAATCGCCCGGGGCGAAATTGCGGGCGTGGAATTAGCGGTGACGTCGTTGGCAAAGAGGCCACATCGGTTGACCCGGACCGCCTTTGGTTTCAAGGGCACCAATTGCTCCCGAATGTGAGGATTCCTCCACTGCCATGGAAACTACCTAAAAAGAGCCAGGACACCGTGCCAAATACACTGCCAACTTCCGGACCGTCCTTGCGACGTACTTTCCGGTCGTAAAATCCCGCTCGAGTCCAACTCGAGGAGCGAGGGATTGTTCACTCAGGAAATTATGGATTTTAAGGTGATACAAACAGGTCGCTCTATTATATCAAGACGTCCAAATATTTATGTAACTTTTATCCAAACTGGGCGCACAGAGTCATTTGAATCTTCGGCCCCTTATTATGCTAGCCCTTAGGAAGAACGCTATACTCGTGAGATTTCATTTTTCACAGAAAAAATGATGTTTCACGAACATCGCGTTCTTACTTAGGGCCTCTATAATCACGTGTTAATGTTTCAGATAATTCGGTGCACCCAGTTCGGAGAAGTTTTATAAATATATTGCCGTTTAATTTATGTAGAATGACCCTTTAACGCTAGAATGACCAAAACCAGTCAAAATGACTGGTTTCAAATGGCCCATCCTATACAAAAAAAATCCGCCGGTAGTTCTAGTGCTAATATCGCCTTAGTGATGGTAATCACGTGGAAATCGCAAGCGGTAAACACTGGGAATCACCGACGCATTCTTACAATATTCAATTAGAACGTCAATTGTTCTCGAATCTCGTGGTTGTTTATCATGTTAAATCAGGCGGTAGATTCTCAAAGGAGGGAAATCGTTTTCCCTGATTTCCGAGTGAATAGTCCCTCGGCGAGGAGTTAAAGTTCACCCCATCGTCCTCGGTACGGTCGTTGATTAACTCGTCCTGTTTCATTCGGAAACTCGCCGGCGTCCTCTCGCCGTTTATTTTTTATACTTTTATACAAGCCCTCGTTTGTAAGTAGTCGATGTTGTAGCGAGCCGCAATAAAGTTTTGCCACTTCCTTGAGATAATCCGGCCTTTCGGAGCTGTACCTTGAACGGGTCTCTGCGACTACGACGGATAAAAATAAAATTATCGATACCGTCGGGTGTATTCACTTCTCGCGAATGTCTCTCGAAATAGGCTTCCTATCTGATACTTACACATGGATCGGTCGTATATCAGAATCGACGATTCAATGAACTTGCGGCCCCTTCTGTACGGAATTAATAGAATTCGGATGAAATTAGTATTGGCTGGCCGGAATAGTATTGACGCATTCTCGTAACAGATGGTCACAGGAAAGTGCGTCATTACTTTTACGACAAGCCGGTAGATTTCGCCGAGGTGATGGCTTATCCGAGGTGTCGATCTTACCGACTCACCCCAAGGGTATTACTCACCGAAACATGTCGAGATAACGCGATATCCGGGATTATAAAGACACTACGCATATGCGATCGCTGTTGAACGGCGATGATTTCACCAACTATTAAATTACTCGTTTCAAAACAATGCCCGAAGTGCACTTTAACGCGTTAACCGGTCATTAGTTTGAATCTAAGCGGACCGCGCTTTCGTCCGCCATCTTGGAAAATGGCGCCGAGTATCGATTTCCCGAGTATCGAGAGTTTCGATATTTCCTGACGTTTTGAATTTTCGTTGAGGTTTAACATATTTCTGGAAGTTAAAATGTATTGAAGTTATGATAGATGTTAGAATGGGTTACTGGTGATGTATTACGAGACATTTGTCAGTCATTAGTGAAACGCGTGACACTTTGAGTCCTCAAAAGGTTGAACATTACAGAAGTGCCGTAACTTCAGAAGATATTTATTATTTAACACTGGTCTTCGGCTCGAAGGAAAATTTTGTACATGCTTCAGTGTTTATCAAGGTACATTCTAAGATATCAAATTAATTTTGATAACGGGGAAGTTCATTTCGCCAGCTTATTGATATACCATGCATACCAATTTAGGTACCGTGTCGGAGAGAGATCTCGAAGTCCATTAACTTTACTTTTCATTATTAGTCTTAGAATCAACTCGCATCTACAAACATTTGATAATAAAATTGCATGTTTGTCCAACAGGTGATAAGCACATCCCTGGATCTGAGCATATTTGAACCTGGCTAACGTATTGTTGCAGAATTTTATGTTAGTCTACATAAACATGGTTAATTCCCGACTCTAGAACTACGTTAATAGGTATTTCTTTGATGCACTATGTTCAGGTACTATATAAGTTGGTATCTTTATTTTCTACTTGACAAATCGTATAAATGTTTATCAAGTATTAACTTATATTTAATATGAATGATTTTTTATACGAGATCGAAAATCTAGAAAATAAACAGGTGACCTGCCATGAAAACGTTTCCGATCTACGTCGGGCAATAGAACAATTAACAAAGCAAGGCGACATGTATCAAAAAGTCGTAGCTGAAAGAGAAAAGACCATTATAAAATTGCAGGATGAATTAACAAACCTTGTTCGCAAGCGTAATCCAATCATTTTCAATTTACCACAATACAAAAGGTCAATTTAAATACGAGTTAAAGAAACATAAACTATCGTTTGAGAAAGGGGATCGAGAATAAATTGAAACGGACAGTGCCTTAAAAGAAATGCATTTTATGTATTTTATATACAAGCTTTTTTTTTTTTTAATGAAAAATTACAGGAAAGGATAGTCCAGTATGAGAGAGCCATTGCTAAAGTGATGTTTGTTGAACAGCACCCATTGATATTGAGAATATACTGTCGACTAAGGTCCTACTACGATCTTTCTTTATAAAAATCGCCGTAATTTTTGTCTTTTTGGTCTACGTATGTGAAAATCTACTTTCCCACTATCTATACCATTTTACTCAATATAGCTAATTTATATAGCTACACGCTACTCCATTACCTATCGTTCTTCTAAAAGTACCGTCCTACTGTACATGTACGAAGTTACATGATCCTCGGTATCTTGACATAAAATATTTCACAGGGCTTCGATATCTTCGGTACATTTCGCCAAAACCAATTGGCGGTTCCGATGAATCACCGACTACGATTAAAAGTTAATTGCAGCCGACGTGAAAGTTCATTTTCTCTTAGGACATTAAAAATAACGGGGTTTCCTGCGCCAAGGTTTCAGGTAATTCACTTCATCACCAGCGGTTTCATGAATCTTACTAGTCAATTTGAGCATTTTTAAATATCATTAAATTTCCCTGTCCGAACACAGAGTTCGTTTCAGAGATCTTATCAATACTCAAAGAATGACCTCTCATATCACCTTAACAAGACAACGGTGCAGATTAATTGAACGGTTTTGAAACCGTTAAAAAAAAATACTGACATCTCTAAAATTAACATCCACGATGATTTCGTTAGTTCCTTCAAATATAGGAGGTAGCCCTCGTGTAATTTCATCATTTCAATGAAGCCATCGAGAATGATACTTACACAGTCCAGCGGAACTAAGTATCGTAACACTTGAAGGAGACAAGACCACCGTAAGTAGAGAAAATCCTGCACTGCTTTGTTTCTCGAGAGGTTTATCAGGTACAAAGGTACCTTAAATTCGTCAAATTATAGTTAAGGCAATAACAATCGAAAATAAAGTGACAATGTTGCGTGAACAGTGCACGAGTCAATTTGCAGACCACCGAACCCAAAGCTGACACAAAGTACGAAACCTCGTCATAAGTAAAGTGAAATACTGACGCAGCCTTATCTTACTTGGTGAGAAAAGGAAAATGAGTCTAAACTTGAAAAGTTAGTACGAACTAATAAAAAGAGGCGACGTGTGCGAAGCAGCAGTCAGGAGTCCGATCAGAATGAACTTAAGGCGACGCGATTGATCGGCAGAACGTTCGCCGCGCCGAGCTTAAATCTGCACCTAGGATGATTCCGTCATCAACTGCGTCCTTTGCTCCACGACTGTTCCGTCGCCGAGGCGAACATCAGGTAAAAACAATTGGTCAGCATGTTTATACCAGCAGCCATCCAAAATACCAGGTGCCAGCGCGCCAGCGTTTCCTGCAATCGAACGACGAGACGACGTTACAAGTATTTATATACCGCAAGAAGGAATTTCAAGGGCCGAGACTTACGTGATCCTGCACTATCCTGCCGATGATGTAAGGCGCCAGGAAGCCGCAGACATTGGCGGCAGCATTGCTCAGGCCGTAGAGAGTTCCGGCGTATCGTGGAGCAAGAGCGATGTGGTTCATCTGGTTTCCGGCATAAACGGCGCCTTGGAGAGAGCCCAAACCAGCGAGCATCATCATGACGGTAAAGCGGTCGCAGCCTGCCCAGATTGCTCCTATAAAGCTGAGACTCGGACCCAGGGAGGCAACGGTATTCCACAATTTGATGGAAATCAACGGTGAGATCATTTGACGAGCCAGGAGGGCATCGGCAATGCTCGATATTACCAGGCCCATTATCCAGGCGCTTAAGTACGGCAGTGCCGAGAGGAATGCGTCTTGTTGTACGTTGTAGTGCAAGATGCGGTCCATGTAAGTCGGCAGCTCGGTCAGCAGGGTGTAAAAGGCCCACGCTTGTCCGCACTGCGTTATCGTGATGGCCCACATAGGTAGAGACGTGAAAATCGCCAGCCAGGGTACCCCAAGATCATCGTCCTGTTATAAGAAAGCGTTAACTCTTTCATTCCAATTGTATAAAATAATTCCTGATATATCTGACCTCGTCTTTCGACTCGACGCAGGCCTCGATGTATGCTCTTTCCTGGGGGTCGATCCGAGGGTGTTCAGACGGCGTGTCGTAGACGAAGAGCAACCAGAAGATGTACCAGACGATACCAAGGCCACCGAACAGATAGAATGCCAGAGGCCAACCACCCCAGAATTCCAGAGAACAAAGCCACCCACTCACGGGCAGAGAAATCACCGTTCCGAAATTCGAACCTGAAGAAATGTCGTCTCGGTGTATACATGTCAATGGTTAACCTACTTGAAAGGAATTCCACAAATAATTACCGGCATAAACAATGGCGGCAAATTTGCCTCTTTCCAGTGGGGGCACCCAGTGAGCTAACATATTGTGCATCGCTGGGAATGTCACACCCTGGAAGGTGATCGAAGGAGAAAGTTACGTTAATCAAGTACTGGAGTATCAAAATACAGTGCAACAAAATTATTGACATACTTCGGTAAAACCTTCGGCGATACGAACTGCCAAGAAAGGTGTCAGTCCCCAATAAGCAGCAAAAGGACTGATCACTGTCAATACCGCTGTTAAAAATACCCCAAGACCGCAGACTAACTTTCCGCCAACTTTCTCTGCCATTCTCCCACCAGGGACATTCGTTGCTACGTATCCGATGAAGAAGGCGCCAAGAATGAGACCCTGCGTTCTGTCATCCCAATCAAATTCTCCAGCACTCTAGAGATATCAAGAATCAGTTTAAAATTTAATTTAATTCCAACTGCATTCTTCTTTACCACTATGTAGATAAGCTATGGAGGTCACTCGTGCGTAAAGTGATAGTTTGCATGAGTAACACACATGATAATATAATCACGTCAATAATGTATGATATTACACAAGAATATGACTCTTGGTCCATATCATCAAAAATTAAATACTAGGTGAAGGGTGATTTCATATCAACTGACGCATTAATAATTCTTACAGGAATGAAGGTTCCGTTGATGATATCCTTATTGTCACAAACGTCAGTGGTGTCATTATTATCCACGTGCGGTATCGCAGTTTGATTAACCATGGAGACAATAGCCACCGATAAATTGACTCTCATGGCGTATACCAAAGCAAATCCCAAAAATCCGAGGAAGCCCAATACATAACGTGCTTTGATACATGACGGCGTATCAGCTGGCGATGCCGCCTGTTTCTCAACTGAAAACAGATAATTACTTATCAAAGAACGTTTCAAATTTCTACTAGTTAGAAATTCCCTTATAATCTAAAACACGTGTCGCAAGGAGAGAGAAAAGAAGGAGAAAGGACATTCTGCCACTTTATATTACTCGTCACAGTGGTAATAATTTACACCCACTCGGTACTCTTCAGCATTTAACATTCAGGAATTACAAAGAAGACATCTTAAAACCTACTACTAAATGGAACAAAAATGAATCATTCATTCGTCCACGATTCCACCATTCTGGAATCAAATTCTTGGATGCAGCAGTCTGTAATTAAACTGTCATGAACTGTCCATACCAATTATGGGACTATTGTGTCCCGGATACACAGTTGGGCATATGATAGCATGACGTCACCGCATATCACTGCCATCATACCCCTTTGTTATCTCATTGCTCACTCCTGTCATGGAAAGGCGCGCGAATCGAAGAGACTGCCAAAGGGCTGTCATTGCCAGCCGATAAATCAGAAATATTTGCTGGAGAGTCCCAAGGAATTCGCAGAAACAAAATTAATTCTCAGAAGCTGCGAATAGAGAAAGCGGAACGATACGCCACCTGTCATAACCTGACCTCTTTCTAAGGTATCGTTGATAAAAAGAGGCTGATCATCTCTGGTGACGGTCGGATCTAGAACTTCCATGTTGTCGCTAGATCTCCTTCCTTCAATTTATTCTAATCTCTCGTTGTTCTACGTTTTCCCAAACGTCAACATTGGAATGATTGGAAGCGCGTCGTAGTCGAACTTGGTCGCACTCGCTCTTGTTCACTCTTGTTCGCATTAAGCAACGATTGGCCACGATCTTGATGGACTTGAAACTCCGCCAATTTTTCGTGGTGGGGCATAATCGCTCGCTAGTATTATTTCTATTTTCTATAACTGCCACCTCGTGGCGCGATCACTCTCTGTGCTGCCCTCGGTGGAGAATACGGGCGGCTCGTGCATTTGCCACTTGATCCCAGTAGCGGCCCAACTCAGGGATTCCTATTTCTGCTCCTCCGGAGTTTTTACATTTCGTTCCTCCGGTCTCCTCATTTCGCAGGACAAAAGGTCCGTACCGGCACGGGGCCTGGTTGTATGTTTTCTAGAATGAAATTAATTAGACCGCGTTTGGGAATCCGGATAAATATGCAATACGCCCGGACTGCGCATCCTTTTTGCATGCTCAGTGATATGAAAAATACCAGTTCAGTAAATTTAACGAGATCGATGTACCATTAATATTCTTAACTTTTAGTAACTTATTCGCTGTCTAATCTCAAACTTCCTGGATGCTTTTTTAATGTTCTCTTTTGCCTGTCTTTTTGTGGCCCTTTCCAGGTTTAGATGGATCATTTAACAGGAGCCATTTCTTTTTCAAGTCATCATGAGTAGTTTATCGCCGTAGAGCTTGCTGGACTTGCTGGTAAAAGATGTGAAAAGATGTTAAAGGATGTTTATTATCACATTTTCTGACGTTTTAAAGGTAATTACTTTTTTTAAACTTTAAAAGATATTTCACAAGTCCAGCTTCCCTTTACGGTTCCAAATCAGGGAATGGGTTACGCTGACGTCAATCTCAATAAGCACTAGTTCCATTAAAGTGCCCGCTTTTATCAGATTCCCATTTCCAGTGTTCATTACAGAGTTCGACATGGTGATACTTGGTATAGTTTCTTCGAAACAGAAACTCAGCTGGTATTACAAAATTGTGTTGTTTAACGGGGCAGAATGAAAAAGAATCCGCAGGTCTACACTGATATCTCCTGTATTTGCACGCGCTTCTTAATAGTTCCGATCGTGGCGGTTAATGGATTTGGCGTATCGGCGGACGTTTTCGGGTCCTTTTGTTCGGAATCCAACTGAGAAATCGAGTGTGCAGTCTTCGCTTCTCCCGTGTTCCCTGAGCAGTGTTGTTGAACGGGTTCCTGTCCTTTTGTAACGTCAGGATTGGTGGCCAGAATCGTGTATGAAGGTGGAGGCTCTTCAGGGTTTTCTGCTGGCTTCACCGAATCCTTGGCACTGGTCAGCGATTCTTGGTGCCTCGGTTGCTCGGCTGCGGTCTTCTTCTTGTCTCGGTATCGCTGGTAATAGATGCCAGCAAATACTATCATATTGAGGGCCAGCAGAATGCACCCAACGCCGACTGTAATTGTCAGTGCTGTCGTGGTACTGTAATACGGTCGGGACGTCAATCTGTGAAGCTGTTCCACCTTGTCCTCCATGTCGTTCAGCCTCGCGGTAATGTTTTCGGTTATTACTTCCTGACTAATAGGCGTGGTGCAGGCAATCGTTGTGACTTCACCCGTTCTTGAAGTTCTGGATAAGGAAACAGGCGTATACCACTCGTCTCGCACAGGTCCTGAAAATATATGCTAATTAGGAAAGTATCCCATTGATACCTTGAATGAGAGACTCGTACGATTTTATACCTGCTAATTCCTGAGTTTAAAGTGATATGAAAGGGTCATTCTAAATGGATGAAACGTAAAAATATATTTATGAAACTTTTCTCCAAACTGGGTGCACCGACTCATTCGAAACTTTAACACGTGGTTAAATAGGTCCTAATAAAGGTCTTGAAACTCGCGGAATTTAATTTTTGAAAAGAAAAAAAAAAATGTATTTATCCCGGACAAGAAGTACAACTAAACAATGCAGATAAATTCATACGAGATTACGTTATACGAGTTAGCATACAGTGAATACAATTTCGTACCGGCATAGAAGTGTTCTTCCCTCTCGCGGAAATGATGATGTTTCATCGAGACATCTTCATCTCCTGGGTGATGGAGTTGAGGTATCAAATTCGACCATACAGCCATTTTGTGCCCGCGATAATGACTCCTCATTTTTGGCCTAGCAGCTGAAAGCATTACTGTCATTACATGAATTTTTTTCATCCGTTTAAGGTGATATGAAAGCGGCACCTAAGGAGACATCAGTTTCTGAAGGTCCATGCCAGGTGTACCAAATCGTTTGAAATTTTACCACCTTAAAACAGACCCTAGGGAATGTCCCGACACCCGTGACATTTATTTCTTCTCTTCAAATTTTATTATAAACAATTTTTGTCATCCTTTATAAGTGAAATGAAATTTCACGAGTGCCGAGATCTTCCTTATGGCTTTCATATTTAGATGGTAAAATTGCAGACAGTTTCGATGGATTAGGTTCAGAGAGAAGCTTCATAAATTATTGATTACTTCTTATCATATCTTTCATATCTTTCATATCACCTTAAACTGCCATTAAGTTAATAATTTAACAAGCAGAAGCTTCAATTTACCGATCATTAAATATTGCTGCGTGCCAGTCTCGTATTGCTCCCATATCAGGCCGCGAAAGCGAGTCTTCTCTTTCACGGCCCCGTAATCAACTGATTCAATATTGTGCGGCTCATTGGGATTTCCAGTTTTCGCGAAATTCGTGAAGAATGTGAGCACTACCTCCGCCACGCTTTGATCGTGCTTAGAGTAGTTTTGGGGGAAGAACGATCCGCCGGCATTAAGGGGCAACCCAAAGAGATACGGTATGTCTTCGCCACGCACGCTGCCCAGTCTCTGAAATATAAAAAAAAATAAACATAAGAATAAATATTATGCGAAATCAACTACAATTAGTTGTTATTAATTAATCTTGAGTTGGTGCAACTGTTGCGTTGCTCCGGCAAAAATTAAGCTAATCAAAGATTAGTCTCCATTGTGTGGTAACCATCTGAGGTCGAACGATTAACTCTAACGCCAGGTTTCACAACTCGAGTTAACCGAAGTTTAATTGGTTTAAACGCGGTTTAAACACGTATCTGTTCTTAGGCTCTTACTTGAACGTAGTCGCTGTCTTTCGTTTGATAACTGAAGTGGCAGAAGTACGTTTTAGCTCCTCTTCGAGCATGGTAAAAAGCAATTCGGGTTATAGGAGCTGCGGTGTGGCCATCGCTCAGGGCTTCCATAGTCGCATCGCGAATGTTGATAGGATGGAGTACTGGCTTATCCCAATCCGTGTATTCATTTCGAATAGCTGAAAAAATTTCGTTCAGGTGATAGACGTAGGCGTTCCTAATGAACGTTCTTAGAATCCGATTGCGTTGTTCCTCCTCGAAGCCGTACTGAATGTCGTCTTCGTTAAAGTCTAAGTAAGACTCTGCCGTAGCAACACTTAGGATCATGGGGACTTTGATGAAAGCATCGCTAGCTCTTTCCATGTCAAGGCCTGGGTCTGGATTATTTTCATCAACAGGCAAACTCGGTCCAATCCTGGGCATGAACCTGCACATCGATTGGTAGTTAGAATTTCTCTTCAAAGAAATCCGCTAAGAAACTACGTATAAACAGTTAAGGTGACATCAAAGACGCCGAGGAATTTAATCGACGTTGATGAATTATAATCATTTGTACGATTGACTCCTCAGATGGCACTTTCACATCCCCTTAAGGGTAATAAATGGATCGTATACCTTATTTCCGGAAGCTCGACCGCTTGAATCGTCTGGAGGGGTACTTGGCGAAGGCAATCGGCGATATCGTCGTTAACGTTAACGGAACATCCCAATTGTTCGGCGACGATAACACGGAGACTCATAGGGTCCAGGACAGAAGCCCAAGGGCTTAATGCCGAGCCGCTTAACAAGACAACACGGTGAAACAGATCTGCATGGAAGAAATAAATGTCCAGCTTCAGAGTAGCGCAAAGTTATTCGTGACTCATAAGTAACCAAATTCTTCGAGAGCAAGGGGAGACCCTAGCTCCGGGTGGAACTTTATGGGAGTAGGCTAATGAATATCTGAAAAAAATAAAAACGAGGGGGACAGCAATTAGACTCTTGCCCCCTGAGGGTACGAATCTGTGGAACAAGTACTAGTAGCGATTGGACTTATTGTTCTGTCGATATATGTCTTATTGTGTTATCGAATCGTTCCGATATACTCCTCTAGGATCCTCCGAAGCAGATGACTAGAGGCACTCGAAAATCTGCTATATTTACAACCCAAGGAGGGAAAACTATTATTAACCTCTTCTATTCGCTGTAATCTTTCATTTGTTGTTTAGTGTTCAGTGAATCCCACCGATCTCTGTACCAATTGGATAGCTTTAACCCACGAAGGATTTCCTTCATTCAGACTTCTTTCTGATTTAGTGCCGGGAGCGCCTCCTCGAAATTTTACAATTAAACATTATCGCCTGCTAGTGGATCCGCTAATCTTTATCGCGTTAATCACATTCTGTATGTCACGCGAGGATTATCGTTTCGCTTTGCGTACCTTAATTGCAAGATTAATAGCATTTCAAGTCATTTACGTCGGTAGGAAGGTGGTTTTGGTCACGTAGGATAGGAGTTCCCTCATTTTCCGCAAGTAGCGCTAACATCGTTGGCTCAGCGAAACTCTGAGATCTTGGGTCCCGATTCTGGGGTCACTTTCTGTGGAACTGGTGGCGTTATGTCTCCTTATACTACTTCATGGGTATTAGCTATCCAGTTAATATATAGATCTGTGATAAGTGCACTCGGATGTAGCTATCCCTTCAACAAGGGTACTAACCTTTTCCGTAAGGAGCAAGTAAGAGGAGGTTCACCAATACCGCTCCAGTATCGTGGCCCAACAATGTGATTCTGCTTGGATCGCCACCAAATGCCGCTATGTTTTGGTGGACCCACTGTAACGACATAGCGATATCTTTCAAAGCCAAATTGCCTCCTGAATCGGATGACGCGTCGGGACCAGGGCGGGTCTTAAGGAACCCTACAAATATTTCATTGGCACTCACGTCAAATTGAAGCATGCGAAGGCACGTGGGCGTGTTACCGTAAAATTATGTACGATGGTTCGCGAAATTGATGTACCTAGGATTCCTAGACGATAATTAACGGTGATGACGATTACGTGTCCAGCGCTGGCCAGCACAGAGCCATCATAAATGTTTCCACATCCCCATTCGAAGCTTTCCCCATGGATGTACACCATTACTGCATATGGAGCTTCCAAGCCTCGTGACCCTGAAAAAGAATATCCTTTTAAGAATCACCTTAAGGGGATGTCAAAGTGGGGTCATGCCATATCGAGTCGCAGATCGAACCCTAAAGGAAACAATTGAGTATACGACAAGCGAGACTATTACCACTTCCTGGAATGTACAGATTCAAATACAAGCAATCCTCGCTCTGATTGCGCAGGTGGGTCAGCAGACGGAGGAGCTGGAGATATCGGCCACGCGGCATTTGTCCCATTGCTGACGAAGCATTGCTGATATCTGGATACTTTTGGGGACAAACGGCACCGAAAGTGTCCGCAAGCTTTACACCTGACCAGGATTTAGGAGCTGCCGGAGGTTTAAGCCGTAAATTTTGTGTGGGTGGTGCAGCATAGGGTATACCTCGAAACACTTCCACCGGATCTAGGTGATGGCTGTTCAGATCCTGTCGAACAAAGGAAAATACGCTGTATCATTTATTCATATTGAAATCGCATTTATTTTCGTTAAGGTGATGTCAAAGTGCTGTTAAAGTGGCCTCGTTTATGAAATTTATCTCCCAATCGGGTGTACCGAATCGTGTTAGACCTTACAATCTGAATATACAGGCTACAAGGAAAGTCCTGAAATGTCCCTCCTAGTGAGATTTCAATTTAAAGACAATTTATTTATAGCTGTTTTGAATTTTTTTAATAAAAAATGGAATTTTATGGGTGTCGGGACCTTCTTATAGCCTCCATGTTTACGTTGTCAAATTTCAAACGATTCGATACACCCAGCTAGGAGGAAAGTTTCATGAACTAGAAGAGAACGCTTTTACGCCACTTTCACGCCACCTTAATGACCTAGTACCTGAAGTATTCCTCGGATCTGTCCACTTTTCGTCTCGACGATCCGTGAGGCGTACCGAGTGGCACATGGAGAATTAGTCATGACAATTGCCAAAAGGATTGGAACGATGATCCGCTTTGCAGGAATTACGAGGAACTTAGAGACCACCATTCTCGAGGCCAGCGGCCACATCCAGACCGCCAGCTGCCGAGATGAGGACATGACGGCATTTGTTAGCGCTTAATGGATCTCTCCCGTACAGTGCAAATGTGACGGTATACCAGTCTTCCAATTACATCGTTGCAAATACTGGACGACATTGATTTCCCATCTTCCGATCCTCAGAGTCATCGTCTCCTTGTACTCTCCGTTGATAGCCATTCGCTCCTTCCCTTGAGATCTTTTAATCACACGCCGATCTGTCAAGTAACGATACAGCACTCTTAGAATTTCATCAAGATACCATGAAGCAACAATTCATTTGGTAATTCATATTATAACTCAAAAATAAGTCTTTAGAAACGTGCCAGCTGATATACATAATTCTTTGACTATACGGGGTGCTTCTGACTTCTTATCTACACACATTAAGGTGATATGAAGGCGGAGAAAAAATGTATAAAAGACTAACCTTCATTTTAATATAAGTGTCTTGATTCAAACAGCCGTCGAAAGTTCGTCCTTAGTCCGGGCTTCGGCCAGGAGGGGGCGCTGCGTTCGAAGGTTAACTGCAGCTCGATAGATGGGGGCGTATCTTCTAAATTCTACGTCTATGGAACAGATCGATGAACAGGTGTCACTCGGTATGTGTTATGACTGATAATGACCTGATTTGTCGTCGTGTAAGCTCCTCGGTATGGCTTGATTTAAGGTTAGGAAAGTTTGTCCCGATCTGTCGAGCAAGTAAAAGTAAACTGTACAGTATTACACGTTGTAATTAAATATTTCTGGAGGATCTCGAGAACGTACGTAATGTCCCGCATGTACGCGGAATTTCTGACGTACAACCTACTATTAAATTGACACAAAGTTGCGGTTTGTAGTAATGATTGCGATTACTCTTTTCAGTTCCACTTTGGAAGCAAGATGTCAATCTCAGCAATTTACATCTTGGACGTGAAGGGGAAGGTTTTAATTTCTCGAAATTACAGAGGGGATGTCGAGACGAGTGTGATAGAAAGATTCATGCCAGTCGTGATGGAACGAGAGGAAGAAGGTAATCTGACACCGTTGATTCAGACGTCCGAGTGCACGTTTGCGTACATAAAGTACAACAACTTGTACATTGTGTCCACCACGAAGAAGAATGCAAATATCTCCCTGGTGTTTGTATTCCTTCACAAAGTCGTGCAGGTTATGCAGGAATATTTTAAGGAGCTGGAAGAAGAAAGCATCCGAGATAACTTTGTAGTAATATACGAACTACTCGACGAGCTCTTGGATTTTGGATATCCACAAACCACGGACAGTAAGATCTTGCAGGAATACATTACACAGGAGGGTCACAAGCTTGAAATCCAACCAAGGATCCCTCTGGCAGTGACGAATGCCGTTTCATGGCGATCGGAAGGAATCAAGTACAGAAAGAACGAAGTATTTCTCGATGTCATCGAATCGGTTAATCTGTTAGCCAATGCCAATGGAAACGTGCTGAGTTCCGAGATCGTTGGTGCAATAAAAATGAGAGTGTACTTGTCTGGAATGCCCGAGCTACGATTAGGACTCAACGACAAAGTGCTGTTCGAATCTACCGGCCGAGGCAAGTCCAAGTCCGTTGAACTGGAAGATGTCAAATTTCACCAGTGCGTACGGTTGTCTCGATTCGAGAACGACAGAACCATATCTTTCATTCCTCCTGACGGTGAATTCGAACTCATGTCATACCGGCTGAATACTCATGTGAAACCTCTCATATGGATAGAGTCTGTAATCGAACGCCACATCCATAGCCGAGTAGAGTACATGATAAAAGCAAGGTCGCAATTTAAACGTCGCTCGACTGCAAATAATGTGGAAATTGTAATACCCGTACCTAACGATGCGGATTCCCCCAAATTTAAGACCACCATCGGCAATGTCAAGTATTCTCCCGAACAAAGTGCCATCACCTGGTCAATTAAATCCTTCCCGGGAGGTAAAGAATATCTAATGCGAGCTCACTTTGGTCTTCCGTCAGTTGTAGGAGAGGATATTGAAGGCAAGCCACCTATTCAAGTCAAGTTTGAAATTCCATATTTTACCACATCCGGTATTCAGGTACGATATTTGAAGATTATTGAAAAAAGTGGTTATCAAGCTTTGCCTTGGGTGAGGTACATCACACAGAACGGAGACTATCAGTTAAGGACAAATTAGTACCACGCCCTTCTAACAAACCATTAGTGACCGTAAGAACCAACGAATTTCTGTTTATATACCTACAAGGTTATTGGCTGTTGTTGCAATATGTGACGGTATGTAAATAGCATTTTTCGTGCAAACATTATGCATTCGTTAACATTATTCCAATGGAAACTTTCCATAAAGAATTCCAATCGCATAGACGCTTTCTTGAATTACTTATCGTCGAAGGATCACAGCAACAACCTACTACGTAGTACATGTTGTCTATAAATATACTCTGCAATTGAAATTATGCTGGAAAATAAATAGAAGAAATCAGACAATCCTCTTCGATTGTTGATCCCTTTCCCATTCTGATTTCTACTGAACAATACAAAATTTAAATATTTTAGATGTTCTGAAATAAGTTCTGAGTCATTTAATCCTGTATAATGCTACGTGACTACCATCCGATATTCAACTTATTTGATTTTTCTGACAAAATTGAACATAGCATCTGATTACTTACACGGTAACATAAGCTGGCACGTCACGTTATCCACATTTATATTTATATTGAATTATTTTACAGTCTACGTCGAGAATTATATGAAACGAATCGTTCGAAATGTCATTTCGGTAAAGTAACAATAAAGAGATCGACGTAGAACTGTCAAAATCCCGCGAATTCATGACTTTTTAATTCAAACAGGCCAGCGGCGCCATCTGTGGCATTTAGCTGCAACTAAATTTTTGCTCCAAAAACATATCCACGGAACAAGCCAGCCTCTTTCAATCGTTGAAAGTATTTCCCGCATTTTCCCATCTGCCTCGGTAATATTCCATTTCTACGGTATTCTAAATTGTTCGAGCTAACTCCTGAAACTCTTAATTTTAAATTCCAAGCCTCCAAGAAGCGTAAAACATCGAAAACGTTCAGGAATACTTTCTCCACAGATTTGACCCCTCAGATACACATATATATATATATAAAGGCTGACTCTTTCATATCACCTTAACGGACGATAACGAAAAGGGTGTCCTACCTTATCGCGTCGACGCGACCCCTATATCACTCTAGAAGCACAGAGGATATTTTCGGCATCCTGGGTTCGTCGTTTCCCCGCAGCCTTAACCTCGGGACGTCGAAACGCAACCTGGTTAAATCCTGCCGACCCTCGTCTCCAGGCATAACTTGGCGCGCAGCATACAAAGCCACATGACAGAGTCCTCGCGCTCTAGAAACAAGAAGTCCCACCAGGCGTTATTTCAATTAACGGGGTAAATGTGCACGGCAAGGGTACAGCACTTGTTTGAGAGATCAGGGCATTCGTGGGAACGCGACCTCCCGGCCGTGGGACCAGGAAGGGGGTCGGTTATTCCGGGACGGTTAGCTCGGAGCATCAGGCACGAGGATACTGAAGGATACTGGGCCACGGGAGCTGACTCTTGCAGCGGCGTCTCGACGTCGACGCCGGCGCCGGCGCAGCCCGATCCGCCCTTCGAAACGCGCGCCCGCACTCCACTCACACAAATGCTCGTCCTTGCCTCCTATCCGCGGATCGATTCCCCGCGTACGTTCTTAAGGTGAAGTGAAACACGCAGGGGAACTTGATCGACGTCGGTAAAGAAGTTCCTTATAAATACCTACGCTGCCGACGTTCGTTTATACATTTACAGCTGCGTAGAATTGTATTCAGTATTGTACATACTAAATGGCATGCTCCGTATGGCGTTTTCGTGTAATAATTGTTAAGAAATCGAGATAAAACTCAAGAAATCCCCTGGATTCGTGGTTTCTGAGGCCCTAATTCACTGTAGAGGGACCCCCTGTGCCATCTGTGATTTCCGTAGCAACTAAATTTTCACTCCGAGACCTCGGATTACCGTCCTTTTAGCGGAACGGCGCGTAAGACACTTTTTTGTCTTTATTCCGGTCGAATGCGAGTTTCTTGATTACTATAGTGTTTTGGATTCTTATGCCTAGGTTCTGAGTCTTCGTTTAAATAAGAAAAAATGGATTTTCATGATTGTTAGGACTTGAGTAAGGGTTTTTACATTCACTTGGCAATGTTTCAAACGATTCGGTGCACTCAGTTCAGCGATACATTTTGTACATAATTTGACGCCCCGGAGGACATGTTCGTAGTACCTTAAAAATGTGGTATACTTTGCATTAGATCTACATAATCCTTTCTAAGCCCTTCGTCGGTGTCCTGTCATATGCAACGAATAACAAGTAGTCAGCTGTTGGTGAAGACAATGATGGCTTTTCTCTAAAGTAGATGCAAATCGACAGTTAGTCTGTTACAATTACGCTGAGAGACATGGAGTCCGAGATTCTAGCATCTTTGTCGTATGGTAGCATTCCTTCTACGTATCGCTATGTCGAAAGGTTTGACAATAATAGCGAAGTGTACCGGGATAAAACAAATTGGTTTGGTATATTCTTAGCATTTCTCTCGGGCACATTTTTTACACTAAGCTCAGCACTAGTGAAGGCAATCAAAAATGTGGATCCGATGATATTGCTGGCAATTAGAGCGTTACTTCAAATGGTAGTAATGCTCATTGTAGTTTGTAAACGGTCTGAACATGTATTTGGGTTAAAGGAGCATAGAATGTTAATTCACTTTCAAGTAAGTTAATGTACTATAATTACCGATTTTTTAAGGTACGCAAAAAATGGATCAACTGCCTTCTTGCGGGGGATTTTGCTTCTTTTAGGGTCTAGTCGGTGGTATGACGTTAGCGTTGCTTTACTATAGCTTTAGAAAATTACCCTTAGGAGATGCCACCGCCATAATATTCAGCTCTCCTGTTGTCGTCATCATTCTTTCTTTTTTATTCCTGCGAGAACCGTGTGGCATATTGCGTGTCCTCGTAATCTGCACTCTCCTTGCAGGAGTCATATTTGTATCGGAGCCACCATTTCTACTGCAGGTGAGATTGTTTACAGTTGGTATTGCTTACGATATTTAAAACCATCATTACCTCTTTTTCAGATACATAAAGCAGAATCTTACGATGTTATGGGCTATGTGTGCGCAATCTTGGCAACGTTGTTTACAGCTGTAAATATTGTTGCAATGAGAAGGTGCCTACATGTGGACTATGCAGTGATCGTATTGAATTTATCAATGTGGACATTTGTCACAGCAGTGTTGTTCTATTTCACTGTATCGGAGAAGCATAGATTCAACATTCAATTGTTAGCAGACTACTATACTTGGATCAAAGTTGTACTTGTAGCGATAACTGGACTTACAGGGCAAGTACTAGTTGCAAAGTCGCTGAAGATTGAAAGTGCAGGAAAGGTTGCCGTTACGAGGTCTCTCGATATAGTGCTAGCATATATAGTTCAGATATGTCTATTCCATGAATTTCCTAGTTATAGTAATACGTTAGGGGCTATGCTTATTTTATTCTCTGTTTTATGCATGGGATTCGAACGACAAATTTATAGATGTTGTGATTTTATTCCTTAAATTAGATTTAAAATCATAGTACACTTTGTATAATGCTATTGCGATAGGATGCAAATTTATATCGATGTAATTTAATGCATATGGTCAATTAAATTGCATGAGTTCTGTATAAGAATTATTTCAAATTCTCTACTCGGGAGATCGGAAATAACTAATCCAGTTAGTAAACCAAGAGACCACTTTCTACTAACCTATAAAAGTACATAGGCTTTTCCTCGATGCTGAACGACGCCACACCAAATGACATTGTGGACGAAGATGATTCTTGGTTTGGAGTTAAAACCGATAACATTTCGTACATCTCCCTTCGTTGATGAAAATTTGCCGTTTAGACATCTTATTTCAAACAGGCGCTCTTTGTAGCCATTTGCATCTTTTTCAATCTACTTCGATCATCTTGACGTCTCTATCGTACTCGAAATCCGGGATTTATCAGGTCCTAACCCAGTAAATCCGAATTTAAGTGTCGATTGAGACGCTCAGGATCGAATCTGCATAATTATTAAAGCGATTTACTGAATCCGAACCCGATAAATCCCGGATTTCGAGTATGACGAAGACGTAGTCTTCTTCTTTGTATTTTCAAACTGGCGCGCGCAACGATGCTGGCTTCTCATTGGTTGATTACTGCGGCTCAGTTACTTTCCGTTAGAGCCAATGATCGTACTCTAGCGGAAGGATAACATACTGCATCTCTGATGTATAAAGAGCGTGAGTAATCTTTTAATTTATTCCTGTTTTAACTCTAATATTGTCGTAGTCTATGGTAGAACTGGATAGAACTGACAACGCGTATCTTGGTTGTCGTGAATGGCTGTAAAAATAATAATTCGGCGAATGTAGTAGCATTAGTTGACTACCTGTAGGCAGTTTTAAGAACAGGGTTTAGAAGGTGCGATTTGACGGTTTTGTGGGTTAGGAATTTCATGCGGCTCAAAGTGGCGAGCACTAGTCGGACATGAGTAACTTGTTGCTCTTATCACTCAGCCTGTTTACTTTTGGAGCAAATGGCTTTAATTTGGAAACACGTGTACCTCTCGTTAAACGGGGACGGGAAGGCTCTTATTTTGGATATTCGGTAGCGGAACATCAGGAGGTCATTGAGGCTGGAACAGTGAAATCGCAGAGTTGGTGAGCGAACGATCGAGACACAGACCGATATGGGTCTAAACCACTTGAAAATTGCTAGTCGGGGTGTGTCCCTTGTCTACAAATATGCACTTGATTTGCAGGATGCTGGTCGGTGCACCGCTAGATCAAAACCGACAACCGGAGACAAATAGATCGGGTGCTTTGTGGCAATGCCCTCTTACGACACTATCCATGGACTGTGATCAAGTCATTACCGATGGACGCTTAAGTAAGTTTCCTGTTTCAGTCAATTTTTTTTTTTTCTATGACTCCTAACTTCTTACATGGTTCTTTCGGGTGCAAGCAATAATAAAAGTGTGCATTGGACAGAGGAGCGAATTGTGAAAGGGACGTGCAATTTGGAGATGGGGTTGGTGCAAACATTTTAGATTGGATTCAAGACGCGAAGAATGGCTGCAAACTATTCTCTTATAGTAATTGATTCTCTTCTCTTTAGGTTTTGAGTCCGATGAATTAGTGCCGCCGGGAAATGATGAAATTAAAGAGAATCAATGGCTGGGAGTTACTGTTCGCAGTCAAGGTATTGGCGGAAAAGTTATGGTGAGATGTTGTACAATAAGATATGAATTTTTGGATTTTGCCAGAAACTTTATCAGAGTCTAGCATGGTCTTTATGCACGTATATTGCTGTAGGTTTGTGCTCATCGTCACATCGTCAAAACGGCAGATTCTCAATGGGGCCAAGGGCAATGTTATATATTAACGCAGGACTTAAAGTTTCAAGATATTAAGAAACCCTGTTCCGGGAAACCAACTAACAAGTATGTAAATATTTTCAAGTATTTCAAGAGTTTAACTGTTTTATGGATATAAAATATTTTAATGAAAACATCTCTTTTCTGTAAAGAGCTCACGAGCAATTTGGATACTGTCAAGCTGGTACGAGTGGTATATTAACATCGGAAGATCGAGTTGTAATTGGTACTCCAGGTCCTCATACATGGAGAGGAACATTGTATCTCTTCACTGTATCCGACGAGTTCTTATCAAGGGATAACACGGTATACAATGCTCCCATGCAGGATTCTTCACCTGTCAGCAAATATAGCTATTTAGGTAAACATACTTTCAGCATATGTAGACAATTTTTCAAATGTGGTCTGGTCTTCCTTGGAGCTTACATATACGATATTCTCCATTAACCTGTTAACACCTACTTCCGGTCACAATCAAGAGTACTCTATATTTATTGTTAGATATACTAATAATTCTGCTTCCTACTTGACTTGTCAACAGGCATGTCCGTGACAGTCGGAAACTTTTTTGACAGTCGTTTGGCCTATGCAGCTGGAGCTCCTCGCTCCAATGGCACCGGACAAGTTATACTTCTTACCCGACAGGATTATAAACCTGACATGGATGTCTCTTTGATTCTGGACGGCGAACAGTTTGCTTCCAATTTTGGTTATGAAATTACGTCAGCAGACGTCAACGGAGACAAGTAATTTAATAAATAATAATTAACTCTTGTGTTAATAAGTCGTAAATAGATAACGATGATGTAATAGCAACTCGATATATATTAGTCGTTTGTTTTCAGAATTACAGATCTGATAGTAGCAGCGCCATTTTATTTTGGCAAGGGAGAAGGAGGGGCTGTGTACATATATACAACTCTGTGTAAAACTATTAGAGAAAATGAGAAGTGCAAACCAGTTAAACTTGTTGGTCGAGAAGAGTCAAGGTTTGTGAGACTAATAAAAATCATAGGTAAAAGTCCGGCAATGTTCTTAAAATTTCTCCTTTTGTTTTAACGTAGATTCGGATTTGCGTTAGCAAATATAGGTGACATTAATAAGGATGGCTACGAAGACATTGCCATCGGTGCTCCCTATGAAGGTGATGGGGCAGTCTATATATACCTTGGGTCAAGAAATGGTATAATTACCCTGCCGTCACAAGTAAGTGTTCGATTCAATATAATTATCTGACAGTCAACAGCTTCGATCTTGTTTTCACCTGATTTTTGTTTGGCTTGATAAAATACAATTGGGATTTATTATCATCGTTTACATGTTTCGTTTGCAGGTAATTCATGCTGCTGAATTGCCTGCGACTTCTCTTCAAACATTTGGGTATTCGTTGAGTGGTGGTATTGATATGGATCACAATGGATACCCAGATGTATTGGTTGGAGCATATGACAGCGATGCTGTTGTTTTGCTTCGTTCAAGGAAAATAATTGACATCACTACGTACATACGTTATGCTAAACCGAACGAGACCTATCAAGACAAAATCGAACCTATCGATCCGAATAAAGTTGGATGTGCGGAGGATCCCACGTCTAATCATACATGGTTTGCATGTTGTTATTAATCATTTCTGAGTAAGTACGAGTTTGTGAAGTTTTACCCTCTTTTTCAGCTTCTCATTCGAAGCCTGCTGCAAAACTGAGTCTTTAATGAAGGCAGAAGACATGCAAAACTTAAGACTGAATTATTATATCGAGGCCGAGACGTACTCGGGAATGAAGAAATTCTCCCGTGTCTGGTTTGGCACTGGAAATTCACGACCTCATTACGTTAACCGCACGATAACCTTGAGTCCCGTGAAACTCGTATATTGTCAACGTGAGATAGTTTACTTAAAGGTAATGCCATTAATTATTAATGAACGAATGTAAGGGAGTACGCGAAAAATGTGTAATTGTATCCTGTGAATTCTAGGAGAGTACTCGAGACATTCAATCGCCTATCAAGTTTCGCTTGAATTACACCTTAATACAAGATGAACCCGTAATGCCAGCCGAAGGTGATCCACTTCCTGACATAAAGAAGTTCCCGATACTGAATCAACAAGAAGCTGCTCGGGTTTTCGAGGCGACATTCCAGAAAGACTGTGGAAACAACGATATATGCGAAAGTGACTTACGAATAAATGCCAAACTAGATTTATCAGGTACGATAAAAACTGTCTCGAAACATATCTCACCCAGTTCGGAGAGAAGTTTCACGAACGATTATTCAGATGCCACTTTAACATCCCCTTAATTATCACGGCACGTCATGACAATGGCATTGAATGTCCCGTTTTTCCACTACTTGCCGTTACGTGACAGCACAATCAACTCGAAGTTTGCTGCATGGCACCATAACCCTTTAACATGACACTCGTTGTTTCAGCGTCTTCCGTCAAACCTAATTTCTACGAGCTTCTTTTGGGCGAGAGGGAAGAGATAGTGGTCGATGTGAGTGCTGTGAACGTCGGAGAATCCGCCTACGAAGCCCAGCTGTTCATAACTCACTCGGCGAACTTGAACTATATAGCGAGTAAGAGTAATGATTCGGTGATTTGCAACCTACATAACACGACATTAGCGGTGTGTTCCATCGGCAACCCGTTCAAAAAGGACAAGACCGTTAATATCCAAGTGAGGTTCGATCCGAAAGGTCTGGAAGACAATGAATCCCAACTGGAGTTCGTTGTCTTTGCTAATTCTACGTCTACAGAGGTGGCCGAGAAGAAACCAGTTCGTCTAGAAGCAACCGTCTTGAAACGAGCGGAATTATCCATCAAAGGGTTAGCAAGAGCACGAGATCTTAATTTGCATTTTTAATGTTGATCTATTGTTAATGTATTATTTAATACTGCAGGAGCGCAAAAACCCAGTGGGCATTCTACGGTGGCCCTGTCATCGGCGAGTCTGGAATTAAACATCTTAATGACATCGGACCGAGAGTCTCTCACATTTATGAGATTTTCAACGAAGGCCCGTGGAAAGTCAGCAATCTGAAAGTTCGCATCTCATGGCCCTACGAGGTTGCCAACGATAAGCCTCATGGCAAGTGGTTGCTGTATCTAGAAGAACTTCCTACGATACAAGGTATCGATTGACTGTTTAAGTTTTTGAACTGGGTGTATCGAATCGTTTCAAACTTGACCACGTGAATATGGAGACTCTTAGGAAGGTCCTTGCATTCGTGAAATTTAATTTTGTATAAAGATTTGTTACACCTTTTGTCGATACTCTGTCATAGGTCATGGCGAGTGTTCCCTTCCTCCAGGCCACGTGGCCAACCCATTGAAGTTGCAAGGCAGCTTGAGTTACGATGATCTGGACCCTCTGGCTTCTCTTTCGACGTCCACCTCTTCCAATTTCTACAATCACACCGACTTCACCAGAAGAAGACGCGATACGGAGAAGGTCGTCAACACGCGGACGATCATCGACAAGAAGGGTCGCAGACATCAAGTTGTGTCTATGGTCGGTGATTGGAAATTAGATCCTAAAACAGCTTCTTTTTCTGTAGCTTGATCGAGACTGAACCATTTTACAACTCTTCGATAACCGTTTACAGAATTGCAAAGCTGGGACTGCCAAGTGCTTCGATATCACCTGTGTCATTTACAATCTCCAGAGGAAGCAGGAGGCTGTTATCGTAGTGAAGGCAAGGTAAAGTGAGAAAGGAACACTTCGTTTATTAATTATTTATTATTATACAATCGATGGGAATCGTGTTAGGGAATTTTTACTTGAATTAAACGTTACGTTACAATTTCCCTTAATACATTATTACATTACAATTTTATTGTAATATAATGTACTACGTAACAATAATGTTACATTATGTTTCTTTAACTTAACTTAGATGCCAAATGTGATATCACAGAGAGAATGTATTTTGTCCTGCAATTTATTTTGACATTGAAATAGCCAATGTTTGAGTATGTTAATTTACATGGGCATTTCTGTCAGTGTACTCATCTCGCGTCGTATGAAACAATGCGATGATAATTATTCTCCTTTTTCAGACTCTGGAATTCAACGTTAGTAGAAGATTATCCCAAAGTGGACATGGTTAAGGTCGGGTCGAACGCAAGAATTGTTATCCCGCCGAACGTGGTGATCCAGCAGGAGAATCTGAAAGATGATTTCGCAATAGTCAGTATTTCTCTCTAGAACGTAAAATTAATTGCTATTTCATAGCTACGTAGGTCAATTATATTTCCACCCTCCGACTACGTCACGCTTTACCTCCCTCGTTACGTAATATGTTATAATAATTTCCTTTTTTTTTCTTCACGACAGGCCGAAACAATCGCATACCCTGACCTGTTGGATCAGCAGGAAGCAGAGCCCGTGCCAATCTGGATAATTATAGTTGCGATAGTGGCCGGTTTGCTGTTGCTGATACTACTTACCCTGGTGCTATGGAAGTTGGGCTTCTTCAAGAGACGAAGACCAGATCCAACCCTTTCTGGGAACCTTGAGAAGCATAGGGACGATATCCCAGAAAATGAGGCTTTGTTTAAGCACTGAATGCATATATATAAGAGCCTTACGAAAGCGCAAAGTTAATCTTAAGCTCTAATATCTCGGTTAAGTACTTATATACGAAGGTGGATCACTTTCGCAAGGAATTCGCAATGCGCGTACGTTCCTCAAGGCTTCTCTACTTTGGCCGTACGAGATCTGATTCGACGCAGATCTTTCTCTGCCTTCCAAGTCAGCCGATTGACTTTGGAAAATAATCTCAATCGGTTGCATATCGATGTACTTATTGGTCACTGATTTTACCGTTTGCCGTTACCTCGCTCTTCATTGGTAGCTTCACTTATTTTCTTCTTTTCGTTTTTTTAATAGAAAATAGTATTTATTTTTGGCAGTCCCGTCCATTAGAGAGCCGAAGCTATAAGGTGTATGAAAGGGTCATTATATGTATATGGCTTTTATATATATATAGAAGCCCAAACTGCTGGGCATAGAAACATGAAATTTAGGGGGTACATTCCTGTTGTAACACAGATGCTCCTTAAGAAGGAGTTTTCCCAAATTCAACCCCTAAGAGGGTGGAAAAGGGACAAAATGTGTTTTTACAAATTCCTACTTGCACATATCGCGAGGGAAGTCGCGGTGCTAGTATATGTATGTATATGGAAACGTCAAAATATTTATAAAACTTTTTTCCAGACGGCCCATACCGAATCATTTGACATTTCAACACGTGATTATGGAGGCCCTATGAAAGAACGCGGTGCTCATGAGATTTCATTAAAAAAAAATAAATAAATAAAATGCGTCCTTGATTCTAGTCTGGGATAAATGAAAAAATGTTTATTAAAAAATTATATTTCATGAGCGTCACGATTTTCCTTGGGGTGTTCATAATCACGTGCTGAAGTTTCAATTGATTTGGGTGACTGTTTGGAGAAAAGATTTGTAAACGTTTTGACGTTTTATACACCAACAGACATATTATGACACTTTCGTGACACCTTAATCCACCAAGTACTATGTCTTCAGACAGTATAAAAGTACGTAACACTGCCTACTGCAATCGTCTTTTGCTCTGCCTATCGATTTGTACCTTTTTTATAATGCATTTCTAATTATACGCAGCTCACTCCGATCCGTGTTATTTTAAGTAACTAATAGTTCGCAAACGAGCGCGAAAGACGTTTGCCAAGACTGTAAAATTGAAGAACGGTATTGCTAAAAGTAGCTTAAACATAGTTGTTACGTGAAAACTGTCCCAGCTCGCATCGGAGGTATGTGCTCATAATTATGAAAGTGGCCTGTCATATATTTTTTGTTTCGAAATTACATTGAATTAATTTCGTTTCAAATAATATGGCGTGAAATAACTGATAAACTCATTTTTTTTTTTAATTTTGACTTAGACCTCTTTCATAATTATGGGCACATATGTACAATGGTGGACATGAATGCCTCCCCTGCAGATACGGCATCGCCTGTGCAGGATAGGAGGGCATTGATGTCTTCCACTGTACCATTTAACTAGGTACGAGAGATTATTAACCATCCTGTGCGGAGTGGAAGGGAAAAAGAAATTCTGGGAATTTTATATTAATAATCCTTAGACTGAGGAAACTTTATACGTATGTATTAATAGAATTGGCAGCTGTGTACAATTTAATCGCAATTTCGCGCGGATTTAGGGATCAGCTGACCCGAAGCGGTCGAATGGAATCGTCTACCTAGTTTCGATCGCCTTTACAAAATGTGTTTTCCATTTGAACTTTACATTACAGACAGAGCGGTAGCTCGGGATAAAATACCGCATTGGATGCAACATTTTTTTACAATGTTCATTGCAATGCAACCCTAACGGTTACCGGAGATATCTGGATGTGCTTATTCGAGGTCGCGCTGATGTACATACCGGTGTCTGTAAACTTATAAACGTGTAAAACACGAAAGATCTTCCACTTTCGTTCTTTCCCTCCCCCTACCGTGTGGAGCCGATAAAACTGACGGAATGTCACCGTCAATCGAATATTAAAGTTAGTACGAGTCCCGAAATTTGTACAGATTTTAAGGTGATGTGAAAGCGACGCCTTAGGAGTCTCATAACTATCCTCCGTACCGGGTGTACCGAATAGTTATAAATTTTACCACGTGAATGTGTGCAGAAAAGTCTCGTTAACAATTGACCCCTTGGGTCTCTCTTTCACGCCACCTCGATCTAAACGACCGCCGATCGCCAAGAATTTCCGCAATTATCGGAGAACCTCCACTGGGCACTCTTATCAATTCCATTTATTCTTCTTCTCTACAGAAAGATCCTTATTTAAAACAGATAAAAACAACGTGTTTTATTCCCACCCCGAATCCAAGGTTCGTGGCATGTTATCGACGATTACGCTTGACGTCGGTATATCATTTAGCTTGCCTGCCTTACTTCTAATAAAATCCTAATAAAGTTCTTCGCTTATTTGTCACGTTTCTTTTGGGCCCGTTTGTTGCCGCACCGCTGTAGGATTTCGGTAACGTGTCCTTTATGCTGGAAAATGGCGACGAGCTGTGCTCGCGCCTCGTTCATGCCCTCGCATATCAAACTGCTACGCTGCATGTTTCCCTTAATCAGCTCGTTCGCCTGTTCCAAGCCATCGTCTATCCGGCCTTTCGCAGTTTGTTGGGACTCCAGCATCGACAGCGTGGCCTTCAGCTTTTCGTGTACCTGGAATGAGGATTAATTCGTGTATCAGAAATCAAGATTAGACAATGGCTAAACGAGAATCGTTATGCAAGTTCTCTACGCCTTGTCTTGTCAAAGAATTAAGGCTGAGTACGTATAACGTACACGTCATGTAATATACATGGTTTTCTACGCGTACATTACGGCGTATAATACGTCCCTAGTTATCTACGCGAGCGCAAAGTACATTATGCCTTTCCGTTTCTAAATAGGAAATGATAAGTAAGGTCCTAAGTTGTCAATAAGTCGTGTAGCGTCTATTTTTTCCAGTTTTAGTTGGGAGTTTCGGTGCATTACAGCTGGAAGCTTCAATCGAAGCCCGCAAGCGGCGCTGCCATCGACGTCCACCATGGAGAGGCGATAACGGTGACAATTCAAGTCGTCCATTCATCAAAAGGTTTTAGTGACTCTGGTAGATTTCTTTTCCCTCCGTAAATTACTTTATTAGAGTTATTATCTCATCGCACCTGTTTCTCCAGCTCGGCGAGGTCTTCCATCTGCGTCGTCAGATGGTAAACCTTCCAGCCATTGAGTTTCTGTAGTACGTGTTTCTGCTGAGCCAACTCGGCTACCGTTGGCCTCCTCTCCTCTCGAGGTCTGACGTCACTTGGTCGTCGATAATGGTGGAGACGACCACCCCATTTATTCTTCCACGACGTACCTAATTGAAAGGAAAAGAACCGTGTTATACCCTTATAAAACATACCATTAAAATCACGTGATATTTCCATATTTACATATGCGCTAAAGTGCGTTTGTAACTTTACAGATACCGTATACCGCACATCCATATTCTGGTTTTGTACGATTTTACACGGTAAACCAGATGGTCCAGGTAATATACGTGAAATTACTCTATTCTGGCTACGCAGGGAACCGATTCTCTTACCCAGAAGACTCAACGCAGGTCTTGTTCTCACGGCTACGGAAGAGGGCCGTACGGACTGGACATTCGAATTCTGTTTCTTGTCGCTGGTCAACTTGTCCATTGGCTCTTCCTTGATCTCCAACTTGATCTTCTCTTCCGTTATGAATTGCATCTCCTCCTCGGTACACCTAGGTTCCATAAGTTCCACTCCTATCAGCTGTTGTTTGCGAGGTTTCTTCCGTGGCGACATTTCAACGATCGAGTTGCTACCGATCCTGGACTGATTAGGCTCATCGTCGAGTCCTGGAGAAGACGTAGCCGAGACAGTCGTCGATCCAGAACTATGACAGCCACCACCGTCTTGATCACCCCTCGGGGACAAGGGCGGAGTAGACGTCGGCGCTGCCGTTGATAAGGACGCGAGGACAGGGAACAAATTCTTGACAGCTCCTGGAAAGTCGTATGGACTGATAGAAATCGATATGAGAATTCACGTGGATTTTTTACGCACCTAGTACCTGAAGGTTCACGTTACCTTAATGTGATATGAAAGGATCATTCTTTTATATTCATTATATATATATATATAGAATGACCCCTTCCTAATACCTTAATTGCAATTACCTTTCGCCGGTGAACTGTCGTGATCCCTCTTCCTCAGAATGCTCGGCCTAGGGGACGCGTTTGGTTTATTATGGGCCTCCTCGTAGTTGGAGTCGACAAGAAGTCTGACGGGTTGTGACGAGCCTGGCCGATATTGAGCAAAGGAATCTTAATAGGAATCAAAGATTTATAATTACTCAAGTATCATTTATCCGTATCATTTAAGACATAGAGGCATAAGGACGAACGTCTTACTCGAAGTCTCGAACGAGTAGTAAGTCGTTGTCTGAGGCGGATGTAGACAAGGACCCTGGACCTGCTGAATGATATTGGAATTAGAAGTGATGGCGTTGCTGTTGCTGCTCGTCGTCACGCGGAAACTGGACTGTTGTATCGGCGTAGGAGACTTCAATTGAGCAGGCTGAGTCAAAGAACTCGCATGAGTTGTTTTAACAGGAGGTGCAGCAGTTCTTGTCGGGACAAGTGGCATAGGATGCAAGGACATTCCAGTTATCCTTGCAACCGACGAAGGAGTCGGTTGAGTTACTCTTGCAGCATGTGACACCGTGGCTGTTGTCGCGATTACACGAGATATCGTTCCCAGATTCGACAGAGTCGTGACAGCCTGAACAACGCGTGGTGTCGATTGTTGTTGTTGCTGTTGTCCTTGTGGTATCTGAAAAGAGCATACGGATAAGTCACTGTCGCATTCATTATATTCATTACATGATTCATATTTTGTAATTATTGGACCAATTAGAACTAAAGATTAACAGTTAATCTTATGAATAAAAACCTAGTCTTTTGAAACTTTTATCGTGTAACACCTTAAATGTACCTGTTGTGGTGGAATGACAATACGATTGACACTACCAGTAGCTGGAACATTCGTTGAATTCAATGTTAACTGCCTCCCTGTCGTTGGCTGTACAGAAACCGATGGTGCAGCTGCCATTCTATTAGTAGCCGCCATAACAGTAGGGACAGTCATACGACTCGCAGTACTTGTAGCATTCAAAGGCCTACTTGCTTGGTTAGACTGCAACGATATATTAATATATTAATCGTAACATCTAGAAACTCGATGGAGTATTATTACTGAATATAAATATACAGGGTGTAACCTGGTTGGTTATTTCTTTAATTAATTCAGGCAAACCGAGCACTGCAGAAAGAACTGTACTGGACCTTTTGACTCCATTTTCCATAAGGATAACGCTACGTAAGCAGTGTCCATCATTTTTGCAACACCTTGTATATAATCAGCACACTTAAAAGTACTTATCGAATACCTGTAAAGTTTGCACTGCTGGCCTTCCAGTTTGAGATATATTAGTTTGGGTAACGGTCATTGTTTGACAGGTGGGGATTTTACTTTGTACGACTGGAAGTCGCGTTGCACTAGTATTCGGTTGGAGAACTGGGGCGATCAACCTAGAAGGAGCACCTGAAATACCGGTAACCATGGTTCCTTGGATGGATCTTCCCTGAGTTGCATTTACTAATCGGGGTTGCTGGCCACTATACACTGTACTTGGAGTTTTCGTCGCTATTCGACTAACCGGTGAAACTAGGTGTCTTTGCGGTTGGGCATACACGACCGACGCTGTTTTAGATTGCTGCCATTGTGGATTAGAAACAGTGGTGTTCGGCCTGGAAAATAGATTACTACATTTTAGTAAATGAGAATAAAATATCATATTTCTGATGAAGTAACTGTATTCAAACCTTGAAGCGGATATAGATTGACCGCCACTGGCTTTAACGATTGGAGTGGCAACTGTCGATCGCGGAGCAGAAATGTTAGCAACGGCTGCTGGCCCACGAGGTACGTGGTACGTAGAAGGAATACTGACTTGCTGGTTTTGTTGAGACTGTTGCGAAACTTGTACCTGGCCCTGTCGTTCCAGAGTATTTAATACCCCAGGGGATAAAATTTTAACTGCCGATCCCACCGAACAAAGCTGTAAAAAATTAAGAAATGTTAAACTCAACATTATTTAACACTAGGACAATCAAACCCGTCGAAATGATGGATTTGTTGACCCACCAAAGACAAAAAATCTGCCATTAGATATAGCGTTCACACTCTTAAGGATAATATGTTTATATAAACAGAAGTAAATTTCTGATTACCGTCGTGGTGATCTTGCTAGTTTCAACAGATGTTGTCATACCGGATGGGATTAATGGTTTCATCAGTGACAATTTTGGATTCAATTCCAACGAAACGGACTTTCCGACAAGTCCAGCAGGTGTTCCGATTTGACCGATGATAGTCTGGGCAGATTGGATAGTTTTGGTAACGGCTTGTGAGACATTGTGTACCGCAGGCATGCTCTGGATTCCTTGTATCGTCGTTGAGCTTTCCATTACAGATTGCACATTTATTTCGGGCACATACTTCTCGCCGGTGTTATCCATTATGTTTACATGAAAATACTTAACCGCCGTCTTTCAGGAAATATCAACTCACTGAAAAATGCTTGCAATAAACAAGTCGAAGCGAACAGCAGGTTTTCAGAAAAAAGGTGTAAACTGCCGTTGCTACATGTGTAGTACGGAATTAAACATTGCTGAGCATAAATATCGACAAATTACAGTAGCATAACACCAGGTGTAACTTTACAACCAGCACATCGACATTTTCGACGTTTTTAAGGTTATGAAGCCTTCAAAGCTATCGTAAACTGAATGCAAACCACTGAATAATGGGGACACACCGTACAATTACATTACGCACTTAAAGCCAGAAAAACACGCGTATAGTCAATTATCTCCATCTTTTAATAATAATTTGGATAACCACAACAATAAAATATATGCACCTACTGTTGTTCCAGGCACAACAGAGGTGCAATTCGGCTAAAAAAACTCAGGTAATGGAGTTAGGTTGGTGAAGAAACACAGTGACATCCTTTTATTATTATATACAAACCTCTATCACCAAAAAGCAGAATGGCCAACCCTTTCACCGAAGATATCACAACAAGACGCCAGAAAACACTAAAAATCACTAACGTCACTAGATTTCATATTTCAGAAGGCACGAAATTTGAATTTACTTTATAGAAATTATGAATGTGTAACAGCGAAACACAATATTAAAAGTGCGTATAATACAAATTTTCATTATTATCACTTGGAAGTGTTTTAAAATTAAGATTAATGTTTCCAGTTTGTCGTATCAGAGTACCTAACGGAATATACTCGGTTTAATTTTTCAAGTTAACGTTGTCAGCACGCCGCTTTTGATGTTTGAAAAAGCTCGATACACTTTCACAAGACTTTGGCCTTGCAATTTTTGTGGATCGTTTTGATGAAGCAAGTTTGGGAATTTTCGATGCAAGTGAATACTCCGTGTTTTCCGAGGATCCACCCTGTGTTTCTGAAGCTGGGTTTAGGTCCGTTTTGTTTGACAATAGAGGCTTTGACACTTCTTTAGACAAAAATTGTTGAAGGTATCGTTTTAAGTTACTGTTCGTTGGATATTTTGTCTCCACCGATGCTATCAAAGATTGTGATTGCATCGAAGAGCCTAGATCATGTATTTCCTCAATCTCTGATAAGCCATTGAAACTAGAAGTCGTAGCATCGTTATTCCCTTTGGCATAAAAATTCAAAAGTTTTGGGATGTTGGAGTCATTATGTTGGTGTTTCAGATATGTCTCTGAAAAGGTCAATTTGACATCTGGGATCGAACTAGTGTATGGTGTGAATGGAATTGCAGATTTTGTTGGTACTGATGCTTCTGGTTTATTCGAAAATTCAGGAGCAATCTAAAATAAGTAAACATAGCTTATGAAACTTGACGCACTTTGTCTGGAATTTCTTGAAAAATAAATATATATATCTTACTGTCGGTGCTTGTAATTGAGTATTAAGCTTTTCAAAATTACAGGACACTTTTATTTCATGGCCACACACCGTGGGCATTGAGTTTCTCAAGTCAGTTTGAAATTTCCTCATAACGTTTTCATTATTTGCCTTGCAGTAGAAATTCAAAGGCCTACTAGCTAGACAAATATGAGGATATGTAAAGTAACAGTGACTTCCCCAAGGAAAGTATACTTCGCAAAACATTATATTCTCTTCAGATTTTGGCAATCTGTAACCATACTGTAACAAAAAAAAAATAAGAATCATTATTTTCACGTGGTTGTTTAAAAGCGAACAATTTGAATAAAATAGAATTTTGCCTACCATATTCTTCCAATGCCGACGAATCTCATCGTAAGACTTGAATGAACACTTTGGAAATATTTTGGATACAGACATCAGTTTTCCTTTTTTCATACTGGTAATATCATGCAAATTAAAACGGTACGTACGATAAGTACTTATTTCTAAAAACTGAAAAGTAATACCTTGGTAACACATAAACCCAGTAACTTCCAAAATGCGATACGTTAATGACACTTTCTTTATCCACAAGGAATCCTTTCATGAGTATTTCTGGTAAGCACAAGTCGTCGAGCTTGAAAGTGGGTATTTTTACTATAACAGTTTCTAGTTTAATATTCATAGTGCTGTCTGAAAATTAATGACTGCTTTAAGACAGCTATTTAATGCATATATATCGTTGAAACAATTGACTTTGCTCTTCGCAATTACTTACCCGACAAGGAGACATTCATTTTTATTCCATTTAATCCCATCGGGGCTGAGAGAAAATGCCTCCCTTGAACGAGAACCGAACCAACTTTATTCCATTCTGGAGCTAATGAGAATAATGCCTTATATTGTAGACAATCACGATAAATATCTACCGTAACGGATCTATAATCTGAAATCTAAACATAGTATTGCTTGAATGACACTAACGATAACTGCTATATCGTTACACAATTGCGTTACCTGGCCTTACCTTTGCATGTAACTGCTGAAGATTGCTTTTCAATGTTCCACACTCGAACATTTCTTTCTTCGCTAAGACATTTATGAATCCTTTGGATCCGAAGATTGGCGATGCAATTACTTCCGGCAGGGCAGCAAGAATTAATCTAGAAATTTAATTAGTATTAATATATTGCAACTACTGTAGCAATTTATTTAGTCCAATAATTATTATTTTACTTTTCTATAATGTATTGTTATCGGTACAACAAATTGTGTTAAATTCAGAATATCAATGTCTGCAAACCTGCATTTAATAGTTTGCCAATGAAAATCCGACTTCGCTGAGGAATCCCGAACTTCTGGCCAATCCGATTCACAAATTGCACAGTACAATTCGTTTAAATTGGGTATTGAAATGGATATCATGTTTTAGGCTCAACGATATCTTCGTTGGGACAAAAAGACGTAAAGACAAAATACGATTCCTTTCGAATTTTACAGTTGCAGAATCAGATTCAAATTATGGGATTCACACTCTTTGAATCGTCTCACCATTGAATTAGTATTTCTATATGAAGGTAAATTACAACGTGAAAGATTATACTATAACCTCAAATGTGTTAACAGTTGCTCCTCCAATTAATGGATGGCGCCAGTATCGTTAGCTAAATTGTCTCGTTCATTGCAGTTAGGGTTTTTAATATGTACAATGTGGTACAATGTGTTTGAAAGATTTTCATTCCATGATTCGAGATTTCCTTAGCAGGATTTAAATTTCTGAAATACGTATAACAAGGGTTTGGAAAAGAAACATTCACTTAAATGAAATGTATGGAAAAATAATGTTTATTAAGAGGTATAGCTTAGAGATAGTACAGTATTCTTTATAAGAACCTTTTGTAGTTTACGTTAGGTAAACTTGTAAAAAAATAAATGAATAAAGCTCTCGATACAATGTATCACCAAATATCACGTACACCAGGCACTTTATGTTGAACCGTAATATATAAATCCGAGTACTCTCATGAGTACACGTATGTACACATAAAATAATTAATCTTTTCCAAATGTGTGTGATATTATAGGTTTATCTATTCGATACAGAGTATTGCCAGTATTGAAGTATCCTAAATATTCTACTGTTTCTGGAGTAGTATCGATATGATAATGCCCTCCTTCTCCATGATGAGAGAAGCTATGAAAATGTTGCACTCTTAAATCCAAATCCTGAAAATGATATTCAATATCCAACCGATTAATTAATTATATTAGAAGTTGTACACCTGAATGTGAAATGGGTATCTCATTGCTGTCACTTACCGTTTCAGCAGTTACTAAAGTTCCTACAGCGATTAAAGGTGCTGACATATTAAAAAACCGTAACCAATTATTTAACTCCTCTTCATTGTTCAAGGGGGTTTTAGAAAAATCTTGCATAACGTGCTGCTTTGCTTTCCCTTCTTTAATAATAAATGTTCCTCCCAAACCTATAAATAAAACTTGTTAATTTATTCTTGTTTAATTAGGTACCAATATCGTTGATATTAACTAACCGATGAGCTTATCCTTGTAGTGATCTGCCAAGGCTGTTCGGATACTTGCAACAAAATCTTTGTCACCGATACGTTTTTTTACATGTACTTTGAGTACTTTGCCTGGTATGCCCTCGCTAACAAAGAGATTTGCTAACAGAGCAAATCGAGTCTCCTTATTGTCTACAGTTTGTAGAATACAACAGTCATTGACTGTATTAACAGAGGCAAGGCGAGTTTGGTTCTTGACTATAGACGAGGATATCGACAAGTTCATCATGAGCTGAACAAAAAATTAGAAATGCTTAGTTGATTTTAATTTACGGTTTATGTCCTTTATATATATTTATATACCTCACAATTTTTGTTTAAATAAGGCCATGGTCCAGCACCAGCTCCGATAATGAGAGCATTCTCGCTCTTACTTATAGTCTTCAAAAGTGGCTGAATATCATAAACCTTCTCTCTTTGAACGTTTGGAAGTAAAAAAGCTGGTCCACCAATTTCCAATATCTTTGGATTCCCATTGAGACCTAAAAAACATTTATCCATATTAAATTTACATATGTTCACAGATTAAATAAATGAAACCTCTGAGATTATGCTTACAACTACAAATGTTACAACATACCTTTTCCTGCAAGGGTGAATGGTTCTTGTGTCAGATCAGGGCATTCGACGACACTAACATCGACCTCAGAAAAATTTGCACCCAAGGCTTGTCTCAGAACTGCGTTAAACAAGAAAGATAATAACAAACAATATTCAACAATATATAATATCATTGATTTCACGTAACAATTACCTTCTACTATTTCTTCTAGCCGTGGCGTGTAAAGTTGTCGCTCTACGATACTTAACTTCTTTACATCCAACGTAGCCATAATTCTGCTAATTACTTTAGCTAAACTTGTATAGATTTATATTCGCACAATTTTTAGAGCAATGTTAACTGATTGAAGCAAACTAATTGAGTAACGAAAAGCATAACAAATATGTCCACGGCATAATACAAGTTTAAAATGATATCTTATCTGGACAATTACCTCTTGACCTTTTAAAAGTTCCTTATCAGATATCTCGATACGCGTGCGCCTTTTACCCTGTTTTACTCGCGGAAAGTACCCAGTTCTCATATAGCAATCATATAGTATATTCATACTCGAAATTCGAGATATATCGAGTCCGGATCCAATAAATTCGATTTTGAGTGTCGATCGAGATGCTCAGAATCGATATGCGTATTTATTAATGCTATGGAAACATGCGATTTACTGGATCCGGACCCGATAAATCCCGGATTTAGGAGTGCGATGGAGACGTAGTCAATGCCATGCTTCAACGGTGGAAACGATTAAAGGATTTGTAAATGTAGTATATGTGATATGGAAACGGCACTAAATGCCAGATTTATTAATTCTTTACTTATGAATCCGATGTTTAAGATCCGGTGAAAATGTATGTAAGATTTCTAGACCAGCAAATGTTTGAACACAGTGGTATTCGCATCTACCCGCCTTTTTCGCCTTCGCGAGCGGCTTTGTGCGAGTTTATGCGAGTTTGGGCAAGTGCGTCGAAAGTTGCCGGTAGAGTTGTAATCATCGAGGTATACCTTCATTTACACTAGATTTACATTTAACTAGCGTGCCATAACTGAAGAAAAATGATGCAGTTGACAGAAGGAGCTTTAGACGTAAGTTGTCACGTTTTATTATTTGTCCTTCATATATAATTCTCCGCGCAATTATCCGTCACCGCTATTAAATGAACTTTTACGTTTCAGAGAATCATGAATGGTGAAGACGTTGAGAAGCCGATACTGCAACTACTGGTACATGGATTTTCACTTGGTTTTACATGAATCTTTATCGCTTTTAGATCTTGAATCTTTGCGTTAGACAGTTGAGTGGCGTTCTAAAATTAAGGTGTACGAGTTGAATCAAAATAAAATTGTTTTTATACAGGGTCATAAGGCGGTGAGCAGCTCGAATGCTGGCCCACGGTTTCGATTATTGATGTCTGACGGAGTTAGAGTAAACTCGTTTACCATGCTTGCTACGCAGTTGAACCCAATGATTTTAAACAATGAATTGAGCGAGTTTTCAATATGCAGAGTTGAGAGATACGCGATCAGCACAGTCAACAGTGAAAAACAGAAGTAAGTGATAATCTAATGTATTAGAATTGTCAAATATTTTTAAGTTTATACTTGAGAGTATATTATGGCGACATAATAGTATCTGTAAATTATTACAAATTATTTGTCGAGTGTTGTCTTCTGATTTGTTAATGGGTAGGACACAAATAATTTGAAACACACTTTGCTGATTTCAGGCGCATTATGGTTATACTTGCCATAGATGTGCTAAAACCGGGAAGTGAAGTTGGAGGTAAGATAGGAAATCCAAGTCAACATGAGAACCAGCAAGAACAAGAAGCGGATAAGGGTCCATCAGCCCGACCACCACAACCATCATCAAGTGAGTACACTACGATTCTTTAAACTTATGATGTACATAATACTTCCTGTCCTTGTAATTAAATGTCTTAGATCGATACGCTTCGTTTCGGTTATTATAAAAATGCCAGTTCATATTGTGTTCGATTTATTAGCAGTCAGTAATGCTCGGAAGAATCGAGTGGAGGAATCATCATCAAATGGTATCTCTACAACGCCAATAGCTGCCCTAAGCCCTTATCAAAACAGGTATGAATCAATTATTCACTAAGAAATTCATTTAACCACATTAAAGGTAATAAGTGAACAGCAGCGTGTGAATCTAATTCTTTTTAAAACATGAAGGCTTTGAACGTTAATTTTGTAGATGGGTCATTAAGGTTAGAGTGACCAGTAAATCGGACATTAGAGTGTGGAGTAATTCTCGTGGCGAAGGAAAATTATTCTCCATGGACCTTGTAGACGAAAGTGGAGAAATTAGATGTACAGCCTTCAGGGATCAGTGTGATAAATTTTTTGACATGATTGAGGTATGCTGTCCAAGTCTGATTTCCCGTATTATCATTTACACAATGATCCAGTTCCATCCGTAACATCTATCAAGCCATGTCTTTTATTTCAGATCGGTAAAATTTATTACGTTTCGCGATGTTCTCTGAAGCCAGCTAACAAACAATTTAATACTTTGAAGAATGATTACGAGATGACACTCACTGGTGAATCAGAAATTATTCCCTGTCAAGAAGACAACTCGGAGATTCCAACAATCCAGTTTGACTTTTGTCCTATTAGCAGTGTGGAACAGAAAGAGAAAAATGCTGTTATGGGTACCCTTTAATTTAATTAAATCCACGTTAAAACAGATGGAACGGCACATGTATCTAAATAATTTTTGTGTAATTATCGGCGTTTTGTATTACAGACGTGTTGGGAATTTGCACATCAACCAGTGACGTTCAAAACCTCACGGCAAGATCTACAGGTCGCGAACTGAAGAAACGGGATATTAATCTGATCGATCAAAGTAATACCATGGTAAGTATAGTAATTGCAATCATACCAGCCTTAGATATATTGCTACATTGAAATAGATACGTTGGCATAAAGAACCTTATGTATCCATAGATTTCCCTTACATTGTGGGGAACGCAAGCTGAAACTTTCGATGGCTCAAATAATGTAGTCGTTGCTGTCAAAGGGGCCCGTATCGGAGAGTTCAATGGCGATAAAAATTTGTCTACACTAAACTCATCCGTTATTCAAATTGATCCTGACATACCTGAAGCCCATAGGTGAATATTTTCTTTATAAATATGTCTAAACTTAGGTACACCTAATTAACACTAGAACTATCGGCGGATTTTTTTTTGTATAGGATGGGCCATTTGAAGCCAGTCATTTTGACTGGTCTTGGTAGTTCTAGTGTTAAGTAACAACAATAATGTCATTCCAATACATTCTATTGCATGTATCATTCCAATTTAGTTGGAGAATTTATGTACAATGAATGACTTCATGAATAGAAAAGATGATCAAATGAAACGTTACATTTTGCTCCTTTATGGACTGTTGCAGATTACGTGGCTGGTATAACTCAACCGGACATAAAATGGAGGCAAAATCCTTGTCTAAAACTGGAGCCGGTGGAGGTCTCAGTGGTCAATGGCTAACTTTCAAAGAAGCAAAAGATTTGCGCATTGGGCAAGATGAAGCCCCGGGTTTCTTTGTTGTCAAAGCTACGGTCAATCTGTTCAAGTTGGAAAATGTTCTTTATAAATCCTGTCCAACTGAAGGGTGCAAGAAAAAGGTAACATTTCTAACTAAACTAAAAGACTGAAGGTATTCATTAGTAAATCCATATGACAGTCTTCAAAATATTTGACTTATAGTTGGTTGATCAAAACAGTGGAATGTATCGTTGTGAAAAATGCAACAGAGAATATCCAAACTATAAGTATCGGCTGTTGGTAGTGGTAAGTATTTAACGACGAAGAATTTTATCATGAGTGTTAAAGTATCTAACGTGAAATATTTCTTTAGTCCAACTTAGTGGATTTTACTGGCCATCAGTGGGTAACGGCATTTAATGAAGAGGGTGAGAAGTTAATTGGTGTATCAGCTCAAGAACTCGGAAACCTGAAGGAAAGTGACAACGATGCCTTCATGGAGAAATTCGGTGAGGCCTCCTTCAACAGTTTCATATTCAAATTGCGAACCAAACTGGAAACGTTTAACGTAAGTTTGAAAATTATTAAACGTATGAAAATTCAGACTCACCGGTGCCCTTTATAACCTCAATTGTTTAATTTCTGCTGCAGGACGAGGCAAGACTAAAGACTACTGTTGCATCCGTCACTCCATTGGATCACAAAGTGTATAACGACTACCTTCTAACCAAACTCAAGGAATACACAAACATTAGCAAGGCGAAATAAAAACTGTAAGGAGGTCGATTCTTTTTCTTTTTCTTAATACTGTTAAAAATTAAAATAGAAATGTAAGTTGTAACGATGCTGGCATTCCGTTTAATGATTAAGTTCCCTGTAAAATGGCGAGTATAAAGTGTATTCAAAGTAAGAGAATGTAAGGATAGCGTCTTCTACCAAAGGAAAATTAAACTTTGTACAGACAATACAATGGCTTCGCTTTGTGACATCGAGTCATTTGACATTAGTTCATCGATTGAGTAGACATTTCAGAGAATCACGATTATCGCCGTCTAAATAATAAATAATATTTACGATGTAATATTATAAAGCACTTTATCTTCCAAGATTTTTTCATGTACATTTCATTTTTACACGTCGATAAATTAATCTCTTCCACGGGCGGCGTTTGTGGAACCTAGAATATTAAACTAATTTCCTTAGAAACCATTTAATTGTCGAACAAACGTCTTGATCACATTATCAGCAACGCAGACGATGTTTGAGAACTTAAAAGGGTGTCACGTTCGATTCTTATTCAGTGTCCAGACGATGGTTCAGAAAGATCTTCGCCTGTAAGTCTCCGGTTTGTTTTGTCGATAAGATTCTCCTTGGAGTAGTCTCGAAATCACGTTTTAAATACTTTAGGCAATGATACATTCGTATGACAATAATATATTACAAGTAAATACTAGCGTAGCATTTGATCAATCGAAAGTTCATCTCTGATCCCAATACGTGGTACTTACTTTCCTATACAGTATTAGAATGGATTAAGATCATCACGCGTTGACACTTCATGCTCCGAAGTGAAACTGAAGTACCTGAAGTTACGAGTCAGACTCTTTGTAAAACGAGAACCACGAAGTAATATAAGGAAAAACAACGTCATGTATTAAAATCGTCTCCACTTTAGGAGTCCAAGATCTTCAAATTTTTCCAAATCTAGTGCCGAGAGCGCCTCCTAGAGGAAACCTTGCAATTAAAGGTTATCGTCTGTTAGCGGTTTCTCTAGTCCTTATCGCGTTAAAAACGTCACATTTTGTATATCAAGAGCGGATTAACCTTTCGCTCTGCGTACCTCAATAGCAAAATTAAAAGCATTTTAGGTAATTTACGTCGGTAGGAAATGTTTTAGTCATGTTGGATTGAAGCTTCCTCGTTTTCCACAAGTAGCGCTTACGTCGTTAGATCGGTGAAAACCTGAGATTCTGGGATCACTTTCTGTGGAACTGAACATTGACGTCATATCTCATCATACTACTTCATTACAAGAACCGTAGCTTTGCAATCGGTATACTCAGGGCGGCCAAACGGAAGTACGTCATTTTTTGGGTTAAATAACCATTAGCTTGATATCAACGATCACAATGTTTGATGTGTATCGGTGATGCATGGACGTGATTGGACCGTGAAAAGAATCGAACTAAAAAGCTCAGTTATTGGACCGATGTCGAAGTAGGTGAAGAGATGGTAGTAGGACCTAGCAGCTGATTCTGCTGGAGGATCGGTGGGAAAGAAGTATTCTGTGGCAAAGCAGCGCTCACTGTGATCGGTGGCATTCCTGGCAATGAAATTGGAGTTGTGACGACGTGTGATTGTGGCACGTTGTCCAATGTACCAACAATGTTTGAGTTTGGCATAGAATTGTATCCTTGCATCGGAACCGTCACAGTGGGTACAGGGAATATACTGCTGGATGTACTGACGTTCATTGGAAACGCTGACAAAGGTGGACTTATCGGCATTCCAGGAATATGGGGGTCGTTTTGATATCCAGTGGGTTGCTCCGAACCTAAAGTCAAGAAGTTATGTTTTAACTTGGACATTGGTTAATACTTTAATCTATGACTTCTAGAAGTCCATGACGAGATGTAAATATATTTAATATTAAGTACCGTGAGGAAAATTAACTTTCACTTGGCTAGAGAATAGATGCTCCATCGAATGAGTTGTCGTCGAAGCACCAGCAATTATGGGGTCTGGTTGAGACGTAGCTGATGGCAAAGGACTCAGTACTGGCTGTACTATCACAGAAGTCTCTTTACTTTTAGACCCATCGGCTGATGTAGTAATGTAATTTGATGGAATGGTAAAGCCTGGTGGTATATTGGAAATTACGCAACTTCCTGTGCTAGCTGCAATCGATACGTTTACCGATGACTCGGGAGGTGCCAACGGTTTCACGTTCCACTGTAATAATTGTATGATATTGTCTTGGTGAATCAAATAACGATATCTCCATAGGTACCGGAATATCTTTACATGATATTAAGCAATCGATGCCTACTTACAAGAGAGGGATTACTTTTTTTGCTTTCAGGTACGTTTCTGATAGGTATTCGATGGAGGTAACCATACCCAATGCCACATCCCAGGCTGAAAAATGAACAAAACTATATTTATTTTCTACTATTAAATTGATCAAAGTCCATTCCTCAATGGTGACATCTTACCTTCCTTCACCTCCCCACGTGTTATTAGGTATAATAGTTACTTCCCGACACGAATCTTCATTGATGTTATATACATACAGTTTCAATGGGCGAGACTCGTGTGCTTCGATTAACGTGAACAAGTCTTCGCTCTCATGCAAAATAGAATCAGCTCCGATAATGTAATCCGTAAAAGGTTGTAATCCAGCTAATTCAGCAGGCGATGAAGGATGAACTTCCTGGACGATCGAATAAGCGGAACAATGAAATATCCTCTCTTACCCTTAAACTAAATTACTAATTCATTACTTACAAGAACATGCCAGACATTCTCGTTAGCACCTTCGAACGAACAAAATCTAATACTGACGCCGAGCAACCCTTGTCCACCCCAAGTCACACTTGGAACAATGGATGTTTGTCTGACAGATTGAGTTTTGCTACTGTAAACAGTCATAGGTAGTTCTTTATTCACTCCGGCTCTCAACAGTTCTTTCAAAGTATCGTTATCTTGATCCTGCAACATAAATTAGACAATTACATTTAAAGTACGCCATTTAAGAGAAGGTGAAAAGGTTTTTACAATACATTCTATCCCTTGCGAAAGTCACGCGTAGTTAGTATCTGTATAACATTCTTCCTAGAATTATAATCTTTCTCCGAGTAACTTACCAAACGAGTGTTGCCAATTGCCACGATGAAGTCAAAGAACGTCTCGAGGCCAGCCTTCTGTCCCGGAGAACCGTCTTGAATCTGTTACACCAAGGGAGGTTATTTTATACTCTGTAAAAAATGTGTAGGGAATATTTATACAAACATTTTGACAGATTGAACTTACACGCAGTACGTGATAGCCTTCAGTCCCTCCTCCAGGAATTTCAACACTGTGGGAGGACCCCATTTTTAACAGCGGGATAGTTCAAGTTACCTCGTATAATCGACTCGTGAACATTAAAAACAACCTAGTCTCGGAGGACCACTATAAAGAACACCTAAACGATTCTATTACCATAATTACGTGGCAACAATACTCTTTGCGTTAACCTGCCAACCAAAGAGGGTTAGATAGAGAGGAGTCCCATAAGTCCACAATGCATTTTCCGTTTGAGTTTCAGCGCCCCCTCGCGAATTTCATCACGAACTACATAACCTCACCATCACCCTTCCCGGGAAATTTAAAGCTACTCTGCAAAAGCATTGATAAGCGCATTGTTGACTCTATGGAAGTGTTATTTCCCTTGATTAATTTTTCATTTATGAAATGTTGTGCCCGGAAGTATGGAATTTCAAGCCTCCGCGACATTACGAGAAGATTGAAGATCAGAACGATCGGCTAGAAGCTGTAGCTAATGTAATAACAAAGCACTATTTTAATCATTCGGTAAGTTGAGGTTATGTCAGCGATCCACTCTCTACATGGAATCTGCTTAATGAATAGCTCTCTTCAAGCTTTGTTTAATTTTTTACCACACGTGAAATGACATTAGGTATCTGTGATTCTACCCGATACAGTAAGTGTTCCCGGAAATCTTTTGGATTCGATCAATAATGACAGCGATTACTACAAAGTGAAGGGGTTACGTGCTTCCGAGCTAATCAGCAAAGAATTCATAGAGGCATTTGTAAAAAAAGGCGAGTTAATAATACAGCCGATACTGTTAAATTAGTTATTTAGATGCCTGTTTAATAGTATATGCTTTATACAAATGGATGCGATAATCATTTAACGTGTTCTTATCGTGGAGTTAATTTTATTTTACTTTTGATTTAAGAATTACAAGTTTCTATCAAAATCATGAACGAATAGTTAAATTTAGTACTGATCGAGTTATACTTTCCAATAGGTCGTTTAACTCTATTGACAATAGAAAATAGAATTGATCTTCACAATTGCCTTGCACTTACTCCATCTGGTTGCTTGATACTATCATTGACGAGAGATGACTTTCAAACACTTGGACTGGAGGGAAAACCATCGTTTTTTGTCAGAAAGACAAAATCGCGTTATGGTAAGTCAAAAGAGGTCACTTTTTAAGAGGCATCCAATACTGCATATGATTAAGTATAGTTAAAAACATTTCTCATAGTGTATAAATCGTCGTAATGTAAATGCTATTTATAAGTTAATGGTAACAACATGAATAATGCAAATTACATACATTTCTGATGAAACCATTTGTGGATAATAACATTCAAGAAGGCTGAGTATGCAAGAACGAGATAACGCCTAATGCAATTTACTGCTACAGAATAACCATTATATAAACTGTAACTTGTTGGACCACCCGTTACTAATTATCAATTCAAGTGGCCTTGTAAAAGTGAAGCAATAAATTTGCATTTATAAAACTATTCCGCATTATTATCTGTCTTAATCAATGACTGACGAGGCATTCGATACTTTTGATAAGTTACTATACAATTTTTATATCTTGAACCTTTGCATTTTTCTTTTACTGACACAATTTGCTCATCGACAGTTGTGACCATTAATCTGAAGGATGACAACTTCACTCCAGGGAGGAAATTTTACGAGCACGTTCGACGCTGTTTCAAAGAGAGATTTAAACAAACCTTTAATGTAATATTAGCATGGGAGCCGCCAGGTAATCGACCCTAAATCCATTTATCTATTCTTATTAACAGATGTAATAAATATTTTCACAATTACTGCACATATATTTTTAGAGACAAAGGTTTGTCCTTCATCCATAGCTGCATGGTTCCATCAGCGTGGATACGTAGTTTCTCTCTGCTCTCAAAGTTTTATTAGACGAGCCGAACACTCCATAACAATACCACTCATCGATGACGACACAGATCATGAGAAATTCTTCGAATGGCTTGGAATCCTCAGCGTTGGCGGAGATTTGTGAATATACCTTACATTTAACAGCTGCATTAGTTTAATGAGAAGATTATTAACGGGTTGTTTGTATTACGATTTACGCCCTGATCAAGGAATAATTTTTAGGAAGAACGTTGAGAATTGTGACTACGTGAATTCATACCAATGTCCTACTCCGTCAACTCTAGTGGGTCAAGTGCAGTACTTGCAGTGGACAGGACTTTTTACTTGTGCCCAAGTTCAGAAGATTTACATCGCTTTGAAGGAGTTCCTTCAGAGTCGAGAAGATTTACTTTGGGTTAGTTTACACATCCAAGGCTTCGAAGACGCTCCCATTAGTTGGGATCTGAAGGAGCACAGTTTCTTTACAGATGGAGATAATAGCTATACCTTTGTACTCCGAGTCGATGGGAAACACATACTTCGACGAAGCTTGAGCTCAAATAATAAGTTAAGAATTTTCCTTTAAAGACATCTCTTAATCATTATAAAATTAGGCACTGAAATAATTGTTCTGGTTCATGTACTTAATACACTTTTTTTTTTTAATAAGATCTGCATAGCGTTAAAAATAGAAAATAACAGTGGTAATCGACAAATTGAACAGAATCTACATAGAGTATAACAAATGTTACGATAAAATGATACTCCTCTTGTTAAAAATGCGTGCCGTCTTGACTAGAAATATTCGTTAAAAGAAAAGACCTAACGGTATTCCGGCTATAGTATTGCTCTCATTTCGTCTTCATTTTCTAAGCTGTTTGTAACTTAATTATGTCGTAAAATGAGATCAGGCCTAGGGGTCGAGTTCCCTCGACACCCTCTGAAAAAGCTACTTATTAAACGCATAAAGAGTGCTGCATTTTCTTAAACTGTGTAATTAGCCTTACGGCAATACGTGCACACGTAATCCTATTTACGCAGGTTGAACTACTTAATATAATGATCTCAAAGAGATTCCTTTATCATTCATCGGCTGAGAAAATATTTTAGGTTAGTAAATGATGGAGGATCTCTTTTTTTTCCCTTTAAAATCAAAAAACAAAAAAGTGAATTACACCAAAGCAGATGTTGACCTTGAACAGATCTGCTCTAAAATTTCTGTAACAGTGGAAGAACCATCAAATTTTTATCCAAAAAAGGTTTTCAAGTCGACAGAAGTTCTAAAATTAAGTAGACATCCTGTGTAATCGTTTCTCAAGCTACGATCATAATAAAATATACGTTAGAATGTTTGAGACTATCCGCAGTGTACTAGTTGCATGTTCTTTCAATGCTTGGAATGCATAGATTCAATGATAATCACAACGATGTAATGCGAAAGGCAAACGCTCCGGTTAATAATCTAGAGCAGTTTACTGCGATGAATAAATAATAATACAAGGTCTAGGCTTCTCGTCGTTGCTCACGAAATTCCCGTTTTGACGAAACTGTTGCATCCCGTCCAACAACCGTTTATATGAGCACGTGCGATCCATCCGATTCTGTTAATTTTACCTTTGCTGATTGCCTGTAGTATTCGTCTAATCCTGAACCCAGGGACATGCGAGACTTGGAGCGTACCATTGGATCGACAAGATCTTCAAAATCTCTGCTGTACCTGAAACAACGTAGACATGTAAAAGTAATTGACAGTGATAAATCTGACTTTTATACGAGGTAAATGAAAAATAAAGCATCATTGCACAAGCTAATAAAATGATTTCAGTAATTTTCTATTTAAATGTACTTCCAACAAAAGAATTTGAACATAATGCAATGAATTTTTCTAACGTAGATAGTGTCTTAATCTTACGGTGTTAATTTTAAGGTTAAAAATAAAATATCAGGAGTACATATTGACGCTCTTACCGACTAACTGGCCGGCTTGGATTTTCCGAAGATTCTGAGGAATTTCTGGCTAGAAGATCCCCATCGTCGGTCTTACCTGAAACAGGTATGGAAGAGTTTTTCGTTCCTTTAATTACATTAGTTTTATTGGAGCACGGTCAGTCATGCCTTAACAAAGCAAGGTTATACAACGAAAAACATGACAAGATGTTACGTTACCCAATGCATAATAATATCTGTTTGATTATGTAAATGATATCCTTACTGGACGGAAAAAGCATGGTATGCTTCAGTAGATCTCCGCTTAGAAATGGAGACAGACTGTCGTCTTCGTCCGGAATTAAATGGGTAGAAGGATCCAGGGTCACAGTTTCGACCATTTCGAGCCACTGCTGATTATGCGAACGGAATTTTTCTACCTTAATTCTCGCAGCCCAATCTTCGTCGCACATCTGAAAATTGTTTACGAGCTTATTTATAATATGTACCTTGCTGGAACGGATGAGTTTTTTCAAAATAGTTCGCAATCTCATTGAGATTTATATAACGCAGTCTTGTAGTTCGTGTTAAATGACGTTATAATTATGTGCAGCGTATCTTTTTAAATAAGAAATCTTTAGAGCCATGTAATCTAACTTAATCATAGTGAATTTGTCATGCTTATGAAAATGAGTAAATATTTTGATCGATGTGGAAATACGTTATACTTACTGCGATGATATCTAAGCAAGCATCGCATACTCTTCTAATCGCTGGGTTTTTGTCGTGCATCAGGTCGATCAGATATCCAGGAGCCTCTGTAAGTAAAACAAAAGGACATTGTTCTACTAGTTTTTTTTGCTTGATTAATTGTTTAATTGATTAATAATATTCAGATACGTTCCGTTGGAATAGGTATTATAGTCAAATTCGATTTTTACCATTACTAGTCTCGCGAATCAGATAATCTCTCGTTGAGTCGTGTTTAGCAATTTGGTAGAATACGTAGATTATTTGCAGCACCATCTCGTCATCTTCTTGTTTTGCTGGTTAAACGTTAAAGGATTAATTTACATTATGCAACCTAACCTTATGTTCGAAATACATGCAATTAAAGTAATATAAAATTCTTGTCCGATAGATTAAATTGTTCTAATAAATGTTCACTTGTTTGTATTACAATTGCTCGTTATTGCTTCGGTTACAATACAATTTGTAACGTACCTTTCAATAATTCGATAAGAGACAGGAGAATATCTGCTTTGCACAACAATCTTGCACAGTCTTCGTCACAAGCAGCGGTTCCCAGAAAAATAACAACTTCCAAGACTAAGTCGTCCTGTGCTTTCCCAGGAACCAAATTGTTTCTGATCCAAGGTACAAGATTACATCGTTGGAGGATTTGAGAGTAATCGAGATCAGGCATGACCAAATTTCCTAGTACACCGACCACCTCCAAGACAAAGTCTTCGGAATCTGACTTAGTGAGAGCTTTTGCAAAATCCCCCACGAATTCCTAATGAATTAAAAGTATAACACATCTTAGTAGGCTATTCTGAATATTATACAGCAGTTTAAAATTAGCTTTCAATTTAATGTTTGTTTATGTGCTAGAATAAGGCAAAATGGTATACATAAACAAACAATTGAAAATAACCATTTTCCAAATGAAGTATGAAGCAGCGAATAAGATCTTTTGTTAAGTACCACTAAATTTTCTCTGGTGGTAGTGTGCTGCGAGATGTTCCTAATCATTTTCATGATAAGAGAATTCTGACATTGAAATGCCTTTTGTACAAGACCTTGTAAACGATTATTCTCCACCATTGACTGAGCGTTTCTACTGTTTACCGCTAGATTTATACATAGCGCTATTAATTCCGGCTTTAGCTGGTCATCTTTTGACTCCAGAATCATATCGGTCACCTGAAAGGAAGTTAAACTCGATTAATGGCACCATATAATAAGGAAAGTTACCTTCAGAATAATTTTTATGTCAAACAATTTTTCGTGGGAACAAAAAATAGAAAATTGATTTAACCCAAGGAAAAGTATAATTACTATTTTATAAGTCAACATCACGTAATCACATTTCTAGTAAACTACTGGAAAAAATCAAAATTAGAAGTTAGGTAATGGCATCAGGACTTTACTCCAGATATGATCGGTACAAAAAAATGTGAGCATTAAGTTTATTTAATATTTTTTTTTACCGTACCATGGGAATACAATCAGTATTCGCGAACATAGGCTTCACTTTGTCATCTATACTTAAGTGATACAAAAGTCCTAAGATAGTCGTTTCATATTTGCTGTCACCTGCAAAATATGATCAAATTACGTGCTAATTATCGTCACTATTTGAACAATTATTATGTTATTAAATATCATTTTACCTTGACTGAGTAATTTTACCAATTTCGGTAGCAATCCAACTCTGATCATTTTCCCTCTGAGTTTTGGATCAAAAGAGAGATTAAAAAGTAGCCGTAAAGTGCTGAAAATCAGGTCGGAGTTACTGTTTTGAAGGAGCCGAGGTAGCTTCTCGATAATGTTTCCTTCAGCCTATAATAGAAAACATTAAAAAATGTATAAATTAAAGAACTCGAATAAATGGTCACTTTGCAGCACGGTGATATAAAAAACGTAATAACTGTAATTCAATAGCAGTTTTAAGTTCATATAAACAGTTATTAATGTCATAAAGTACCAAGTTCATATAAACAGTTATTAATGTTATAACATACCATTACATCTTTATTTTCCCGGAAAATGGAGAGTTTCTTCAGGAATGTAACCACCAAAATCAGAAGATCACTATTTGTTCTGTCTAAAGACTTGATCAGCATACCGATCACATTTTTTTTTCGCATCTTACGCTCCACTTCTGTATTTTCTGCGATATTTAGTAGCAGATAGAATGCGACTGAAAAAGCGTATAATAAAGCCATTATTGCACTTTCAAGGTAAGATACATTCAAATAAGATTAGAATACGAATAAGTGATCGATATTGAAATTAAAACTTGCCTCTCAGCAATTGTTCTTGCTTTTTAGTTAAACTTTTGAACTTCTTTCTGATTTTTTCAAGTTCTTCCTTAATTTTTTTTAAATCGCTTTCAGGGAGATTTATGGGCATCTCAACAGAATTCCTTTTAATTTCCAGATCTAAAGGGTTTTCCGTGGACCAGACGTCTTCGTTAATTTTAACTTTCTTATCAGACTTGCTTCCATTCGTGATTAGGGATAATGCGAATCCTGTAATATCTTCGTAATGCTGCTTTCTTTTTTCCATATCGTCTTTCCACTGGTCATAACGGTGAAGTTCGAAGTCTATTATGTCCATGCATAAAGAGCCAATCTACGGTAAAATATTTTTTTTAGTAAAGTAAATACCTTAAAAAGCACATTAACAGCTGTGTACATATAGAACAAATATTATATCCACACGTAAGGAGCACTTACTCGATATTCAAGCACAATGTTATGAAATTGTCTATATGTTGAAAAGCAGAAGAAAATGTAAATTATATTTGTGGAGAGTTCGATGCTGCGTCTCCAATCTTCTCTTAGAACTCTTGCCAATGCACTCAACAGTGATTCTGTAAAAATTCACCAGTTAAAAATTTTGGTAAGAGAAAAAAAACGTACAATTCAGTTTTCCTTCACATTAAGAATACACTTTTAAATTCTAGTTTTTTTTTTTTTTTTAATTCGTAATGTTTGCAGTGATACGACTATGTAAAAACAATTTGCTTCTCACCATTTTTTGTCAATTCAAGCAGATTATCTGGTACTCGGGCTAGTTGTAAAATCATTGAAGAGCCTTTTATTTTATCAGAAATCTCTTCGTATAGGAGTTCAATATATCCATCGATATTACTGATAACGGCACGCTCTGTGTCACTGTTTTCTGAGTTTCCACAGCAGGAGGACATCGGTCTTGGTAGCTGAGAATTACCCTCACCAGCTAGAAAAATAAAAGCAGGAAATTACTTTTAATACATCACCACATTCAAGAAACCGCTGTCTTTTTAAAATAACATGTTTGTCAAAGATAATCATACCATTTTCATTCGGTGTTCTTCTAGTCTGCAAGTAATAGATCAGCTGTTCCACTTCTGGCAATTTTGACTCGTGTATGAGACTACACTTCTCCATAACTTCCCTCGCCAACAGAGCAACATTTGTATCTGCATTTAAACTCTTCAATCGGATGATTTTCTGACATTCCTAGAAAATAATTCATTGATCGTATATTTTTACATATATGTATGTACATAATATTTAAAAAATAAATCTTAAATATCTTATTATTGTAGAGCATGTCATCGCTCTGCCAGTTTAAAGTAATATTAAGAGGTGCACATGAGTCAACATATATGTACCTTTCTATCGCCCAACATCGGATCACCCAATTCTCCCAAGATGAGAGCTTCGACATCGTAGTTGACGACCAAAGCTTTTTCCGTCGGATGGACATCCAAGGTTCCAGATCGCACCTTCCTGTATGTATAAGAACGAAAAAAGAACGTAAGTCGATCGATTTAATGTTATGCGTCACTACTCGTAGGTAATAACGGGTTGTCCCTCTCCGTTGGTGAGGTAAACTTAAGAAAGGCATGAAGAAGGAAACCACGCCAGTCGAACGTTTCTCCGCGGACGAAACTAACCTCTTCAGGAACTTCGCCTCGTCCATCGCGTCGTTTCAACAGTTTCGGCGACGAGGAAACTCCGAGTCGTTCAAATCATATTCTTCACTTCAAGACTTGACATTTGTGTACTCCGTCCGGTCACTTGGGGACATCCGTGACTGTAGACACATGCAGCTACTTTCACGTCTAACCTGAGGTTAGCGAATTTTCAAGAGTTGTGTATTTCTGTTCCAACGTAACAAATTAATCGACCTTCCATTTAAGCCCGGTTCCACAATTCAAGTTAACCGGAGTTTAATTGGTTTATAGCAAGCTGAACCGTCGTATAAACCAGTTAAACTTCGGTTAGCTGGTTTACAGCAGGTTAAACCTGGGCATAAAGCAGTTAGATTTCGCAGGTTGAACCGTGATATAAGCCAGTTAAACTTCGGTTAACTCGAGTTGTGGAATCCAAATATGCTAATTTATTCGGCCTAGTTATATTATAATGAACCGTTTAGAATCATATATAAAAATGATGTATTAACTTGTCATAGATATCTAAAATAATTTTGTTGAAAACAAATACATAATATAATTGATTAAAATTATGCAGAAAAATAACCAATCAAAATGGCTTTTACAAATGGACCAATGAGGGTTTTAAAATCCAGGTCCAGGAATTGCAATTCAATCTTTAAAGTTTATTACAGGTCTCTTTGAGGAAAATAATGAAAATTGATAATTGACAGAGAAGGAAATGTTTTGCATATGAAAACCAATTGTGAATTACCTCAAAGGAAAACAAACCATTAATAGATGTTTTGTCAGTAGGAAAATATGGAACTAAGGAAAGTAATCATTGATTGTGATGCGGGGACTGATGATGCAGTGGCTTTAATTATACTCATTGCCGCTCATAAAACTAAGAAAATAAAAATCATGGCCATCACTTGTGTGTCTGGAAATACATCGGTTGATAACGTCGTCATTAATGTATTCAGAACACTGGAGGCATGCGATGCACTCGATGTAACTCTCATTTTCCTACTATATGAATTATTTGCATTCGGCGTATTCATTGTATTAAAGGCATCGTAATGTATTCTTCTAGATACCTGTCTTTAAAGGAACTACGTCTCCTATTCTCGATGTGGAGAATGCTAAAATTGCCAGGGAGTTTAAATTTCATGGCAGCGATGGATTTGGAGATATTTATAAAGACATTCCTGATATCAGCAAATTAAAGAGACAGCATGCAGTCAGTGCATTGCATGAAATTACATCGCAAAATCCAGGTAACATGTTAAAGAAAGAAAATATGAATGAATTATTATAAAGTTGATTGCATTGCATTATTCAATTGATTATTTTATTATATAACAGAGACCATAAATTTCAGCTTTACATTTTATGTTAAACCTATCTTATGTGTGTAGAGTAATAATCATTTTGCATTTTCAGGAGAAGTCTCGGTTCTCTGCCTAGCTCCTTTAATGAATATAGCATTGGCAATTAAACTCTTCCCGGAATTCCTTGAAAATGTAAAGGAATTCTATGTTATGGGAGGGAATACTACAGGTAAGAAAATATGTTCGTAAATTGTTGAACACTTTTGAAAATTATTCAACAGCAATTTATAATCCCTAAATTATTTGAACTTTCAGCTTTGGGCAATACAACGTCGCAGGCTGAGTTCAATTTTTACAGCGATCCAGAAAGTGCTCACATATTAATAAATAATAATAAGAAAAAATTATGGTTGTTGCCATGGGAGACGTGTTTGAAATCTCGAATAGAACATGTAAACATTTTTATGATTACAATTTAATACTAATAAGATTCAATTGAAGGTGAAACTATAATATTCAGGGAATAACGAGCATATATTAATTCCATAGACATGTCTACTTATTTAATCGAAGACGTTTAAAAATTTCACAAAGCAATTGTAACTACATTTTTACTAATTTAAAATTAATTAACTTTAAACTATTTTCAGGAATGGAGACAAAATGTCCTTGGTAAAATTGAGACCCCCTGTATTCAACTTCTAAATGACATTGAAGAGGGTATACTGAGCGATGAAAAAAAAGCCCTCTCATTTTATTCTCCCTGCGATGCACTCTTAGCAGCAATATTCCTGAGACCAGATTTGACTACAGATACAGTTAAGCAACATGCAGATATTGAACTGAATGGCAGCAGAACAAGGGGTCAAGTAGTTATTGATCACCTGCTGCTGCATTGCGAAGAACCTAATGTTCACCTAATTCAAGATATCGACACGGACATATTCAAAGATGTACTCCTTTTTGCAGCAGATCCCTTTCGATACAATCTATCCAATGGATACCGTACTGCAGTGCGTTAACTGTTTGAAGTCATTCAAATCACAAACTGTACATCATTTGGTTAAATTATAAGTGTAAACATTGAAATAAAATATAACAAAGAATACGAAGCTATGGTTTTTAATGAATCATTGATTGGAAATATATGATAAATCAGGAATAGAGAATCTACAAAGCTTAACATTATCTACTTGAGTTTGACTAATTACTGATGCAAGATTTTTCTACGAATTACATTCTTCTAATTTAAAAATTTATTTCTTGAACAATTTCAAAGGTAATCACCAATTTAATTAAAGTTAAAAATAAATAAATGTTTGAATATAATAAAGTTAATATATTAATTAAAATTGTCTAATTTCAGGGTAAGAACTGAATTTATAAATAATGCGCATAAGGAAACAGAGGGAAACGCATTGACTCAGTTCTATTTACTTATAATTGTGAGTTCTGACATTTTAAGTAATACACACTTCATAACGAGGAATGTCTCCGATTTCAGTTTAGGAGCAATAAAACACGTAGTATCTATCCAAAAAGAAATTCATAAATTTCTTCTTCTAGATAGATCATAATAACAGATTTTTTACAAACTTCTGTTCGATACGTTCCCATATCCATAACCTGTCCAACTAAAATTCTAATAGATCATAGTTGGAAAACTTTCTAAGTTGTACTTCAAATATAACGATGTCCGTCACTTGCTTGGCCTAAAGATTTACGAGTCTGAAATCATTGGTTCGGGCTGTTCAGATTTCTGAGATTCTTGGAATTGCTTCCTGGCTTCTCGATTTGACTTTAACAACTCTACTAACTCTGCGTGTATTTTGTCATTCTTCCTTTCTAGGTTATCTAGGACAGAGTTGAGTTGGTCAAGCTGAGCATTTAGAGCCTCGTACTCTAAAACAAAACGTAACAATGAGCACTGAAGTTCCTTTCATCACATTTCAATGCAGATACTCCTCAACGAAATTTTAAATTAGATCGAGAATAAAACCAACTAGACATATTTCTATTGATTAATTAATCAATAGAAACGATACTCTCTTCAAACTAAGATATTTAGCAGGTATTACAAAATATGATCCGATTGAAAATCTGCATTAGATAATACTGCTCGTCTTATATTATTACCAACAGACTTTTGGTAAATGAAAGTCTGATTAGGCAAATCATAAATTAACTGTATTACGTTAAATTCTACATAAATGATAATATCTCGATAATTTAATTCCTCTTTCGAAAAGTGCATGACGATTCGATGAAGTCAGTGAATATACAATTCCTCGGACAGCTGTCACAAAATGTTTACAGATATGGGATAGTTTACTGCAACTTTATCGTGACACGCCTCTTTGAATGAATTTAACTTTTCGAATTTTTTCGGTTCTGTAACATGTCGCTTGTACTTTGCAGCATCTGTGCTTTTCTTAAACGACGACCAAAAGATCTACATCACTATCGAGAAGACAGTGTGGTAACATATAGAATAAAAAAATTAACATATCGAGAGTTGTCTTTCTGCGTCACAAAAGAGGTTAAGGAATTCGACTAATATTCGATTCTATTCACCTTCATCGTTGCAATTGTCGCGATCCTCGTCCGTATCAGGGTTTTTCTCTTCGTTTCCATTGTTTCCTCGGGGCTGTTCGGCGAATTCTACCATGTTTTCGTTTCTGATCAGATCATCTATGTTCTCATTTGCCATTTAATTTTCTACCACCCTGCATCAGCGGAATGATCAGCTGATGGCATGAGTCACGTGAAATTGATGATCAGAGACATACAAACGCTGTCAAGAGTGAATGTCACTATTGTGCTGCACTAACGGACACGGCGAATACTAGACACATTTAAATTACCACGGCCGATAAAACGCATCCTTTGAAAATATATGTACAGATTACAGTTACTACATAAAACCAAATGGAAGGAGATACCCAACGCATAGCTCACGTGGTCGGTATGACGTCAGGTGTAACGTACGTGTCGCAAGTTCAAATTCTCAAGGAAGGGAAAGGTGGGTACGGTTTTTCACTCAAATTTCTTTCCTCACGTTTTACAGTTCATAACAATCGCACAAAATACATTGCAGTTATGTAATATTTGATTATGGGTTCAGCTTTTCATTATTTGTTTCACTGTCCCTAAGGTGATTTTAATAATTAACGTGAAATTAATTAAAATCGTAAAGTAAGATAACAGTATCAATCATTCTTATCGTTAGTATTATTATTTAGTTACCCTTGTTGCTACCGTTATCTCATTCATTGCATAAATTTTAATTACAATCATCATTTTGAGAATAAGGTCGGAAGTTGAAAATCTCTGGTTCAAGTATTTGTCTCGTACATTAGTAACTTTACTACAAAACATTTGTCCTGAAATATCGATCACTTAAAGGAAAATGGGTCGTTTCGAGTAATCCACTCATGATTGAACGACGTCACCGGCCCGATAAAGGATCGTGATTGGTTCTTTATCGGGCCGGTGACGTCGTCCAATCGCGGAGTCGGGTCACGGCCGGGGATTGCGGCCCGGCCGGCGGATCGCCAGTTGACCCTGAAAATTTGCCGCGGTAGGACGTCGTCAAAAATTAAGAATATGGCGGGGGGCGCGAGGGTTTCGGAACCGACGCGAAGGCAATGAAGTTAGGACGCGACAGTGAACACGGTCCGGGAGTGCCATGGATTAACTATCATTCAACGAAAGAAAAGGAATTCAACGAAGGCAGCAGAAGCATGCAGCGTATCCAGCGTATCTAGTGTATCCAGCGTATCCAGCGAATGCAGCGAATGCAGCGAATGCAGCGAATGCAGCGAATGCAGCGAATGCAGCGAATGCAGCAAATGCAGCGAATGCAGCGAAAGCAGCGAAAGCAGCGAAAGCAGCGAAAGCAGTGGAAGCGGACACAAAGGTGGAATGCAGCCAGAGCCAACGTCGAAGGGAGGCAGATGGAGAGGAGGCCAGAAACCCCAGGTCTCTGCGGAGGGATCTCCTGGGGAAGTACCGCCAGAAAAAGACGAATCGTCCCGTTGGTAAGTCTCAACGTTTCCTTCCTCCGATCCCTTCATGTCGCAGGACGAAAGGTCCGTACCGGCACGGGGATCGGTAGTATGTTTACATTTTGATTCGAGGGACCGCGAGCCGACGAGACGATCTCTCGCCGACTCGCGAGTGGTCGTGTTGATTTTCTATGTTTTTCATGTGTTCTTTTAGAGTAGGAATAGATTTCTCCCGGGTCCGCGGTAATTTTCCGATCGCGATACTGAATCGAGCGCCGGGAAGTCGGATGACCCTCCGACTTCGAGGCCGCCGGTTCCGCGGAATTTCTTCGAATGATTAAATAAAAAATTTAAAAAAGATGTGGGAGAAATATCTCGCGAGGAGCCACACCCGAGTCGAGGGGGCACTTCGATGTGCCTGTGTTCTAGAGTCGCCGCCTCGACGAAGGGGTCGGTTTCAGGGTTTACAGGTTTTTTCGGCTAAGCCTTCCACTACCCTGGGGCCGTAGTGCGTGCTGGGCTTGGCCTTTCTTTTTTGTAAAAATTATAAAATATGGATATCGAGTAGAGTCAGTAGCTCGTTTCAACGACGTATAAATTAATCAGCTTAGGATTCTTCCAGCCTCTACAACGGTAGGTGCCCTTTCTTGTGGCCGCGTTCTTTGCTGGCCCCCACCCTTCGTCTCCTCCAGGAGCGAGTCGATCGGGTCGGGGCCAGGAGACGTGGTAAACCGAAACTTCGCGAATCCCTTCGATTGCCATCCGCGTTTCGATTCCGCGAACGAGTTTAATTTTTCTTTCATTTAACTGGCGATGGCAATCGGAACGTATGAGTGTGAGAACTGAGCTCGGGGGTCGGAGGCATTCCGGGATGCTGTCCCTAGGATTAGGCTTTTTGTCCCCGGGCGGAATGAGAGAGAACCGTGGAGTGAGTGTGTTGGAACGAATGTGTTTTTTCTTTTAGATATAGCTAGGGAGGTAGGTCAGTTGTCTTTAAGCAGGCAGGGCCAGGGCGGGATCTCTTCCTGGGGGTTTGGGAGGAGATCCCGAACCTGGGGTAATTTTCCATCGTCCGCGCTTCCCGAAGCGCGGAGGATGTCCACCCTGTGATATATCCGCGATTGTATCAATTTTCTTTCAGCAATAAAATTAATTAGACCGCGCTTGGAAATCGAATAAATGTGCAATACGCTCGGACTGCGCATCCTCGGATCGCAGGTCGTCGTTTTGCTAGCTTTTGAATCTGCTCGCGGAGTAATTTTTTTTTTCTTTAAATTCGAAAAATCAGGGGATTGCCAAGCGTTCGAGACGTAGGGGGCTCTGCCCGAAGAGACTGCAAGAGTCGAAGAGGCTATATGCCGAAGCGGCCCCTTAAGAAGAGGGCAACTATGATGGCCTTCCATTCTTTCGAATGGACAGTCATCCATTTTTTTCGCCACGTTGTCCCTCTCATGTTTTGTATATTCTTGTGTCTGGATTGACGGGGAGAGACGGTGAACTATCGTTTTCATGAGATTTTCTCGAGTCTGCATTTAAGCAAGATATATTTATTAGATTTTTGTCACGCCAAGTAATGTATAATTGAATACATTTTTACTGGGTCAATTATACGATATCGATGCACTGCGAAATATTCTTGACTTTAATGGTAACTTTAGTAAGTTATTAGCTCTTGTATCACCGTCTCTTTCTCGCTTTCCAATGGTTTCGTTTGTGCCTTCGTGTTCCCTTTCAGCTTTAGGTGGGCCACTTCGGAGAATCTGGCGACTTCCAGGTGTTTCTTCAATATTCTCTTTTATCTGTACTTTTGTGCCTCTTTGCAGGTTAGGTGGATCAATGTGCAAAATAGTTTCGATCCGCGGCGCTTGGTTACGCCACTGTCCACAAAAATGAGTTATAGGGACATTGATGAGAGAGGTGAGGAGACGGGTGGGTTAAAAGTTCTCGAGTAGGAATGAAGTCTTCGGTTGTTATCTAACATTTATTTTTTCCTTAAACATATATTTACAAGTTATATTTTAGTTGAGTCATTTTTCATTCCCGATGTTGAGCTTCCTCTAACAAATTTTGCATGTTCACCCGTTTAGTAGGAATGTAGTAAATTGGCTGAAAAGATGACAAGCCATCTATAACCTTTTACCAGGATGAGAAATTTCCAAACGAATATGCAGAATTCTTTTTCCTTTTAACTGGAACATCATTATTTGCCTCGTCCTTTTGGTGTCTGAAAACATAAATATAATGTTAACTGTGCCTTTAAAGTTAAATTTTATAGAAACTTACTTTCCCTCTTCTTTATTTAAATTAATATATTTCCCAACGCCGGGACGGTACACTTTTAGAGAGTCTGATTTTTTATTTTTTGAGTTCTTTTTAATAGCTTCTTCGGATAACCGTTCTGCTTCGGCAGCACGATCGGTTGCTAACTGTTCATCCGCTTCTTGAAAAGGATCGACAAATACTTCCGCTCTTTGTACAATTATATCTTCAATAGGTCTATCCTTGTTATCAACTTCAATTTTTTCTATAGCATTCAATGTCTCAAACCCTCCAACTATTTTTCCAAAAACGGTGTGTTTACGATCCAAGTGACGGCATGATCGATAAGTGATAAAACTGTAAATAATAAATTATTTTTTATATTATGTTACATTGTGATATTTTCTTGTCTTGATCTGAAAACAAAAATATTTTACATCATAAACTTACAATTGAGATCCATTAGTATTTGGTCCAGAATTAGCCATTGATAATACGCCTCGACCTTGATGAATTAAATTAGGTTTGAATTCATCTTCGAATGGCTTCCCCCAAATGGACTTTCCTCCATTACCGGTATTTGTTGGATCACCTCCTTGAATCTAGATTCCAATAAAGTAAATAAAATAAGAAAGAAATAAATTGCTAACTAAATAAATATTATAATACACAGAAACCACAGTTAATAAATGTATTAGATTTAATTTCTTAGTTTTACTGTAAATGGTTTCCTCTTACCATAAAGTTACGAATTGATCGGTGAAATTTTGTACCATTGTAGTAGCCATTTTGGCAATGTTTAATGAAATTCTCACAAGTCTTTGGAACAAGATCACAGTTCAGTTCCAAGTTCAGGGCTCCAAAGTTTGTAATAAATCTGACATACCCTGGAAACATTTATAAGATTTGTTGAGCACTCGATAGGTTGGAATAGGAAATGGATAATGAAGCCCCATACCCTTCTTTTTAACAAATTGGTAGCGAATTATGTCTTCTGCCACTATGGCAGCTTGATGTGTCGTTTCTGTTGGCATTACTGTCGATGTAAATCCTGCTGCAACAGCACCGGTAGAGTAATGAGCCTAAAAATACATTGCTTTTAATGACATTTGAATTTATCAATAAATTAATAATAGTTCAAAATGACTGTCAATAGTCGTTTTTGGATCAAATTAGTTAGACAAGGTACGAAAGTTACTCCTAAAGCTTACTGCATTAAATTTGTCCAATTTTGGTTTTGGAGCTTCTTCTTTAACTTCTTGTGGTTTATGAGTTCTGTGTAATTCAGCCAATATTTCTTTAGTTTCCATAGAGACCGTTTTAAGTTTTGCATTCGGATCGTTGGCTTCTCTTGTACTTTCTGGAAGTTGACTAAGTTAAATAAGCTCTTCTTTAAGAATGAAGATTTGGATACGTCTAGGTTTCCACGTAAATACCTTCATCATCCAGTCGAATATTATTTTTTATATGATGAAATCCTGATAAATTGAACTTCTTCGAATTAGTTGGATCTTGAATAGTGATAATATCGCTACGGATGAACGGGTCATCTGATATTAAATCCTTCCAATTCTGTGCCTTGATATTTAACTGTTCTACCGCCTACGAACAAAACTTTCATCACACATTTTGTTCTTCATCAAACATGGATATATTCTATGCCATAACCATAATTGTACGTACTTCATAAGAAAAGACATTTCCAGTTGTCCTAATTGCAACAATGTTCATGTGTTTTGTGAATACTTTGAAGAGCACCGGACAATGATATTGATCGTCCGCATTCTTGAAAAAATGTAACTTTATCAAGCTCTTTGCATCTAATGGCTTTCCTGTAACAGGATTGTGTTTCAACCGTTTGATGTAATTTAATATAGGCTCCAATTCAAAAACGTTCCCATCCGAATCGCAATACGGGTGCTCGAATGGTTGCAAACTGAGACAGCAATGATCGTAAGGTAAACGACGAAACGTCACATCTTCATCCGTTTCCAAGGTCCCTGCACTTTTACCACCATACAATGTAGTCCATTCTGTATACGTCAAGTACCTAAAGAGAGGAAAATAAATCATTTATCATAGGTTATCTTTGGCAGTCATTAGAGTTTAACATGTTTTACAGCAAAGGTAGTCTTACATCTTATCCTTCTGATGCTGTCGTTTCCCCATTTTAACGATTTATCCGTACTAATTAATATATAACAGGAAATCTCGATTGTAAAGTATCCAAACAATTAACAGGAATCTAGAAGCTTGCAAAAACCTGTAAACATAGAATAACAAAGAGTGTCACTAGAAATGGAAACTCGTGCACATAGGTTTTGTCGTGGTCGCTTCCTGAAACTGTTCCACATTTACATTAAATACACTCTCTGTTTTAACGACCGAATCGTCAAATCATTAGAACAGTATACACCTTCGCTCATAGATGGCGCTGACTGCATTCTCCGTTCCGAGCGAATATTAATACCCGTAACTCCCGCTAGGGGCATCACCTCCCGTCATAAAAGTGCAAGGGTTAATTCAAACTTAAAAGTGAGCAGGATTGAAAACATAAAACGCAGCTCGACATCTAAATAGAGGAGATCTAACAGTAAGTAGTAAAAGATTTGATAAACAACCCTTTTTGAAAGACCCCATAGCTCCGGCGGCGGGCAAACCACGCTTTTTCAATCGAGACAGGTTTAAGGGTCTAAACTCGGTTTATCTCGTACTAACCTAGAAAGGAAAAATTAACCATAACATCTTAACCGACATCCAGCCGCGACTTGTTAGCCGCGGATATCCGAACTTTCGGGGAATCTTTCGATTTCGTGAAAAATCTCTTCCAATACCCTGAAAGTCCCAATCGGGTCCCGAGTCCCGATTAACCGGCGGCGCCAAGCGAAGTCGCGCCGGGTGATTAGCCACTCGTGGCTTTTCCCGGCCGGCACGCAAGGCGCCCCGAGATCCATCGATCATCCACGACGATCGATCTCCTCGGTCCAGCCCCTGATTTCGAGCTCGCGCAGCTCGTCATCCCTCTTTGTCTCTTCCTCGAAGCCTCGTGCTCGGTTTAGTTCCGAGGTCCCGATATCTGCGCGTTAATACACCGGGGTGTGAGCCATGGTATAGAGGGCGTTTCAGGTTTGTTACACGGGGTGGGGCGAGTGGGAGCCCGGCTCGGAGCAGAGGCCAAAGGACGGACCTATCGAGGGCGTTAGACGGGGAAGAGAAATAGAAATAACCGAGATTTCGGCACCCCGCTGGGTCCCCTAATTGCCTCGGCTTGCCTCCAAAGTCGGGGCCCCGGCACGCCCTTGAACCCTCCGTACCCCGAACCATTGGGGCCCCGTCCACGGGGCGCTCGGGCCCCGGATAGCCGATAGCCGGGACCGAATAAGCGAGATCATCTATCACACTGCGCGAAACGATATATTTGTTTTTCGGTGGGACCCTCTCTAATTATTTACAGCCCTGCCCCCGGGGGGATCGTGTCCCGTTTTGCCCTGGCCCCCTTTTCGGCACCGGAACCAGAAATTTCCTAGAATGAAGAATCGCAAGCGGTACCGGGTTCCCAGATATTCTTTCATATTCGGCAATTAAGGTGAAGTGAAACGACTGTCAAATCAGTCGATTCGAATACAACACTTTTTTTAAGGGTATTAGACCAAACTGTTCGAAACTTTGACACATCACTCCTGATCGTGTCCCGTTTTGCCCTGGCCCCCTTTTCGGCACCGGAACCAGAAATTTCCTAGAATGAAGAATCGCAAGCGGTACCGGGTCCCCAGATATTCTTTCATATTCAGCAATTAAGGTGAAGTGAAACGACTGTCAAATCAGTCGATTCGAATACAACACTTTTTTTAAGGGTATTAGACCAAACTGTCCGAAACTTTGACACATCACTCCTGATCGTGTCCCGTTTTGCCCTGGCCCCCTTTTCGGCACCGGAGCCAGAAATTTCCTAGAATGAAAAATCGCAAGCGGTACCGGGTCCCCAGATATTCTTTCATATTCAGCAATTAAGGTGAAGTGAAACGACTGTCAAATCAGTCGAGTCCAATACAACACTTTTTTTAAGGGTATTAGACCAAACTGTCCGACACTTTGACACATCACTCCTGATCGTGTCCCGTTTTGCCCTGGCCCCCTTCTGGGCACCGGGACCAGAAATGTCCCATTACGAAGATTCGCAAGCGGTACCGGGCTCTCCCGATATTCTTTCATATTCGGGAATTAACATCTTCACCTATAATATCGTGTGAGAGACTGGTATATCAATCGGACCAATTATAAACAAAACGTATCAGGGACGCGTGAGACTTTGAACGTTCAGCCAAACCGTGAAATGGCCCGATGTAAGACCGACATTTTTCTTGTTCATGGCACGCGCTATTGGAATTTAAATCGTAAGGCAAGGGGTTAAGATGCCCCAGCCAAGGAAGTCTCAGGACGTGGGGGAGTCCTAATGATCCAGAAGATGTGCCCTAGGGGTATGGATGTTCCGGTGAACGTTTCCTCGTAGGCGCCATCCCGATGCGCTCCTTGTCTACGACCGAGGGTCAAGTAATTACGGGGGGTCGTTAAATGTGGGACGATTCTCCTCAGCCTGTCGCATTATGCTAGCGTAAGGCTTAAATTTCCTTAGCTAACGATGTGCATTATGTGCCGCCTCGGTGTAATAGTATAATCTTAAAAATGATTTATCGAGGGAACCTACTACACTTCTGGGGGCTCGGGAATAGGGATGCGGAGTAGATCAAGGAGACGAATTCATTGGATCGACGGAATATTTCTTAGGGTAATTACTTGACTCCAATCAATTGCGGGGAAACGTTGCGGCCGATTTAATCATCGGGATAAATATTTCGTTGATAAGAAGTCGAAAAGAAATTGTTCTTTGGCCCTGTACAACATTTTACTCGGGGTGGACGCGCGCCTATCGGTTTGGTATTCCGGGAGGTTCAGATCTTTCGAAGGCGGTTAGAACGAACGAGGGGGATTATTTACCGTGTATGTGGGGAAGAATTAAAAAATGATCCACGGTCCGCACATGGGGCCTTCGGATGTCATAAGAAAGAGGAGAGAAAGAGAGAGAGAGGTTCTGGTGGCGCTCGGCGGGGACGGCAACTTTACGATGTCTCGCTCGTTCGTCTTCGGGACCTCTGGTTATTTATTACCAGGAGTCCTTCCGACCCTGGTTAACCTCGCGAATATCCCCTAGGGGACAGCTTGTCTCAAGTCGATAGGGATTCATTTCAGGAAGGAATTAATCCGGGAACGCTCGTGGAAGGTACCTGCGGAGCGGCCTTGTTTCTTTAAATAAATTCGGTCTCGTACTTGGAACACCAGTTTCTCTTCGGTTACGGACCTCGAGGTCTCGGACACCTTCAGGAATCCGTACCGGTTCGGTATGCGACCGAATCCGAAAATTGGGTCCAGGGTATATATAACGACCGTGAAGTTGCGGGGGCGTGGTAATGAGCCAGGGCCTCATCTCCTGGGACTCACCTCGTAGATTGCCGGGCAATTTTTCGGAGCTTTTCGACCCCTCGAGGGACATTCCATTGAATAACTATCTGCCAGTCTAGAAGCTCACCCTCCGATTCCTTCTGTCTTCGACTTCTACGCGATCTACTACGACCAGTTGATAAATAACGGCCGCGATATCGGCACTTCCAATCTTCCGTTTCGATCTCATCCAGAGTCGTTCAGGGTAGTTTACAGTCTCCCATCGGTTATCCTTGCATAAAGAAAATGAATGGGAATGGATACGAAGTATGGGAGCTTCTTTGTCGTCGGACTCCTCCATTTCCTGTCCCTTCGGTAAGAATGAAAAATACGTCGAACCTAAATAACGTTACTTCGGCACGGGACAAATATTTAGATAATTCAAAGAGCAATTATAAGACCCAAACTCTATGCTGTTATAAGACCCAAAGTCCCCCAAGACGCAATTATAAGACCCAAACTCTAAATAAGTGGATGCAACGCCTCTTCGGGATTATCACAATTTCTTTCAGTTTGCCTCACAAGGAAGGTATCCCAGGTCGATCTCTCCGATTTCATTTCTTTTATAATATGTTATAGTAGATTAAAAACTAAGCGACATGTATTTCTTTATTTTTTAACTGACGTTAAACACTTTTAGGGGGTGAAACCACCATCCAAAGTAAGGCATGTCAAGGGCCGATTTGGCAGTTTCACCCACGAGAACATATTTTTCATTTCTTGTTATGAGAAAGCTTTTCCAGGTGGATTGGTTAAAAAATATTATGTGTTCTTTGTTTTTAGTCCACTATAACATATTATAAAAGAAGTCAAATCGGAGAGATCGACTTGGGATAACTTCCTTGTCAGTCGAATAATTATTTTTTGAATTAGTAGAATGCTTCTTGGTTCGATGAATTTTTCTTCTTCTTTTTTTAGAGCAGGGATTGAATACCTTCAGATATCGTTTAGCAGGCTTATGGGCAAAAGTGGCCTGGCCTAGCTCGATATTCGGGGCGAAAGCCAAAAGGAGGAAAGGAAAACTGCCCGGCAGGGGAAAGAAAAGAAACAATAGGGCCCATTAGCGTCTACCTGCTCTTCTCGTGGTTGCCATCGAGTTCGGACCGAGGACCTGTTTAGCTTCTTTATCCCCTTAGGCACTATTTTCGGGGTTCCCCATTTCTCCAGGTGTTTGTCTAGTTAGTACACGTTATAGAAATTCTTAGACAAGGCTTAGCGAAATTAATTGTCACGCTTGTTTCCACGGGCCGTTACCCTTGCGTTACCCTTTTGGGCAGAGGGCGGATCGCGGCCATCTTGAATTTTCTGATCTCGTCGAATATCAATATGACGTTACCACCAAAAAGGGTATAGATCAATTTTAATCGATCGACCTCGATGAAATTTCTCAACGTCATTCATGTCGCCTTAAACACTTTGACGGCTAGGGACAACAATGGAGTGACGCGTTTTCGTTGCGACGCCTCTTCGTTGCGTCGCGTCATTTTTTTCCTGCGGCGCTTCGTCGTCGCGTCGCGACGCTATGTACCGCGTTTCACGTCGGACATGGCGCGTCGCGTCATTTTTTTCCTGCGGCGCTTCGTCGTCGCGTCGCGACGCTGTGTGGCGCGTTTCACGTCGGACATGGCGCGTCGCGTCATTTTCTCCCTGTGGCGCTTCGTCGTCGCGTCGCGACGCTGTGTGCCGCGTTTCACGTCGGACACGGCGCGTCGCGTCATTTTTTCCCTGCGGCGCTTCGTCGTCGCGTCGTGACGCTGTGTGCCGCGTTTCACGTCGGAC